AAATATGGCTCGGTCTACCTGGCATTGACGGATCCGTCAGAATTATGTGTCCTTTGCCCATACGGAGAATTTTTAAATATCACTAGATAGCCAGCTGTCATTCTACCGAGATGGATACTCATGAAACAGGAATCAAATTCAAGCGGATAACCAAATGAAAATGGTATTTACCATTTTGGATTTGTATTTACCGATCCGTTCAAGCGAGTGTGGTTATCAGTTCCGTGACGTCATGAATCAGCTGTTATATGTCATAGTTATCACCGCAAAATTGTGGTATTTACCAACTCAGGAGTAGTTTTATATTTCTGGTTATTATTTGTCATGTGACAAGTTAGAATTTTGCCGGGTATTGGATATTTTCATTGTACTTCAGCTAAGAGAGCACCTTATTAGTTATAATCATTACTGTTGTTGGGGACACTTTAAATCTAGTTCCTATGCTTAACAAAGTATCCTGTTTAGCCATATACCTATCACAAGAATATTAAAATATGGCCATATAAACTGGATGATTTCCACCTGTATACGGTTTTGTTAATACCTTTTTTTAATCGCTTTTTCACCATTTCTGCTAAATCAATAAATATTTTCTTTAACATGCAGAAAAGTTTAGAGAATTGATAGTTATCATAGATACAAAGCCATGGTTCCATCAGTAAAAATTGTTTTCTGAAAAAAAAACATTCCTCCCATTAATATTATAAAAGGTTTCTTTTTTTCAACTTTCCATACCCCGTTGTAGACGAAAAAGCACCGATTATTAAGTGATAATAAAAATATGTAATCAGAAATTATATACGCGCTTTTCTGAAATAAACAACTTGCAACAAAACCGCGGTTAAAACCAACGCGTTCAAGCGATTCGAGTAACTGACGTCATCAACCCGTATGTCATCTTAAACCATATTATAACCGCGGTACATAACACAGAAATGCTGGTTATTCGCTTGGATTTGATTAAGGTACAGATAGACATGCTCAAAACTAGCACAAAAGCATGCTACTAATGAGCAATTGCTACCTACTCGCACGTGTGTCTAAGCATTTGCTAGTATTCAGCATGCTCAAAACTAGCATGCTGACAAATCGATCGACGTTCGATTTTTGAGCGTGCTACTTGAGATGTGGATGGAGGGGGAATGCCCTTGAGCAAGTGTGGACGCCTTTGCTAATAACGAGCATGCTAGTGTTCCGTCGCAAGTGTGCATGTGTGTTGCGACATCGAGCCAAAATGTCTCGCTGGGGAGATAAAAAGACGTTTAAATTTGTAAATCTTTACCGGAGCCATGAATGCCTTTGGAATCCAAAGCTACCGGATTACAAAAACAATATTTCAAGAAATAATGCGCATAAAGATTTGATAATAAACATGAATGACCCTACTCTAACTGTTAAAATTATAAAAACCAAAATTAAAAATTTGAGGTCTGTTTACCACTCAGAAGTGAAAAAAATTAACAGTTCGAAGCGATCCGGATCTGGTGCCGCAACAGTATATAGTCCATCCCTGCCATGGTTTAAAGAAATGCACTCTTTCCTTGGAGACACAGGTGATTACCGGGAAACTATTGAGACAGCAGTGGTAAGTTTTTATACTTTTATTATTATATCGCCTAGAGTTTTGTATAGAACATAATACATACTATAAGTACAGGTTGTTTATATCATATGGTCTTGCCATGGTACCGCTTCTGTAGTTTCAAAAAGTTGTGCATAAGCGTTTCTTATTGCTTCTGCCTTTCGAGAGGCATGGTTACTATGACGCGCAGGTGGTAGGCTTCCTATAGCTGTACGCAGTTGTGTCCTCCATGCTCCTGGTACAACAACACGTTGTTGTACATCTTCAAAATCGACGCATCTGTGAGTGATGTACATATCGGATGTTTTTCGCAGCCAATTATGTAACGAGCAAGCAGCCAATACAATACTATCAACATTTTTTGGTCTCATATCTATAGTGTTCAGAAGAACTCGAAATCATGTGACTAAAATACCAAACGCATTTTCTACAATTCGTCTAGCCCTCGACAAACGGTAGTTAAACACTTGTTCTTTATGCGTTGGTGTTCGTGGGTAGGGCTTCATTAGATAAGTCTTTAAAGGAAAAGCCGCGTCTGCCACAATTATCGATCGCTCTGGTAAATTAAGGGTATTATTTTCTAAAGCTTGTGCCAACTTTGATCGTTGAAAAACACCGCCGTCAGAAGCTCTCCCATTAGTTCCAACATTTACATATGAAAAACAGTAATTATCGTCAACTAATGCGAGAAGTATAGTGCTGTGGGCACCCTTATAATTGTAATAATCGGAAGTATCATCAGGAGCACGTATATTTATGTGTTTGCCGTCCAGCGCCCCAATACATCCTGGAAAGTTCCATTTAGTTTGAAATCCATGCTCAATACGCTTCCATTCTTCATGGCACGGAATCTGTAAAAAAGAAAACAAAATCTCTATATCCAATAGTATACAGTAGAATTATTATTATCTAATATTTATTATTATTATTATTAATCTTTTTTACAGGACACAGATGAGTCATCGCAGGATTCTCGACCAACTAGTGCTAATTCGAACTCTAACCCCTTGTCACCGCCATCAGTCAGCACCGTAATGTCGCCACCCTCGACTACTGACATTGCGGAAGAAGGAACACCATCCCGTTCATCTAAGGACACACCAGCACGGCGTAAAAGAAGGAGCATACAAGAAGAGCCGATCACTTCTGCTCTAAATCGTTTAGAAAATATAACTTCGTCTATAAACAGATAAGCAGAATATGATGAATTTCATTTTTTTGGTTTGAATATTGCTGCCCAATTGCGAGCCCTACCATTAGATGATGCACTAAACGTGCAAACTGAGATTCAGACAATTATAACTGCGGCTAGACGTCGACATCTGTACCCAAACTTGTCTACATACTCCACTTTACCCATACAAATAATAAATTCCACACCTACTTTTACAAATATTCAAACTAACAACAGCCAAACCGAAGCAGAAGACGCTTTAAGCAGAGCATGGAGATTTTCTTAAAGTATGTACTTACCAGATAATATGTTAACAAAAATAAATGTTTCATTTGAAATAATATCAGTGTTCTACTTACCCGCATATAATCCTTCAAAGCCCTGTATATTGCATCACAAACTTCTGGTATAAATTGAGCTATGGTAGATCTCGCAACCCAGTGAAGTGCTTCTAATGTGTACATGGAATCTCCAGCTGCAAGGTATCTCAGTGTAACTTCCAATTTGATTTTAGCTGGAATAGCATTTCGCATATGTGTATCGTGTTTTTGTATAGCATTTTCAATTTTAGAGAGTAACTCGTCAAACTGATGCGGAAGCATACGTAAATGATTTTGATAACCCTCACTATCTTCTGCTCGCATTTCGACCAACAAACGAGTACTGGCTCCAAGATTTTCTCTTCTATTTATCCAATCACGGACCCAAATCGTCCTATTCCTTCTTTTTTTCTTTTTTGTTAAAAGTATATTGCGTATGCATTGCACTGCAAGTAATATGATGGTTTCATTCACTTGTGTGCGGATAGCCACGTCGTGTTCCATGTTTTCCACCACACTACACTGACAGATGCTAGCAAATGGTACGTGTAGGTAGAGTGTTTGTTTTAAGCATGCTTCTGCAGGAGCATGCCTGAAACGAGCATGCTTATTTCAAGCACATGTATACAGTTAAAAGAGCATTCTCGTTTGAAGCATGCTCACAGGCATGCTTTTTTATAGCATGTCTATCTGTACCTTTAGGGTGTATCTTTTGTCTTTTGTTGTGGTTTCCGTCACGTCACAGGTCACGTTCTCTCTCTGTGACATTCCTATTTCTGTCTTCTGTTCTGTGCTGCCAGTGTACATGTTTTGTGGTTCCAGTTCCCTTTGTGGTTTGTGCGCGTTCATTTCTTCTCTTTTCCTTTGAGGCACATTTTGAGGTTTGCAGTTGGTTTGGTCTTTTGATCTTTTATGGTAGGCTTGGCCCTTGGCCCTCATTTGTGTGTTCGTGGTTTTTGTTTTGTATTCTAGTTTGTGATTACGGCCCCCTGTAATGATTTTTTTGTGATGTGAATTGGAGTTTAGTGTCTGGGTTGTTGGTGGTTCAAGAATTCGTGATTTTTACCAAATCAATCAAACGGAATTTGTCTATGGCTACGGTGCCCAACGCCAAGCTGTGGGAGAAATATTATAGTATTCTGTCAAACAAATCTCATGATCTCTTGGACAGTTGGCAGCCTCAAATCTTCGGAAGCGCATCCTCAGTACTTTTTGGATACTACCAATCACAGTCACATTGCACTTCTTATGTACTTGACTCTTGACTTGGAGAGTTAGGTTAAAATATAATATATTCAGGCATCTAAATCAAATCCAAGTGAATAACCAAAATTTCTGTGTTACGAACCGCGGTTATAATATGATTCAAGATGAACACGGGTTGATGAAGTCAGTTACTCGAATCGCTTGAACGCGTTGATTTTAACCGCGGTTTTGTTGAAAGTTGTTTATTTTAGAAAAGCGCGTATATAATTTCTTATTATTTTTATCAACACTTAATAATCGGTGCTTTTTCGTTTATAATGGTGAATGGAAAGCTTAAAAAAACCTTTCATAATATTAATGGGAGAAATGTTTTTTTCAGAAAATTTTTTTTAATGATGGAACCATGGCTTTGTAGCTATGATAACTTTCAAGTCTCTAAACTTTTCCACATGTCAAAGAAAACATTTATTGATTTAGCAGAAATGATAGGAAAACGCGATGAAAAAAAGATATTAGCAAAACCATATACAGGTGGACATCATCCAGTGAGTTTATATGGCGATATTTTAATATTCTTGTGATAGGTATATGGCTAAACAGGATACTTTGTTAAGCATAGGAACTAGATTTAAAGTGTCCCCAACAACAATAATGAATATAACTAGTAAGGTGCTCTAATTTATGCTAAAACTGTATCAAGTTTCCCAAAAATTAAACTGAAGTATAATAAAAATATCCAATACCTGGCCAAAATTCTAACTTATATTTCATATAATAACCAGAAATATAAAACAACTCCTGAGTCAGGCAAATACCACAATTTTGCGGTGATAACTATGACATATAACAGCTGATTCATGATGTCACGGATCTTATAACCAAACTGATAACCACACTGCTTGAATGGATTGGTAAATACCAATCCAAAATGGTAAATTCCATTTTCATTTCGTTATTCGCTTGAATTTGATTATAGCATTGAGACTGTTGTCTGTCAAAATAGGATCATGGACTATTATGGAAATTAAAACTTGCAAATAGGAGGTAGTCTACCCAATAACATTGCTCACTGCTGTATCATCTCATATTAATTTCAACTAATTTGGGTACTGTTTCACCTTGATTGAGTGTTTTTACCATTTTTTTCCTGACTATGGTATAATAAGGTACACAGTTCTATTATCAAATTTGTTGCTCTAAAGTTGGTGCTCTACACCTCATACTCAAATCTCATGTCGTCAGTGAGAAGATTTTAATTAATCTCTTAATATTCTTTTTAGTTAACATTAAGAAGCAATGGAGAAAAGAAGACAGAAACTTGGTTTACAACTTGATGCAATTGAGGATGAGAAAAAACTATTACATGAAAATATCCAGACCATAATTAATCAAGTAAGTTGTTGGTTGGGTGTTGATTATAATAATAAAAGGTACTATATTTATAATAATAAAGAGGCACTATACTAAAGACTACACTATGGTTGGCAATGCGCCAAGAAACAATAATGATAACTTTTATTCAAATTGCTTTGCTGATATGAGACATCAACATAAAAGTCAGATTTGCATAAACAAAAGAAAAATATGCATGACTAAATTAGAATAAAATAAATGATAAGTTATAAAATAAGAAGCAAAAACAGTATGCTTATTTAGATGTATAAATAGTTAAATAGAAGAATATAAAATGTATGTGGCATAAATGTATAATGAGTAAAATAATAAAATAGATAAATATCTAATTATTAAAAGTTTTAAAACTCTTGTAGAGAGAAAAAACAGTTAGGCTACAAGTTAAAAGGTGTTTTTTTGAAGACTTTTAACTTGGAGGGCAAATTATTGAAGATAGATCCACATAGGTAGTCAGGGCTATTACAGTATCTGCTGAGGCTGTAGTTGCTCAATGAACATTATTATTCCTTAGATTGTATCTCTGGGACTCTTTGGAAAAGTGAATTTGGAGGGATTTGATTTTATATGAAGGCATGCCTCTAGGATCGGTAATGATGCTAAAGTTAGTATTTATTCATCTCTAAATGGTTTTTGACAAGACTCTAGAGGATGCAATAAGAATAAGAGTCTGACTATTATTTTTTGAAGGATAAAGATTCATTGGGCCTCAACAGATGATCCCCAATATAGCACAAAATATTTGAGGTGGGAATATACAATAGAGTAGTAGATGATTAATATGTTTTTCTTTACATATTTTAAGTTTCTTAGAGCAAAACATGCTGAATTAATTTTTTTCGCTTTATACTCTATGAGTTCTTTCTGGCTCAAATGTTCATCCACTATTAGACCTAAAAATTTGTTTGGTACTCTTTCCAGTGACGTATTGTTTATTATAACTGTGATATTGTAATGTGGCCTTCATTTGTGATACAGGATATATTTGGTTTTATCTGTATTAGTAATAATAATAAAATGCAATGATAATCTTTATTGGCTATAGAAAATATACAGAAGTATTCACAGACATGTCAATAATGATAAAATTGCAGCATCATAGAAATAAAAGTACACTAACTATAATAAATTCAATATACAGAAAGAAAATAATATGATTTTACAAATTCAAGCAAAATGTCCAGAACATTATTAAATTATCCATTCAATTTTGTCAAGAGGGCCTGTCTCTCCCTTGCCAAAGCATAATATTCCCCAAAACTGTAAATACAGGCACTAATTAATACAGATTTCAATTTACATTTAAATCTGCTCAGCTGAAGCAATATCACCTCATCTGGCAGCGCATTGTACAATTTGATGTCTTCACTGTTAGTTGGAAGTACCAGATTATTGCAATGTCTTGTGTTGTATGAATGAAAATCTGCACTCACAAAAAAGTCTGAAATAATTTTCTTACATATTTTAATTTTTCATAGATAATCAGGCCATACAAAGTTATTATTCAATGATCTAAAGCAAGACCCACACAATTCATGTTGATTTAAATTACCAATTCACAAATCTAAGGTGCCACAATGGTTCTGATGAACGGCAAGTAAATGAATGAATGTTTGGAAACGAGCAATATCTATGAACTTTTTGGTAGAGCCAGTCATCAAGTAGGTGCTTAATGGCTATCTGCAACAGGTTTATAGGAAAAAACACCCAGTAGATGATCTTGAATCAGTAAAATCGCATATCAATTGAAGAAAATAATATTATCATGAATAAAAAATCAACAATGGTAATTAAAACATGAATTTTATTCAAAAATCAAACATTTGTTTAAATTTTGACTGAATTATATGTAATTTCTTAATATTCAATAAGCTGATGATGTTTCAATGACAAGATGTCATCTCATACTTTGACAGTATTTTGTTTTCAACATTTCATAGCTATTGGTTGCTAAAATTTGTTGATTGGAACTTGAAGCTCATTCGCTGTATTTGATGGGCTGTTACCCTATAGGTGGAGAATAACGGACTGTTGTTGGTGAAATTGGCCCTAAATATGAAATTACAAACACAAACTTATCTTGCAGTGTCAATTTTTTGTCATAAAGGTACACTGTGATGCCTGGTAATCAAATAAGGGTTCTTCTACAACTGATTGCCAGATACTGAAGAAAATTGAATGAATAAGTGTATTTAGATGTAAAACAGGCAGTTTGACTTTCCCAGGTTTTGCTTTGATTTTCCCTATGTACTTTAAAAAGATTGAAACATGCAACATTAAAATATGTGGCATGTTAATAACTCAATATTTAAGTGTTATTTTCAATACTAATAAAAAATAAGATCAATATGATTCTTTTGCTCAAGTTATATACCACTAACCCGATTTCCTGTCAACACAACGGAAGTCTATACCAGTTTTTCAGGCTTTCAAATTATGGGGCGTATGCGGTTTTTACACTGACTGACTCATTTATTGTTTTAGATTTCTTCATACAAAGAAAATCCAGAATTCTTACAACCAAAGGATTACCCAGTACTTTTCTCTTATGAATTGGATGTCTTGAAAAAGTTAACAGAGATAAACTTTGAGCTAGAATCTTTAATTGAAACTTATCCTCTAAAAGAGCTAACAGTTAGCAAAATTGAAATAAAAAAGGAATGCAGCAATGAACAAAACCAAACAAGACCCATTCCTTCTGATATTTCGGCGGAAAATAATCCCACTACATCTAACAGCACATACCAGACTACTCAAAGTATCGTAGATTTACATATTCCAGATCCTGACAATGATGATTATATTTCTGATCCAGATATACAAGCAGCTAGGCAAACTGTAAGGGAAATGACAAATGCATGGCTTGGAATAAATCAAGAAAATATGAATGCAATACAAAATTATTATGAAAAACCATCTGTAAATCATCCATGTTCTTCAACCAGTAGAATTGAACCTGAAAAGCCTAACCACTTTGAGGTACCAGAAAAAGACACTAATCAAAATCAAACCAATATAAAAAATACTTTTGACATATGCAATGTGCCTCCACTTATATATCCAGAGGAAACTAGTGTGAGTACCGAAACTGAAATGTTTGAGGCTATTCAGGAAGATATATGTCAAGGAGATTTAGGAAATAATTTTAAATGTAATGACGTACAAAGTAATGATGGGAACTCTAAAACTGAAAACAGCAGATGTAGTAGTAGTATCACACAATTTAGTGGTTGCGTTGATTATTCCAGTAATGAGTGCAATTCTGTTGATTCAAGTAGTGCAATGCCAAAGGTACAAAACTCAGCAGTTGACAAACTCAACAACTATATGTGTATTGGAGCAAGTGCTGTATCACCATCAAATATAATAGATAACACTACAACAACATACAGTTCACCTATTATGGCAGCTCCTCCAAATATTGTCCTTGAACCTACGAAGGAGGAGAACAGTGCGGTTGTGAAAAACTTTGAACCTGAGTTTTGCAAGAAGAAACAAAAAAGAAAAAATGGTGGTAGTAATGAAACACATTATGGTAAGAAACTACATGAAATTAAGATTAGACACTAGGTAGACAGTGTAGCTCAGAAATTGCATAGTGAAGATTTTCCCACATAGAGGGTGTAGCAGAATAACCTTTTTTCAAAACTTAATAAAATCCATTGTATGAATCCGAACATTTTTATTTGTTTTTTATAATGTAGGCGCACGCCTAAAGTTTTGTTTTACATAGTTTTGACGATCAAATCAGATTATGATGTCCACCATTCTCTATACACTGAGTAAACCGATTTCTGGCGTTTGTCATGAATCTTGCAAATTCTTTCCGGATTTACATAAACACGGGATTTCAAAAAACTGCATAGAAAAAATCACAAGGGGCCCAATCGGGAGAGCGGGCCAGCCACTCAAAATCTCCTCTAATTAAGATGAGGTGGTCTGGGAAGTATTCCCTCAAAACAACTATCGATGCTCTTGAAGTCTGTACCGTTACCCCGTCTTGTTGGAACCAAATGTCCCCTAAGTCCAGCCCATCTAGCTGTGGAAAACAAATTTTGTAACATGTTTCCCTACCGGTCCGAATATTCATTGTCACTGCGACTTCATTTTCCTCAAGGAACCAATCATTCCATCTGAGAAAATTGCACACCACCCTATGACTTTCGGTGAATGCAAACGCCGTTGATGCAATTCTCAAGGATTCAAATGAAAATGGGCTTCATCACTAACAAAAACAATAGCGTCCTCAGGAACGAATTCGATAAGAAGATCACACGCATTTTAAAAAAGGAAGTTATGCCGCACCTTGTATTTAAAATGAGTGGAATGATACTATCAATGGCAAATAATGTATTTTTTCAGATATCCAACCAAAGAAGATTCCCACCGATCATGCCCTTTGTGCTTTCTCGCATATTGAAAATCCATCAGAGTTCTATTTACATATTGTTGATGAGGAAACAGAGAAGATAGATAGGTAAGTTCTTTTACGTAAATGAATAAGCAGAAAAACAAGTCCTAGAGCCAGAATGCTGTGGTTGGAACACTACAAGTGACAAGTTTGGGCATAACCTCAGCTATCCCTTATGGTCATAGATTAGAAGTTAGTTCATGTTTATTACTCGTACTTCTTTTCTTTTTACAATTTCTCTGAAAATGTACCTGATAATGAATAACTGTCATTGGAATAACCTATTTGTCAGTCATAATTGAGAAACTGTGCACACACAATATTTTTTATACCATTGTGCACAATATATGTATTAACATTTATAAATAGTACCTATTAAGTAGATCACTCCGTCGAGTATCCGGTACTTGTTGAACTGATTTACACAGGGTTGTTTCAGCAACTGTTAGTGATATTAAAAATATATTTGCCTTTTTGAAAGAGATAATTACTTCATCCAAGAAATTAACGCACCACAAAAAAAACAGTTGTGCAGCTTAAACAATGTTTGTGAGTGAAGACCCCATCGCTTTTCCCAAATTAATTTTTTTTTGTCGGTTTTGAACATCAACTGTAAGAGAAAGAAACCAACAAATAGGGACCTTTTTCTGAGCTAACAAATAAAATGTGTTTAACCTATATTTTGCATAATTTTATTGGCCTGCTGTACTTAATAATTATTGTTAGTTTACTTTTAGGACAATACTTTTTGTTATTTGTTCTGGAAAATCTTAATGAGAGAAACGAAGATGGATAGGAGAAAAATGACACACGAAGTCCACAACAAGAGCCAACCTACATATTGTTTTCCTATTTTTTGTTATATACCTTTCTCCGCATGATCATTTTCTCTTTGTAGATCCTTTGGGCTTGAAGTACCACAGCAAGTGGCTATAACCGGCCGCGTGGTTGAGGTTAGATGTCTCCTTGAAAATTCGAGGTCTTCTAGCCATTTTATACTACAATGTGTAGGTTGGCTCTTGTTGTGGACTTCGTGTGTCGATTTTTTTCCCTCTCCATATTCGTTTCCTCAGGTTGCACCCGTATCCGGATATGTGGGCTTGTGTTTCTACTTTTGTAGTTGCATATGTGCATTCATTTCGGGCCTGATGAAGCCAACCAGCAGAAATACGTATCGCTCGGGTTTCCTATCCTATTTTTTGCTCGAATCCACTTTACTCCTGTTTGCGGATGTTGCCCATTATTTTCCTACTTTTTGTTATATACCTTTCTCCGCATGATCATATTCTCTTTGTAGATCCTTTGGGCTTAAAGTACCACAGCAAGTGGCTATAACCGGCCCCGTGGTTGTGGTTAGATGTCGCCTTGAAAATTCGAGGTCTTCTAGCCATTTTATACTGCAATGTGTAGGTTGGCTGTTGTTGTGGACTTCGTGTGTCATTTCTTCCCTCTCCATCTTCGTTTACTCAGGTTACACCCGTATCTGGATGGATGGGCATGTGTATCACCGACGATAGACACTGCCGTTCATTCATGATTATACATTTGTTTACTTTTCCACATTGCTTGGTGGCTAGGGAGCAGAGACGACTTGCGGGGAAAACAAAATGGCAGCTGCGGGGGTAAGAATGACATTTCAACCAGTGGCGTATCATAATGAAAATACCGCACTCCCAACAAAATAATTCACTATCTATACGAGCTGTAAAATTAGCGTCGGCCATTTTTTTTATTTCTGAAAATTGATGAATAAAATTAGGTTATGTGTAGGTAAATAGTTTCTGTTTTCAAAGACATAGGTATATGAAATTGGATCAATGCATAAGAATCTAACATGTGAGTGAGAAAACGATTCTAGGACCATTGTCATAAGATTTCATGAAAAATTTGATCGTGATAGACGGCCTCAATTATCGTCATAAGGAAAATATGTTGTTTCAAGGAATTAGATACGCCACGTTTTATTTTTTGATTGTCATGGGACGAAAAAATTGATTTATTTTTATAGATAGTATCGTATTAGACACACAGAGTTTAGGTAGATTTTTCTACGAGATCATACTCACAAAAACCACAATAATAAGTAGTCATTGTTTAATCCATGTTTTATTTTACGATTATATAATACATTCACAGATAGTATTAGGGAACATTATGCAATCATATAATAATAATAATAAAATGCCTGTTTCACCTGATGGAAAATTCTGATTTGAGTTTTACAAACAACAAGCAAATTAATTTGAATAATGATTATATCGCTAACGATTACAGAATAGAATAACAAACAAATTCGTTAACGTTAATAAAATCTATACTTCTACTAAATACAATGTGCAAAAAAGCAAAGGAATTGTCAATTCTTCCAGTACGAAACAATCCACCCACCCAATTTACCTAAAAGACAATTATCAGTTTTACTAAATATCCATGTTTATCGATACAAAAGGTGGTTTTGGACATCCTGTATATCTTGTAAGATATATACTTTTGTCAATATACTTCGAACTCTTTTTTTGTTGATGAGTCCATGTGTTAGTTTCATGATGGATCCTTAGCTTGAAATAATGGTGAAGTATAAGCTTTATCAGTTGTATTGCATGGCTATCCACTAGATCATCATCAAACAAATGATCAAAATTGCTTAAAATCTCTGGCGATAAAGTATTGATGGTACTAATTTTTAAAGTTTCTAATAAATTATTGATATTTCTATTGAAAATGTTTGTGGTTTTGTGGAAAAATCGGAAATATCTTTCTGCTGCGGTACAAAGTTGTATTACAAAATGAGAGGCCTTGACTAATTTATCATATTGTTTAATCCTCTGTAATCAAGATACTGTATCACTTTCTAAGGTGCTGCTGTAGTTTGTGCATGTGACACATTTTTTTATTGTTTTTACAACAAACCCAGAAATATAACTTACTACATTCTCACGGTAATCTGTCAAGTTCCAGGCAGATGAAGAGGACAGGTATGTTGCTATATATATATATATATTTTTTTTATACTTTGCTCAAAGTCCAAATACTCTTTGCTGTGTGACATATCGTCGCCAGTGTCAGTAACAGTTATTTCTCTCCCACTGCCACATGATGAAATTGTTAATCTGTCGTCACATGAAATATTACCTGAACTTGGGCCTGTCATCTCAGTATGGACAAGTAATCTCTTATATGCTGCTTCAAAGTGCCTTGCGCTAGGGTTGTTATTGAACCCCCCTTTCCCTCTTATTGCTCCAAAAAAGAGTTCTAAGTGATCTTGGGATAACTTATTGGTAAGTATGAATTTTAATTTGTTTTCTGAAATATATGCCCGTCAAACTGGTCATGCAAATGAGGAAACCTAAAAAGCCAGTTTTCCTGGGTGATTGAATAATTGGAGTACCTCCTAATTTTAAATTTGTTATATAAATAGTCAGTTCATCAAAAAAGCTAAAAAAATGATCAGCTGTAGCTGTTGATAGTGGTCGTTTGAAATTATACTTTAATAAATTTCTCGAATTGAATATATCAAATACATCATTGAATTTTTTTATGAAAGTAATTGTAGCATCCGCATTTTGGAAAGCTGATATCTTGAGATCAGGACACAAATAAGACAACGCATCTGCTACACTTTTGCTCAAGGTTTGAGTCGCTATTTTTACCTTCATCTTTTCTCGCACCCACTGCAGATACCGAATAGTAATTTTAGTACCCAAGTACAAGCCCTCAAAATATTGTTTGTCTACCAGCTTGACTAAAAAATTCCAGTCTACTTGATTGTTATCTTTATTTATTAAATATTTTTGGTATCCGAAAGTGTTTCTAACTAATTTGATCATGTGGCATGGGTCTAGAAGAAGAAATACATCATTACCAGTCACAGGATGGCTGAAGTGTGTTTTCATGACATTTACATCGAAATTACCTCCAAAATGGGAAGCCATCGTGAAATTTACTGCAGCACCATCAAATGTCAATGATGATACTGTAACTGCAGACTCATGAATAAAAGACAGACATTTTTTTACAACCTCAGAACTTTCATTTCCACTGAGCCCATCTAGAAAGAAATAGCCCACCGGTATTTTCCATGAGCCATTCAAACAGACACCAAAGCCTCTTTTGCTTCAGGTAAAATATCTGAGTCAATCTTGGAACCAATATCTATGTATCCAGAGAATTTACTGCCTGTCCACTCGGCCTGGCGACGAATAGACATCTCGTCCAAGACTAAATTTCAGTAGACTGATTTACCCTGTGACAAAGCATACTCATTTTTTAATTTTAAGGCCTGCAGTGCTTCTTGGGTGAAGCCTGGGGAGCCATCAACTGATCGATACCATTTACCAATGGTACTCAGATGAGGCAGTGATTTATTAAATGTATTTCTGACAAAATTGTATGCTGTTGGTGAATAAAAAGAAAGTGTCAATGTAAAAGTCCGTAATGAAGGGTCATACTTCTGTGATAATGGTCCTCGTAGCATTTTCTCAAAAATTTTGAGGGATGAGCCAGATAATGATGCCTGAAACAGACTCATATTAGAAAATAATATGGAGATGGTATGGTTATAATTATTACCTTCAAAGCATTTTCACATGAGTACACTTATGTAGGACTTTATCTTCAAGAGATTCATAAGGCTGTTTAGTGTCCTTACTCTCTTTCTCAGTGAGTTTACTGTGACTTGGAGACTGTGAATTCTCTTTCTTTGTACCTGTATAACATCCATTATACGAAAGTTTTTTTCGCTCTTGCAGGTGAGGAAAAATCAAAATGAGATCCATCAGAATTGTATCTTGACACTACAGTTACAGGTATAAATTCAGCCTGACATGACCTTAAAGAGGAGGTTACAGTTAGGAAGGCTATCAACGATATTTCACGAGTATCTCTTACGTTTTGACATCTGTTAAGAAAGCTCCGGGCCGTATTCAGAGCTGTTTCTTGCGTTGACAGATCCGTCAGAATTGTGTGTCACTTGTGGATACGAGAAGTTTTGAAATATCACGATATAAATCAGATATTTGTTGATGGTTGCCGTAATAGATACTCGTTAAATATGGTATAGTTGAAAATACTTATAAAAGTTGTCCCCAAAAATACCTAAATCTGGATCGATCCAAATCAAGTCACATTGGGTCAACTCACCTTAGCCAAATTTCCGGATTGATAGGTCGCCTCTAGGAACCAATACTAAAAACGTTTTTTTTTTTTCAAAAAGATTTCAGAAGATTTTGAAAAAATATCGATCATTGTTATATCCTGCAAAATATCAGGATTTTTTTAGTGGATCAGAAGAGACTTGATTTCTTTTCTCGAACCTGAGTTCCACAAATCTATAACAAATCATGATTATGTAGGATATACAAATGTAGCATCGATACTTTTGTCAAAATATTTTGAGTAACATTGCACCAGTAAATAATTATTTCCCTAAAAACACGTTTCTGAAGTTAGAGGCGCCTAGGGGCGACCTATAAATCTGCGAAGTTGGCCAGGGTGATTTCAACTAATATACCATACTTTGGATCTATCCAGATTTGGATACCTTTGGGGTCAACTTTCATATGTAGTTTTGCCTGTAGCCTTTGATTTCTGATCCTGCATTCAGTTTGATCCAAATGATCACCTCTCTTAATCTAGAAAAGCTGTTTAAAAAGTATTCATTTAAAAGAATGCAAAATTGATTTACAACTGAAGATCAAAAACGTATAAGAATATATTTTACCTCTTTCTCTGCAATCCTACAACTTTTGTTTGAAGAGCAGATGTAGGGACAGGTGTTGCTGCATAGGGCACCTGTTCTTCAGCCTCTGACATAGTAGCTGTGTCTGATGAACTTAAATCATCAGCAACTGTAGGATGAGATGTCGACTGATTAGATGGCCCTGGGTACACATGCTCATGTTTAAAGCTAAAAAATAAACGCTATTGATATTCAACTGAGGTCACTTTGACAGTTTTATATTCCAATTGCAGTTAATAAAGTGATAGGTGACAAAATTAAAAACAAAAATATTACAAAAATGATCATTACCTCATATTTTCTTGCATCTTTAGATAATGTGTGAGCTGTTCTTCAGTCTCTGATGCAGAAGCTGTATCAGATTTCCCATCACTGGCAATGACTTCTTCAAATCTTAACCGATCATTGATAATTGCCAATTAGGTATTTTAAAAGGCTCATCCAAATATCTAATAAAAAGTATAGCATTCCATTAAAAAATATATGGGCCAACATTGGGACACCCTATATACTTATCTATATTTTAGAAATGTGCCCCCAAATATCATTGAAAATAACTCATAACTGATTTTCTTCATAAAGCTTTCGCCTAAGAGCAATCTTCCATCCTCACATGGGTGAGCGATCGTCTATGTAAGTTCAACATGTACTCACCATTTCTTAACAGAACCTCCATCTACAGAAGTAGCTGGAATATTAATGGTGTCTATATCTGATTGTGATTCTGAACTTGAGGAAGCTCCTATTTGTTCCTTGTCTGGACTACCAAAAGTGCTAACACTGAGTGATGACTCCGAACTAGAATAAACAAATAATAGCTTATTCATATATCTACCACGTTCACATACACTGACATATATATCAGGTAAAACATTACATTCTTAGAGTTGACATATAAAAAAATAAGAATTCAATGCTTAGTGAATGAGAAATGTTAAATTTCAATTATTGGGCTATTCTTAAAAAGTAGCTTTTCATAACATATGAAACCTCATAACTATGTAACATTTTACTTGCAAAATTCTTATTTAAGAGCATGCAGTTATGCAAGAATAAGAATATCATTTTATTTCATTATTATTGTCACTGTCCATTTTTATCGCTAATCACTATTGTAATATTACCTAATGCTCTTTGCGAGTTCAAAGGCAGAATGGACAGGAATTGGAGCTGCATTAGATGTAAGACGCCTAACTCCATCACCCATGATAAAATCACTTTCTTGAAAGTGTTTTGAGCAAATAGCATATTTTGGGAGCTCATGATCTTTCTCAAACACCAGAAAAGAGATACCCATATTGATATAGGTTCAGTGAAAGAATAAAGGAAGTGATTTACATGTAAATACCTTAAAGTATCAATTTTGAGTAAAATCATAAAGACAAAAGATATTCAGATGGCATCCCTACGCCACTGGCCACTGGACGCAGCGCTCCTAATCTCAATATTTTCAATTTTACTTACCTATGAAAAGACAAGCCTTTTGCTTCAGGCTGCAGGCTGTACAGCTTGCAAACAGCATTGGCGCACCATGATAAAAACAAAACAGTTCGAAATAGTTTGAAAACAAAAAAAATACAATTTTCAGGATAATGCACACACAAACACAACTAATACAATTTATGAATGAAAGCAGCTTACAAGTTTTACGACCGTCACTCACACCAAAGCCGAGGTTGCCAAACTAGACCTAAAGTCTTGGACAAAGGTGTATTCTTGCCAATACGACATTATCCCGAACACTGTTTCAGATTCATAATGGCCGCTGTATTATCATAACCTTCTAAACGCAGATATATGTGGATATATTCTGGCTAAGGCTGTGTGCGTATTTAAAATATAAATATATCTCGATTTACGACAACAAACGTTTGTTTGGTTACCCCCCTGTGAATGACGGCAACACCGTTCCAATGTATGAAATGGAAATTGTGTAAACAAATAGTCTAGTCTATCTATATATCGTCGGTGATGTGTATCTACTTTTGTAGTTGCATATGTGCATTCATTTCGGGCCTCATTAAACCATCCAGCAGAAGTACGTATCGCTCGGGTTACCTATCCTATTTTTTGCTCGAATCCACTTTCCTTCTTTTTGCGGATTTTGCCCATTATTTTCCTATTTTGTGTTGAATACCTTTCTCTGCATGATCATTTTCTTTACTTTACACTGTTAATACGAATGAACTAAATCAACAGATGTGCTGCTGGCGGCTACTATGCACACATGTCTCGACATGCAGCCTCCTGCGTACGAATGTGTGTATAGTTGTATGTATGTGTGTATACTTTTTCGTTAGCCTCCAAAATATATTATGATTTGCTGATAGGGTGTTGATAGCTGCACCAACAGCAAAAGATTATTGTACGGATTATTGTGAACATTAAGTTATTGTTAGTTCCTTTCTCTTAGGTACTAGGTACGTCTTACAGAATAGTTTTTATAACTATCTTTGATACTTATTATATTTATCTTTGTTATTGGATTTTCCCTTAAATATGTTCATGATATAGATACATTTTTTTAAGGTCGGGTGGAATAATACCCCTAGGGTAACACTCCACCTTTTCAATTTTTCACTTCTGCGATTTTCAAGATATTGTTTTGTTTTATTTTGTGTATGCAAAGTTGAATAAAAGCTTATTATTATTATTACTTTCAACTAATCTTTATTCACATGAAATATTTTGCTAATTAAACAAATAAATATTCGCTGCCATATAGTTTTTACTCACAAATTCAAAAGCAAATCCATATTTTATTCTATCACTAGCATTGCCACTGCTACCTATATTTGATTAACATTAGCTGTAATCAGTAAAAGCAGAAAAAGTACTAGTGAATTCTGATTTTTACTCATATATAATCAGATTTATACTTATAATTTCAGGTTGACGGATACTCTCAATGAATTTTATAAAAAAGGGAAATGTAATTACAGTGACAAAGAATCTGTATTAAAAAGTATTGGAAGGTACTGTGTAGTGTATGTTAAACGGTACGATGGCTGGTATAGAGGTGAAATCCTAGATTGGCATCTGGTGAGTAGTGGTACTTCTTAGATATACGTAGTCATGCCATAAGTTCTGTCCCTCGTTTTCAAACAAGTGTAGACCTGTTAATACTTGTCCGATTGTTTACATTGTGGTGTCAGTTGATTAAGCGCTTTTCGGGTAATTACATATACCTCAGTTTGTATTGATCTCTCGAAGCATAACGATGGAGTGGGGCAAGGCAGAGAACCGTATTGCAGTGATAGCTTTACATAAGTGTAATCACAGTGCTAGTCAGATTTTTGAACTCTTACGCGGCCTTCAAATATCGCGTAAATTTGTGTCTAGGACCATTCAGCGGTACAATGAGACGTCCTCTGTTGATGACAGGCCAAGAAGCGGAAGACCTCGTCAAGTAAGGACTCCAGCAGCCATCAAAGCCGTAAAAGCCAGGATTCAAAGGAATCCACTCCGGAAGCAGAAGATCCTATCCAGGGAAATGAAGATTCCTGTCCGGACGATGTCGCGCATCATTAAACAAGACCTAGGGCTAGGGGCTTACCGGAGACGTACGGGCCAGCGACTTACGGCCACCTTGCGACACATCAGGGCGACAAGATCCAAGAAGCTCTTGGAGAGGTACGCAGCTGGGGGATTCCGAAAGATTTTGTTCACGGATGAGAAAATCTTCACCATAGAAGAAAAATTCAACCGACAAAATGACAAAGTGTATGCAAGGAGTTCACAGGAAGCTTCGGAGATCATTCCGAGAGTTGAGAGAGGCCACCACCCTGCGTCAGTCATGGTTTGGTGGGGGGTGTCCTACGAAGGGGTCACTCAGCTCCATTTCTGTAAACAGGGCGTGAAAACAAAAGCGGCAAACTATCAGAGCGACATACTGGATCCTACCGTCAAGCCTTTAAGTGGTACATTGTTTGCCAACCAACACTGGGTCTACCAGCAGGATTCCGCCCCCGCTCACAAGGCTAAGAGTACGCAGCGCTGGCTGGAAAGCAATGTGCCAGAGTTCATTGCTGCGGAAGATTGGCCCTCAGGGAGTCCGGACCTCAATCCTTTAGACTACAAGTTGTGGGACCTGCTAGAGCAGTTGGCCTGCTCCAAAGCCCACCGTAATATCGAGTCCCTGAAAGCGGATTTGATCCGATCAGCGGCAGCTATTCCTTTGGAAGCTGTGCGTGCAGTGATAGATTGGCCCGCGAGATTGAAGCAGTGTGTGAAGACCAAGGGGGGACATTTTGAATAAAACTGTTTGATTATGAATTCTAAAAATGTTGTCGAATAGATAATATCTTTCATATAAATATATCTTATCTTGTTTCATTTTTATCATGAGATTATCATGGGACAGAACTTATGGCACGACTACGTAATAATCAATTAAACACCTGAAACTTATCCTGGAGTTTTCATGTTGACAGGACTCCGTTGTTTGGCCGCTAAATCAAACCACCTATGCTTGAAACACTTAATGACGACGTTTTGGCCACCATGGTGGCCTTTTTCAAGTATAATGACAGTGACATATATTTTGTTATGGGTACAAAACTAATATTCCATGACCTGGCTTAGCGAGTCGTATCAGATCGGGCTGAAATTTTTTTCCTATGAAGGCATGAGAAAATTTTAAGATCCTAGGTCGGACGGTTTGGTTTGGAGACGCGCTCAAAGTTTCGGTAAATATGTGAATTTAAGGGTTTTGGCAACTCCTGCCATTGAACAGTATTAGGCTCGTCAATATGGAAAAATTATGAAGTGGGTTAGCCTGAAGAATTCAAAAATGACCTTCAAATTGCCATCTGATAACTCTGTCGGCAGATGTTGCAATCAAACGCCATTTTTTCGAAGTATTTCTTGTGTTCAAATGTCACTCAAACCAATAAAGCAAGCTGGTGAACTAACTTGCAGAATGATCGTTGAGCATGTCGTTGAGTCATTCCTCCATAGGTGACGCACGTAGCGAACAAGATCGGAATGCACACCGGTAGTCATGTGGTCACCAAGTTGTCATTTTGTCGTTTTTTTTACATACAGGTTTTTTTACGTAATAACCCTACTGTTCGACCTAGGACCCTGAAAATTCACAGTCTCATGACTCGTGCAATATTAGTTTTACCCCCTATATTATTTTCTTTGTGTGTTGCTTTAGGAAAGTAAATCAGAAAATGTAGAGGTTCAATTAGTTGATTTTGGGAACAAACTTGTCCTCTCCTATAAAAACTTGAGGAAACTAGACAGCCAGTTTGTTCATTTACCAAAGCTAGCTATGAAATGCCATTTTCCCCTGGTAAGTGTGTCATGAGCATGCTCAGCTATTGCCGTCTATTCAACTTGTTTATTGTAGATGTATCCGCCTGGATCAACTGAAATGGAAACATTGTCTGAATGGCCAGATCTATCGATAGATGCTCTCTTATGTTTAAGTGGACTTCAAGGTGCTCGTGAAGATGAGAGCAAATTTTTTCGTATGGTATATGCTTCCTATGCTGAAGATCGGTAAGTAGATGATATTTTGTCACTGTTTTAACGAGATTTTGCTAGTAACTCCGTCGCTAATATTGCAATTTTTCAAAAAATGGTGATACTAGTAGTAGTAATAGTAGAAAGATTTATTTAGCACGTTTTCTACATAAACATAATAATTACCAACAACTTAAAATTAGTAAATTCTAGCCATATGCTGTAAATGCTGCAAGCTATAATTGTAGATTTAACAAGTCTTTCCTCAATTTTACTTTGAATTTTGTCAAAATCTTCTGGTTTTTTATCTCTGTATTTAATTTATTTTCAATCAACCCTTGATGGAATACAGTTGTAGTATATATTATACTTTTTGGATACTGAATGGGAGTCATCTTTATTTCTGGTATTATGTAAATGATGGTCGGAATTTGATGATGTTAAATCAGTTAGACATGGTGGAAATATATCATTTTTTACCTTATAAATAAATATCATTAAAAGATATTTGATATGATTTTTCACATTGCGCCATTTTAATTTGCTAAGCATTTGTCTCGTTGGAGTATATTTATCTTAATTCACTATTATCATGCACTTGTTTTGTAAAATTTGCAGTCTTTCAAAAATTGAATTATTAGCTAAATATAGAATAATTAATCGAACAGTACAAGAAATCTGGAAAAATGATAGTATTATACAGTGAGGTTCAATATGTATGTTAGAAAGAGTGCGCCGATTGCGTCAGTGGCCTTGTCTTTCGGGTTGCTAGGCAACGAGGTGCTTCTATTTCTTTCTAACACACGTATTGCACGCTTCTCTCGTACACATTACGACGTCAGTGGTATTTGGTTTTCAGTGTAGAATGTTTTTCTGCTTTATGAACTAGGATATCAAGAAGCTCTTGATAAATATCCCACTTTGCTACTAATCTTGATTATAATTTTCCCATAATGAATATCAAATTATTTGAGAATTAACAAAAACTCCAAGGTATTCAAAATTGTATACGAATTGAATATCTTCACCATCATGTTTAGTTGAACATGTGTACATTGTTTTTTTTCCAATAAACATACATAGCTTTCGTTTTACTCGTATTAAATTTGAGTTTGTTTAATGCTAACCATTTTGAAGCACGTTTCAAGTCTTCATTTATATAAGAGATACCAGTATGAATATTTTGAGTGCTTACATGAATCAGAGTGTCATCGGAGAAATTATGAATTTTTCATTTTTTGACTATGGTAGGTAAAACGTAAAATTCGAAAACTGTGTGGTACCATTATGCAACTATAACAGTTTGGCAGGTGAATATCTTTACTGCGCCTAGTTATGATAGTGACTGTTTAATTTTGTGAAGTTTTCTAAATGTGGTGGTAATAAATTTTGAATATGAAAATGATAACTAAACAACATATAACATTTTCTACATTCAACCATTGCAGACTAATTTATATAAAATGATTGTCATCGCTTTTTGGAATACATACTGAGATTAGATAGAACGATAGAAGTATTTTTTTGTTATGTTTTAAATAGTCTAGTATTAATCCTAGCACTAAATTGACTCGAATTCGGAATCTACGCTTCCGATTTACCTAGAAAACAAGCTACCATCCAGACCATAGAATCGCAACAATTTTGTCATTTTTCGTTGAGTAGAATTCTTGCCAAGATTTTGAGAACTTGTCAACTTGCAGACTAGGTAGTTTTTAGGGCGTAAACAGTTATTCCGCGTTTGCTCACCAGGATCGTTGTGAGCGTCCATCTATGGAGGAATGACTCAACTAAAGTGCACGCATTGTTGATTGCATATGTTCTGTGAAACCGAGTGGTCTGTAGTTTTTACCTCTGAGAAGAAAGTTGGTTGATAGCAAGATCGCATCTGGATGATTATGTGTATTGGTCTGCAAGTGTAGAAAAATCATTACTGAATATTCTGAATATGACGGGTTATTTTTATGTTGTGCTTCCTGAAGAGAGGTTATGTTCAAAGTTATAAATTACGAAAAACTGCGGAGAATTACGGGAAATCATCACTGCGCCCGCGTTGTGTGCAATTACTGTTAGCATGTATATGGCTTGTAATTCGACAATGTACAGTGAATACAATTATTTCTTATCTCTCCCATTTTTGAAATTCAGCAAATTTGTATATGTAATTTCCAGAATGGATAAGAAAAAGTGGATGCGCAACGAATTTCTAGCTTTGAATCTAAATTAAGTGTATTTGAGACAAGAACCCAATGTAATTTTTATCAACACATACAACTTACAGCTTAGACCTCCAGTAAGGCCATCTTAGAAACAGATTTTACATCACATAACAGCCAAAGATTGATAACAAGCCTCATGACGTTTAGGCAACACGTACAACTAGTGCTAAGATAACATGTTGCAGAAACACCTACATGAACGCATTAACTGGTAATATATCTTTCTTTCGTCTGGCCACAGACGGCCAACCATGGACAGCTGTTTCGTGCTATTTGGCAACCTCTCAGCATAGTATAGGCTTGGTCTGGGGGCAAGGAACGAAAGCAACTCTACTCTAACCAGAGTATAAGGTTTATTGAAACAAGTGCCATCTTTTTGCAGTGGTTTGATTTATTAGTGTTTAAGTTTATTAAAAAGCTAAAGCAGTATCCAAATATATATATATATATATATATAGGGTGGCTCATCCATGTGTGGACGGAATATTACTCATAAACAAATACATTTTGGGAAAATCTATTTATAGCATGTTATAAATGACATTTGAGGGCACATTTTTAAAATATTGGCAATTATACAGGGTGTCCCAATTTTGACCTACATATCAAAGCTGTGATTTTTTAAATGAAATGGCTCAAAATTTATTGCATATTTGGATAAATCATTACAAAAGAAGAAGTTTGATATGACATACTATGTAAGGTGTTTTGTTCAGAAAAACCGTCCACTTCGGCAACCCCTCAATCCACTATTTTGAAATTAGGAGTACTGAATTTTGTATCAAAAAAACTTACACACCTCAGCTTTTATTTTATTTGTTACTTTTTCGAATTTTCATTTTTGCTCATACAGGGTGGTCAAAAACGCGAGTTGTACTTTTTCTCAAAAATTTCAAATGCATCACTCTGTATATTTGTGCAAGTTTGGATTCATTTTTTTTATACGTTTTTTGGTATAAGGTTTGATCCAGATGAAATCACTAGATTTTGAGTTATTAAGCTTTTAATATAACAACACACCAAAATTAAAGAAAAAAATCACATCATCCATGGAAACAAAAGACAAACAGTGGGCTAGTTCCATATTGCCACTAAGAGTACAGATATGACGTAAAAACTAATAACAATCAGAACAGTATAAATCAGCTTCAAGCGCAATAGAGAAAAACAACATAAACAACGACTGGTTTAACAAATCGTGTGACACTGCTCGCCAGCAGAAGATCAAGGCACACAGAACCTTCTTACACAACCTCACTGTTGGGAACACCCAAGCCGACGTCGAGTCCAGAAACAAATATAACGAAGCGGTTCGCAATGCCAAAAACCATCACAATATAAGAGTTAGGCACAGGGTAATGTCACAGCCCAATGGCAGTCGGTCTTTCTGGACGCTGGCCAAGCAGATTGAAAAGAACTTCTCACACAGTAGCCTTCCACCACTTACATGTCAGGATCCACCATGGATGTCCCCCCAACGCCCAAGTGCTGTTTCAAAGGGTTCTCTACACTATGCGGGAGGTAACATTCAGGCATAAGACCGTAAGACGAGTGCTCTTGTCGCTGGACATCAACAAAGCTTATGGCCCAGACTTGATTCCTGCCATTTTCTGTTATAAGTAAGGTGATTTAGAGGTGCCTAAACCGGGAGCTTCTGGACTACCTCGAACGTCACAGCTTGATTAGCGACAGGCAGTATGGTTTCCGGAACCAGCGATCCACAGGGAACCTCCTAGCTTACGTCACGCAATTGTGGAGTAAACTCATCCTGTCTTATGGTGATACTTATGTCGTTGCTCTTGACATCACGAAAGCGATCGATCAGCTGTGGCACGCTGCCCTTTTAAGCAAACTTCCATCCTATGGCCTCCCAGAAAAGCTTTGCAGATGGGTGGCTGACTTTATCTCTGGCCGCAAGATATCCGTCGTAATTGACGGGTTCTCCTCTTCATCCCACAATGTCAACGCGGGTGTTTCAGAGTGACAAGCCGGTCTCTGCCGATGAGCTGGAAAAAAGAAGACTAGCGACGACTTCCTCTCTTACGAGAGACCTGGAGGCTATCACTGCTTGGGGACGCAACAGTCTTGTACAGTTTATTGCTTCCAAAACACAGTACTGTACCTTGACGAACAAAAAGCGACCTAAAGCTCATCCGGTTTCGATGGATGGCCGAGTTCTGCCAAAGAGCTATTCATGTCGACAGGTCGGAGTCCAGATCACCGAGGACCTGATCCGGCTACCGCTACACCAACGGGCTTTGCTCCTCAGAGCTCTCTTCCATGATGCCGGCGCGCGATGTGACTGCCAGACAGACCCGCTTGACTTTGACCTCCCATCCTAACCGTGTCGAACTTCGTACATCCAGAAGTGGCCGATACGACCGCTCTTTGTCCCGAGGGTGTCGAGATTGTGGAAAAATCAACAAGAGGAAGCTTTTCCTAGTTTTACTAACCTCGGCTTAACATAATTTCTTTGGGATCATCATAGCAGCCGTGATGTTCCGGCATTTAGGCTTCTGCCTGCTGCGAGCAATTCATATGTTCAATTAATTTTTTGTTGAGCACTCCACCAGCCCATAAATTAACGCCGAACTGACGTTGAAAGCTGTGTCGGCGAATAGCGTGTAGATTTTCTGCGCTCCATGAATGGAAATTGTGCATGTTGAATATTCCATTTCGGTTGAAGTTGGATTCATCTTTCCATAAGATGCTGTCGAAAAAAGTTTCATCCTCTTCGCACCTTCTCAGCATATTCTCACAAAATTCAACCGGTTGTGTATAGTCGCTTGGAACCAACTCTTGTAGTTTTTGGACATGGTAAGGGATATGTTTCTGCTTCGGGCAGTGGCTCTGGTGCTTATAGAGGGATCTCTCTCGGCTGCTTCTATTATACATATCTTCTATTTCTTCTGGGCGTATCCTCGGCGCTCCTAGCTGACGATGAGTGCCTAGGATGCGGCCCTCCATATACGCATTATGAAAGCGTAGACAAACGCGGTAGTCGGGATACACCGCCCTAACCACATACACCAGATACATGCGAGCAGCTGCTCGAGCATTTCCTACGGCAGCACCGTGATGCATTTCTGCATAATCTCGCTGATAATATTTCATGATTGTACTCAGATGACAAACGTTAGATACAAATTCCGCGCTGGATCATTGCCTGACTTAGTAATTTCGGTCGGACCGAAGATTGAACTCTCCGCACCTGGAAGGCCGAGTTGAATGCCCGAGCACATTGCTAAAACTAACTATCTAGCTCATCTCAGAAAAAAGATTATTGCCCTAAATCTAATAGTTTAATTGTAATTGCGATTGAAAGTTCATTATCGTTAGCAAATATTTGACTTTTACAGTGTTCTAAAATCTCAGAGATATCATTCATACATATATTTAAATTGGATAGACGGGCCTAATTTACTACCCTGTAGTACCCCTACTGATTGATATATTTTATATGGTTGACATAATATTCCCAATTTTATTTTTTCCACTTCTATTTACTGAATAATTTTGTAAAATGTTTAGAACTAATCCTTTAAAACCATAGTGATGTAATTTCATTAACAATTTTTCCTACTATACTTATTTAGTCACTTTATTTTGGTTTCAGACAGTCTGTTGCAGTGGATTTAATTGATACAAATGAAACTGATGAAGAAAAGACAGTAGGTCAAATTCTAATAGATCTCCATATGGTTGTTCAGATTATACCTTCATCTTATTGTAAGTAAAAAAACTTCAAACCATTCTTATTCAAAGTGTTTGTTTATCTGTCTTGAAATGTAAACTTAACCATAATTATGTTGCATGTGAATGTCATACAGTACTGCCATACTTAAGTAAAAGGCAATAAAATTCCTTTACTGCCTTCAGTAATATTCATTGCCTTTTCCAAATTTTTAAGTAAAAACATTTTTTATGACTATAATTACGAAATATATCATTGAATGCATTTGTTATTTAATAAAAATATTTATTTTTCACTCTGTCATTACCTCTTACGATATTTACTTATTTAGTTTCTTATGATGTAATAATTCTACTAGTTGTAAATTATTACCATTGACCCGAAAGAGTAATTTTGAACAATATTTTTTATTTAATATAAGAAAATAAATATTTATGGTAATTATTAAATTGAATGATCAAATGATGAAAATATTTACTTTTGTGCTATTTCTGTCAATTTCAATATGAATAAGTTATCTTAAAATAAAATTCTTAATGTAGATTACTGCGTTTTTCTGTTGCAAAAATAATACAAATAGATTATGAAAACTGCGAGAAAAGCAGTGAAGTTGTTTTTACAGAGCGGTAAATCAGATGCTGCTTTTTGATTTACGACAATTACATACAGTACGTCATTTATTTTATGCCTCGACAATAATTATGATACGAAATCACATTTAAATGACTATCTATAAAGTTATTTAATATTGCAATATTTATTCACTCTTGTTCATAATTTATTTAGTTCGAAAAAAATCTAGAATTTTGAATTCAGTTTTCTCAGACTTCGATTTTCACACTTTTCAGCCTTTTAAATAAGTACGTCATAGTAGATCTAATAAACTTTTAATACTACCTAGCTCAAAAGGGATATAAATCAACAGTTTTTGAATTTTATATTACCGAAAATTTACAATATATTACCGATTGAAATAAAAAATGCCACTAACAGTAAGAAATTTACACAGTCTGTAGAACAATATATTTTCCACCATTATGAAGAAATCATCAAAATTCTGGATGGTTAGGTAACTAAGGTCATGTTAACCTTGCATATTTTGTATTTTTGATTGATATTTCGAGCACAAGTGCTTTAATAAATTAACTAGCTTTAATTTGAGTTGTAAGCTGGATATACATACTTATAGTCAACGCCAAACAAAGTGGCGTGCACGTCATCACGATAAAAATTCCCCGACCTAATGCCTAGGTTTCTATCACAAACAATTGCTCTATTGCAGTTTCATATTAATGTGATATATAAATTGTAAAATGCTCATTACTCTCTTATTATGGTTAATAGTCATATAAACATTGTTATTAAAATATCACATAAGTTGCTTTCTGATAAATTTAGACGCATTATGTGAAATAAAATGTTTTGCAAACGCTCCAATCACTTATCGACATGTAAACGCACTAAACCGATTTCGCAGCGTTGACACATTGTCACCTTGAAACTTATTTAAACTGGGAACTGACATTTGTATTAATTTTGACACTGAATCAATTTGTGGCATTTCAAATCTTTATAAAGCCTTTGGCCCCGCATACTGTAAATCAACAACTGTTTGTTTCAAAACAAAATTATTCATTTTACGAGTAGATAAAGGCAATTTTGGTATATAAAGATGCCCAAACAGTTAAATAGTCGGTGTAAGGAACTCGTGGCCTCGTTAATGCACTACTTTGAGCAAGAAAGGGACAACAACGGGCCTTTGTTGCCTTTAAATGCTGTTCAAGAGGTAGGTTACTAATAATTATATGTAATGTATATTAATAATAGTGAAATTTTATTTCATTTTTTGTAGCGTGTTGCTGCTGCTTTAAAAATTAGTTTAAGGACAGTTAGTCGTATTTCCGAGGGTGTGAAAAGTGATGCAAATTTAGAATCGCCCAAGAAAAAGCGGAGTTATATTAAACGTGTAACCAACACAGCGACATTGGATACAAGTGCCATTCGAGAAGTGATCTATAATATGTATCACAAAAGTAAGATCTTATTATAATAACTTATCAGAAATTTGCATTAATTTGTTAACTAAATTATAATGTCATATTACACATGGTTTCAGAAGAACAAGTTACGATACAAACTTTATGGTCTCGATTAAGAGATAAGGCATTATTTGATGGTAGTGCCACGTCTTTAAGGCGGTTGCTTAGAGATCTTGGATTTAAGTGGCTTAAGGACAATCCGCGACGAGGGCTCATGGAACTACCAAGTATAGCTTTGAAAAGGGTGGAATTTCTAAGGCAATACAATCAAGCCAAGGTTGAGGCCTTATACCAGTTTGTCTTTCTCGATGAAACTTGGATATTTCAAAATGGGACCATAGGTCGCTCTTGGCAAAATGGAAACCAAAAAAGCGTGAAAGTTATTAAAACAGATGGTAAAAGGTATGTACTTTTACACAATTTGCACTATAAAATTTAAAACTAATATATTTTAGATACATTATATTACATGCTGGAAATGAAAATGGGTTTATTGAGGGTAGTGAAGCGATATTTTCTTCGAAAACAAAATTGAGCGATTACCATGGAGAGATGAACCAGGACAGTTTTTTGAAATGGTTTCAACATCAGTTATTAGAAAAATTGGAGAGTCCATCTATGATTATACTGGATAACGCCCCTTATCACAGCATGATATTGAACAAAGTGCCCAACAATGCATGGACAAAAAAAAATATCCAAGACTGGTTGACAAATCAAAACATACCATTTTTAAACACAATGTTTAAAACAGAGCTATTGAGTATTGTTGCTCGGTACATAATGCTTCTTAATTATATATATTTTGGTCGACAGTTTATATTTCTTTTGTTTATTCCTATTCTTAAAATAACTGCTTTTTTAGAAACAAACCACCTAAAATATACGTGATTGATGAATTGGCGGAACAACATGGGCACAAAGTTCTTCGTCTGCCTCCTTACCATTGTATATTTAACCCTATTGAGTTAATTTGGGGCATAGCAAAAGGTTACTATAACAGACATATTGGTAGAGATGGTAACAGTGAAAAAGACTGTTTGGATATGTGGAACGAGGCTCTACAAACGGTTACCCCAGACATGTGGAAAAATAGTGTTCGACATACTGAGCAAGAAATTTTTAAATGGTATGAAAGAGAACGAATTTTTGATCGACCAGACATCGAACCTTTAATAATCAACTTTGAGAGTGATGAAGATTCAAATTCAGACAGCGCTGAAGAAAGAAACTCCGACTAACTTTATTGTACAGAAAAAGCTTACACCAGTAGCTTACCTAATTTTAGAATGCATTTTTCTGTATGAATTCTGTAAAATAAATACCATGCATAAAATTTGGAGGACCCCATTTGGATTTTTATTCAGTACCTTTAAGCTATCAATTAAATATGGTAGTTTCATAGTGTCATCTGATCAATAATTGTCATACTTAATGATTATGCAAGTACAGATCTATAATTTTATTATACTATTATTTTTGTTCTCATTTGAGGTTAATATTGCTTATAAACCTAGATATGTAAATAATAAATTTTATTATTTTACAAAAAGTTTGGCAACAATGTAAATTTTTCAACACACCCACCTTGATGACGTGCACGCCACTTTGTTTGGCGTTGACTATAGAATATTTGTGGTGTAAGATACTTTTAATTTTGTTTTGTTTTGTGTAGGGATGTACCGAGTAAAACATTTTGCAAACAACCGGCACGCAGTCACATTTTTTCTGGTTTAATTCAGCTTGTAAAATAAAAATAATGCACCACAAGAAAAGAAACAGTTGTGCAGCTTAACAATGTATGAGTGAAGCGTCATAGCTTAATGTATTTGGGGTACTTACTTTTGTCTTTTCAGCAGCTACATTGATCTAAAATTGAAACCACATTTTGACATTCGTTTTTGGAACATTGGGGTATTCCCTGCTTGTGATTCAAATATCGATTATTTATTTATTCTATATTGCTACAGAAAGCAACCTTCAACTTTATTTTATAATTATGCGCTAACTACTACTTAATAAAAAATGGGAAAAAAACACGCGGCAAATTTAAAATATCGAAACGTCATGCAACTAGCGTGACGTCACGATCTCGGCGTGTGAGGAGCGAATCCTTTGTCGCTGTCATCGATTTTCAGAATTTTCAGGAATTCACTGAGCTATCTAACTACAGCCGTTCGACATTGGACGTGCTGTCACCAGCAGGAGAATTTTGTTGCCAAGACAACGTCGGAAAAACAACAAAAGAAAAATAGATCCTTTCAAAACTTGACAGCAAATTAAACATAGTATAAAATGACAATCCATGAGTTGTGACTTCACTGCTAAGCGCGCAAAAAATGCGGGATTTAAACAACGTCATTTACGTCACTTTTAAATATTTAATTACAAAAAAAAATTATTTCCATGATTGAAATATTTATTTACAGTATTATATTAACGTAAATAATAATCGGCATCAAATACAAAAAAAAAAATGCATATTCCATACTGTATATTCAGCCATGATAGCCGAACTGGCCTCTACATATTGGCGATGACGCATATTTATCCGTTTTGAAATGGAGGCGTAACATTTGCTTTGTGAAAAAAAAATAGGATCCTCACAATTATTTCTAGTACTGGAAAGCCATAACATAAATGATGACTTTGACTAAGATTCGCCTTACAGATTAAAATATGTCTTAAGACGATGTATAATTGCCACCAGATGACAGTGAAGAGGAAATGGAAGCATTTCTAGATGACATTCATATATTGGAAACTGCAGAAAACATAAATGAAGCTGTAGCTGGGTATGATGCCAGAGATGAAGCGAGAATATGTAGATTTACCAAACCAGACGGGACCTGCTTCAAGGGAAAGAATTGTAAATTAGAACATGTTTTGTTGCCAAAAGGTAATGAGTGCTTAGTATAGGCTTTTTATATGAATGTAAAACCCAACACTCATTTATGATCCATTGCCTTTATGTAATATACAAATTTTATTTATTTAACTACATATTTGTTTCATTCAGTAACTACTAACGATTTGTTTTTGGATTATCACAGCTTGAAAATATCAGGGTCTATGGAATAAGGATTCAAGTAACTTGTACTGAATGCTACTCAAAAGCACATATACTGGATGTTGAAAACTGACCCAGTGACGACAAAGTAACAAACATCTGGCAATTGTCATCCCTCTCTACAAGGTGCCTTGGATTTTCCATATTTTCTGGGATACCCTATATAATTTGGAAGATTTTGATCAAATTTTGGCTATATCACTATAGCAAATCTGCTCTGCCATTGCAGAATTAGGCGAGGTACACAGATTTGCCTGTCGATAACATGTGTAATGAAGAGCGCTCCAACTGATGCTGGGCCTCCCACCAATACATTTTGTAATAATGTGGAGACGAAAATGGGCTACTCTAAGCTACAATTAGAGCCAAAGGGATGAGAACCTTAGACACAATCAAATAAGGAAATTTGCGGGAAGCTTTATACTTGACGTGAGGAAAGACCACTTAGTTCGCATAATCGTAATAAAAAAAAACTTGATACCAAAATAAGAGATCGAAATGGACACCAAAGGCATAACCTGCAAGGGGAAATTAACTGGTGTACAGACGGATCAAAAACTGAGCAGTCTACAGGAGTAATCCTGGGCATATACCACTTGGAAGCCACACCTCTGAATTTCAGGTAGAAGTGTATGCAATCTTGCATTGCTCAAGAGTAAATAATCAGCGAGCGTACAATAATATATGGATCGCCATATACACTGACAGCTAGGCATCACTTAAAGCGCTAAGCCTTAGAGTGACATCTGCACTGATTTGGGAATACTAACAAGAACTGAACACACTCACGGAACACAACAATGTAAAGGGCCGATAATCTCGCAAGGAAAGGATCAATCACACCCTTTGCAGGCCCAGAACCTACCTTGGGGGCGCAAAAAAGCACAATAAGGAACCAAGTCAAAGAATGGCTAAGAAACCAGCACAAAGAATATCGACACTTAATGACTGGATACAGGTATGGGAAAGAATTTATCTCTGGACCGTATCCACATAAGGCTGCGGAACAACTGCTCTCAATGAGTAGAAATCAACTCCGTGTAGTTACAGGCCTTCTAACAGAACTTAATGGCCCTAAAGATTATTTCGGCAAAATAGGGCTGTATGATGTAGATGATGTTTTATGTGAGTACAAAGCACTGGAGAGGGAAATGGCAGACGAGAAAGGAAATAAGATAAGGAGTATTAAAAACGGTCCAGTACCTCAGTGCAAAGTAAAACATATATTTCATGTGCCATGCAGAACTGCGAATTATAGGCATTACTTTTTAGATACCTAAAAATGTTTGATATATAGAATCCTTGACTGTATACCTTCTTCATTCAAAATTAGACAAAACAATTAAGAATGGAAGCATACGTTAAAAATAATGTCTTTTTTATATTCAGACGGCTTCACCACAGACAAGGAGATCGTTTACAAAGAGGCGATGTACAGTCTCCAACTGCCAAAAGTGGGGGAGATCGTGACAATTTTAATCACAGCATATATAGACAGCTGCAACTTTTTCGGGCATATTGTGCAAACGCCGTTCCGCAGCAAGTACGGTGAGTGTTGTTTTCAACAAGTGTAAAACTTCATACTTGATGTAACTTCGTAATGTTGGTGGTTTTATCTGAAATTTTAATGAAATTGATTATTGCCAAGAGAAAACTTATTACTTATGTATTTTGAGTGTTAAGTACTCGCATCAAGCGTAAACGCTTATTGCTCTAGAGATATATGCAAATTTTCTCCAGACCGGGTAAACTGAAAATTAAGCAGCTTTAAAAACAAGAAAATTGACTGTTCTATTGTTGCGCTGGTGCCGTAGGCTCTTATCGTTACTTTACATTCCAGTGACATCGAGTCCATGGACGGAAAAATGGGATCCCTAACACCTTTCACCCAGTCGTTGATAAAGATTTGTACATTTCTCGAGAAATACAAAGGATGAAGATCCAAAAAAATTTTTACAATTTTTGCCTTTTTGTCCAAAATTAACTGATATATTCAACTAGTACATGAGCGCCTGATTGTAACTCTTAGTTCAAATCTATAATAAAACACCAAACATACATAAAACTGAAAGTGTAGCGCCTCTGCACTCTTAATACAAAAATTGTTGAAACAAGTGGATACACAATTACAATGAGAATTCAGGTTTTGTTTTTATTGTGAGCACATTGGCGCAACAACCATATACCATACATTGTATATTCTGTATTCTAGTGTGTTCTATTATAGGTTTGAAGTAGAAAGTGTTGTGCGACCATGCGCCCTTTGCTTTTTTCCATAGAAATACCTAAATTGCAAACTTTGAGCTTTTAAAAAACAATCTGGTAGTACAATAAAAAAAATGGTAATGATATCCCCCTCCTGATCGTTTTACAGGTTATATAATAGATGCCGAGCTCGAGCAATTTATGGAGAAAATAAACTCCGACAGACTGATAAGAACTTTCAAGCCTATGAGAATTCTTCCGGGAGTTGGAGAAATTGTTCTTGTTAAACCACCTACCTCAAAAAAATGGTTTCGTGCGATAGTTCGGAGCAGCAGCATGACGAATCCACACAATCAAGACAGTTCTATTGAAGCGAGTAGTTATTTGAATTTAATGCTTTATTACATATTATACATTATGTATAAATTGTATTGCTTTTGTAATTAAGTATCCCTTGAAAATTAACCGTAGAAGTTACAAAAAGTAGTTGAAGTAACATTTGAAACTTATCCTCTTCATGTTGATAATTCCCCATGTTTATCTAGCCAATGAAACCACGTGTCTAAAATTTTCTTTTATTGTATACGTTTCGGTGCCAATAGGAACCTTGCCACATTGATGGTTGGTAATGTTTTTGCCTGCTCTGCTGAGTAGAGGAAGACCAAGACTTTTATGTAAGTACAGTGCATTTGATATAATGATAGACATACAAGAAATAATGAGTAATACACTTATATAATGTTCCTTTTATTCAAAACTAAGCGCATGCGTCATAACATCTGAATAATTTTATCTAATATAATTGTAGCAATCATGCTAAATAAATCTTGAACAAACAACAAAAAATATTGTCTCACATATAGATTACGTCAAACTTAGCGAGACGATAAAATCCGAACAATAAAATGTAAAACATCCCGCACATAAGATATGCTCCAAGCAATACATAGTTTTTTTTATATCGAAACAGCCGCGCAGGCAGAAGCCTAAATGCCGGAACACCGCGGCTGCTATGATGATCCCAAAGAAATTTTGTTAATACGATTTTTGAACTGCCTAAGGTTAGTAGAACAGGGAAAAGCTTCCTCCCGTAGATTGTTCCACAATCTAGACACCCTCGGGACAAAGGAGCGGTCGTATCGGCCAGTTCTGGATGTACGAAGTTTGACACGGTTAGGATGGGACGCCGAAGTCAGGCGGGTCTGTCTGGCAGGCACATCGCGCGGCGGCATCATGGAAGAGAGCTCTGAGGAGCAAAGCCCGTTGGTGTAGCGATAGAAAAGAGCTAGATCGCCGACGGCCCGCCGGTGCGAAAGAGTCCCGAGACTGTCTGTTAGAGAAGAGTCATCGATCAGTCGGACCGCCCTCCTCTGGACAGCATCGAGCATGGACAATGTAGTCGGGGCGGCAGCACCCCAAATGTGTGAGCAATACTCGAGGCTGGGCCTTGTATAGAGTGAGAAGGTCATGCGGAGAAAAGTACTTCTTAGCCCTAAACAAATAGCCTAGCTTTTTCCCAGCAGCTGCAGCTATTGAAGAGATGTGTTCGTGCCATATCAGGTCCTCGGTGATCTGGACTCCGACCAGCCGAAATGAATGGCTCTTTGGTAGAACTCGACCGTCCATCGAAACTGTATGAGTGCTAGGACGCTTTTTGTTCGTCAAAGTACAGTACTGTGTTTTGGAAGCATTGAACTGTACAAGATTGTTACGTCCCCAAGCAGTGATAGCCTCCAGGTCTCTTGTCAGAGAAGAAGTCGTCGCTAGTCTTCTTTTTTCCAGCTCAGCGGCAGAGATCGGCTTGTCACTCTGAATTCATGCATGTAGAGTGCTGTCATCAGCGAAGCTGTGGATTGGGTTGATCGTGCAGGAAATGAGGTCGTTGATATGTAAGAGAAACAGTGTTGGAGCCAAGACCGATCCCTGGGGAACACCCGCGTTGACGTTGTGGGATGAAGAGGAGAATCCGTCAATTACGACGGATATCTTGCGGCCAGAGATAAAGTCAGCCACCCATCTGCAAAGCTTTTCTGGGAGGCCGTAGGATGGAAGTTTGCTCAAGAGGGCAGCGTGCCACAGCTGATCGAACGCTTTCGTGATGTCAAGAGCAACGACATGAGCCTCACCATGAGACTGGATGAGTTTACTCCACAGTTGCGTGACGTAAGCTAGGAGGTCCCCTGTGGATCGTTGGTGCCGGAAACCATACTGCCTGTCGCTAATCAAGCTGTGACGTTCGAGGTAGTCCAGAAGCTCGCGATTTATGCACCTCTCCATCACTTTACTTATAACAGAAAGCAGAGCTATAGGCCTGTAGTTGTAAGGGTCGGTTTTAGATCCTTTTTTTTGGGATGGGCTGTACATGAGCAAATTTCCAGTTTTCTGGGAAGGTGCCGGATTCATAAGATATCTGGAAGAGACGCGAAAGAACTGGAGCAAGCTCAGCTGCACATCTCTTCAGTACAATGGCAGGAATCAAGTCCGGACCAGAAGCTTTGTTGATGTCGAGCGACAAGAGCACTCGTCTTACGGTCTTATGCCTAAATGTTACCTCCCGCATAGTGTGGGGAACCCTTTGAATTGACGGCACTTGGGCGTTGGTGGGGACGTCCATGGTGGAGTTGGCAGCAAAGATCTTGGCTAGCACTTCCGCCTTGGCCTTTGAGTCGAATACAATAGTTCCATCCTGACACGTAAGTGGTGGAAGGCTACTGTGTGAGAAGTTCTTTTCAATCTGCTTGGCCAGCGTCCAGAAAGACCGACTGCCATTGCTCTGCGACATTACCCTGTGCCTAACTTTTATATCATGCTGGGTTTTGGCATTGCGAACCGCTTCGCTATATTTGTTTCTGGACTCGACGTCGGCTTGTCTGTTCTCTACAGTGGGGTTTTGTAAGTAGGTTCTGTGGGCCTTGATCTTCTGCTGGCGAGCAGTGTCACACGATTTGTTGAACCAGCCGTTGGACCCTGGTTTAGGAACTTTCACTGTGTGTGGGATGTATTCCTCCATTCCGACGTGGATAATTTTGGTTATTGAAGAACAGACAGTCGACGCATCCGCGTCAGTGAAACAGACATCTCTCTAAGGAAAGCTAGAGAAGAAGTCTCTGACCCCTCCCAGTCGGCATGTCCGTAATGCCAAGTTTTGCGGCCTGTGCGAGTTTCTGCTGCCACAGCGGCTTCTGACCGAAACCTAACCTCCACAACACCGTAATCTGAGTTACCCAGGGGGGACAGGACAGCAGTGCTGTAAGGGGCAGGATGAGTGGTCAGAAAGAGATCCAGCAGGCTACTGGCGTGTGACGAGACGCGGGGGAAAAAAGTAGGGCTCGTCACCAGCTGGGTCAGCCCTTGAGTAAGAGCGAACGCTTCGACTGCACGGCCTGCTGCATCGGTCTTATTTGAGCCCAACCAAAGCTCATTATGGGCATTGAAATCACCGAGAAGAACTACCTCTGAAGCGGGGTGTTGCGTATATTCATTTCCATACCAATTGGGAAGAAATATAATTAATTGTTAATTGGGGAATTTGCAAACTTTAAGCTTAGTAAACTCTTTTGACGGTAATCTCGAGCTTTCGACACTCTGTCATGTTCAGGAGCTGAAACACAAATATGAAGCTAGCAACCAATTCAGAAAGGATTTAAATTTTCAGACAACTTACTCGTCGGTGAAGTTGCAGCCAAATGGTGTTTTAAAACGAAAGCGTGGTTGAGAGCACTTGTTGCAAATGTAAAACCAAAAGGACGGTTGGTCCCGACGGAAATCATAGCTAGGTGTTACCACTAAATATCAATACACCCGCACATAATTAACAATTATCGAACATTTTCAAGTTATTAAAAAACTAGTACTGCATTTTGGGGGAAAACTAGTTTTTTAATTACTTGAAAATGTTCGATGATTTTCAATTTGTTCGGGTGTATTGATATGTAGTGAGAACACCTAGCTATCATTTCCGTCATTACCAACAAATCCAATGTGTCCGTCCTTTTGGTTTTACATTTGCAACAAGTGTTCTCATCCACCATTTGTCTGTAACCTCACCGACGATTACCGTCAAAAGAGTTTACTAAGCTTAAAGTTTGCCAATTTCCCAATTAATCATTAATTGTATTTCTTGCCCAATTGGTCGTTGGCAATGGCAATGACTACTGCTCGCATTATATACGAAAATAATATATATATATATATATATATATATATATAATTTTCATGTAAAGTAGTAGAAGTTATATTTATATGTTTAAGTGTTTGAGAGGTTATGCTGCTGTCAGCTGCTGTTTACAAATGGTATGACGACATTTTTTTAAATTAAAGTTTTTTTAGGTCCGAAACAAATATAGTATTAATTATTTTGGTCTAATGGAACAAATAATAAAATTCACGACCTACTTAAAAATGTCAACTAGCCTGTTGACACTTTTTAACAATATATTTTATCTGTCTTCGTTTGTTTTTTCTTTTCTGATATTTTCATTTAGCGTGTGTAATGCCTGGACTCATATCTTCTTTTTCAAGATCAATATTCGTTGCTAACCTCATGATGTCTGTCTTAAGATTACGCAGATCACACTATTCGTCTTAAAGCTACGGACACTCGCGCACTACACTTGTTATTACAATAGTCTAAAAGATCTTGTAGCATGCTGAGATTGCGCGATGCGATCATTCCGAATTTTTAAATGGCACAGCCCAGGGCCCGCTGTGGTATGTCCAGTGCTCCAAAACAAGCGAGTATGAGGTTATCTGACGTTTTTCAATGACCAGATACGTCACGCTCGTTCATTGTTCCTAAAACGCCAAAAGCCTCCCAAAAAAGGTGAAAACCCACCCACCTGTTGTCGTAACACATCGGTTAATTGTTACACAATTTTCGGCCAAAGTGTTGCAAACGCAGTGTTTATGGATCTGAAACGCGAGAAATAGAAATGTGTGTCCTGTGAGAAAATAATGTGACACAAAGGTTTTACTTTGAGATGGCGAAGTAAAACATGTTCGCTTTTGAAATACAATAACAAACCATGAGAAAAAAACTTGCACGTCCTTTTGGGAGCGAGAATGCCTACCCCAGTAAGTCCTGGTATGATGGTTTTGCGTGGTTCCATCTTAAAATTTGGAATGATGGCTTCATGCAGTCTCAGCATCTTATAGGACATTTCAGACTATATAGTAACAAACTGTATAGGAATGTGCAAAGAAAAAACAAACGTCACCTGGAATACAGATAAAATATATTGTCAAAAAAGCGTCAATTGTACTGAAAAGGTCACCATTGAAACCGAAACGTATACTTTAAATAAGAATCAAACAGTAGTAGTTGAACATTCTAATTTCTCAATGATAAGGGAGTACTTGTGAAAGACTGAATATGTCATATGAAATCGTATTTTGTTTGTAGGTCTTCACTGTTGACATTGGCGATATTTTTGTAGTTAATTTGCAAGACATCAGAAAGATTGAACCACATCTACTAAGGCTCCCGTTCCAGGTAATAATTTGTATGTTTGATTGAGCTTATATGCTAACTAAATATACGTTTCAGGCTGTGCATTGCTATTTAGAAAATTATAAATTCAAGAAAAATTGCGATAAGCGACAATGCAAAGATTTTTTCATGAAGAATTTTTACTTTACAAATTTTGCAGCCATAATCAGGTAACTATTTTTTCACATTTACTTTAACACGTTCAACTATATTTTTATTTTTTCAGTCTTGTGCAACATAAACTCTTTTTTTCAGGTCATCAGAATTACCATTAAAAATTCAGCTTACTAAATTTAACGGACTAGATGTGGGCGAATTTTTAATGAGATACGGATTTGCAGAACATACAAAATTTGACCATAATCCAATGGATGATTGCCCCATCGCCCTAGCCTAACATTATCTATCTAGAATCGCCAATACGAGGGTGGTCCTAGAAGTACCCGACCCAACGAAGAAAACATTTTGTTAAAAATGTATTTATTTTTCAACATAATCTCCTTTGAGCTCTATACACTTTTCCCAGCGATGTTCATTAAGTTCGATACCCTTTGTATGATAAGAACTGTCTTGCTCCTCAAAATAGCCATTAACTGCAGACATCATTTCTTCATCGTTGGAAAATATTTGACCACTGAGCCATTTTTTCAAGTTTGGAAACAGAAAATAATCCGAGGGGGCTAAATCTGTTGAATAGGGTGCATGAGGTAGCAATTCAAACTTTAATTCGTTAATTTTGGCCATTGCAATAACGGATTTGTGAGCTGGTGCATTGTCTTGATGAAACAACACTTTCTTCTTAACCAAATGCGGCCGTTTTTGCTTGATTTCATCGCTCAAACGTTGCAATAAGTTCGCATAATACTCGCCGTTGATAGTTTTACCTTTTTCAAGATAGTCAATAAAAATTATCCCACGCGCATCCCAAGAAACCGACGCCATAACCTTGCCTGCAGATGAAGCGGTCTTCGCCTTCTTTGGAGCCGGTTGTCCATTTTTTCGATTGTTCTTTTATCTCGGGTGTGAAGTGATGGACCCATGTTTCATCCATGGTTATGAAACGACGCAAAAATTCTGCTTTGCTGCTGTGAAAATTCGTTAAACACTCAGTTGAAACATCTTCACGATACTGTTTTTGCTCGATTGTGAGCAATCGCGGCACCCATCTTGCACACAGCTTTATCATGTCCAAATTTTCACATAATATGCGACTTTTTGAAATACCTACTATGTCTGCTAGCTCGCGCACTTTCAGTAGACGATCATTCAGTACCGCTTTGTGAATTTTCTTCACCATTTCTGGAGTCGTCACCTCATTTGGTCGACCAATGCGATGCTCGTCTTGGCAGCTCATACGGCCTCGTTTAAACCCTGCTACCCAATATTTTACTGTTGTAAACGAAGGAGCAGACTGACCCAGAGTGAAATCCAGTTCTGCTTTTATATTGGTTGGGCTGAGGCCTTTGAAACCACATAACGATGACCAATTTGCTCCATTTTCACAAATACACTGAAAACGTTCAGTATTGATGGCTGCCAAACAAATACTAAACAACGTGGCGTCTTGACACATATGCTTTATAGGTTGCATACTTTCTAATACAATGATATTTTTCAAACAAATATCGCCATCTCTAGGTCAGGCCGGGTACTTCTGGGACCACCCTCGTGCTGCGCCTTTAGCTGAAATGACGTGCTTTTAGGAAATGTTGATTGATTACACAGGCCCACACATTTTTTTCATGTGCCTGAGATCAGACCAACTTTATAGACGTTTTTTGTATCGCCGAATTCGAATCCTTTGTTATTTCGGGGGGTCCCAGGTAAAAAAAATCACGGGTACGACAAGGGGTAAAAAAACTAAATTAGTACATGTACACAACAAATATGGTTGGCCGAATAGAGAAAAATAATGAAAATAAGTTATTTCAAAGTTCATTATTGCCATATTTAAGGAACAATCAACTCAAAATGATAAAAATAAAAAAAACACGTTTTAATAAAAAATTGTTTCCAATGCAAATCTAAAAGTAATATGAATCGATATAGCCCCACATAGAGGTGAGAAGAGGTGAACAAAAGTTTCTTCTTTCGTTATGAATGCTATGATGAAAAATAAAACGATGTTATACTGAGGAATTTTTAGATCTAGTCCCTTCGCTTTAATTAAAAAATGTAACCCGTTGAGAATCACCTTTGTGGTGGTTTCGTGAGTTGCCTCAGCGACGAGAGACCAAGCCTAGACCATGCTGCTGAGTACCCAAAAAGCACGAAACAGCTGTCCATGTTTGGTTGACCTTTATGGCGAAAATAAACTTCAGTAACAATGTACTTTCAAATACAGGGTGTCCTGAAAGTTGGGGCTTTCCTTTTCAGAGTAAAGTACGTTTGCAATATCAAAGCTAATTAGCGGCAAAACAACATTGATAACGTAAAAAAATATGAAAAATACTCACTACTGATTTGATAAGGCATTTCAAGTACTGCCCTATTGATAAGGAATTTCAAGTACATCCCTGTCACATGTTTTATTCGTAAACACTGCTTGAAGTTGTCGCTGTTCGATTCAAACACACGAGTTTGTTTATGTCTTCCTAAATTTGCATCATTTGGGGCTGTCTAGATCTTCAACTGTGTTCAACCAGGCGGCTTTTGCACGATATAAACAAACATATGAAGCTCTGATTGAAATAAACAACGACGACGTTCCGAGTACACTCGCGGAGTATTAATAAAATCTTGAAGAACCTCAAATCGATAGCTACGTTATTGCTCTACAAATGTGTCAATTTCAGTTTTTCAAATGCGTTTTTTTATAAACTAGGTTAACCTAGACACCACGCGATGCCCGTTTTGAATACTAACTCGCATAGTCTTCGTACATCGACATTGACGTAGGATGGGACTGTGGAAGAGAGGGTGGCAGGATCGTACTGGCTCATTTGATGCTTTTTGGAACCTAATATCTCGGTCATCTTGAAGCTTTGGTATATATGTTACTAAAAAACGTACTTATTACCTGATCTATTTGCTCTGTCTCAAGTTTCAGGACACTGCAGTAAAATACAGGAAATTTAAAAAAAAATAACAACCACCAAAAAAGAGGTTCTCAACTTGCCGATTTTTATTTTTTACTTTTACTTAAAGCAGAAAGCCTAGATCTAAAAATTCCCATGTACAAAATCGTTTTATTTCTCATGAGATAATTCGCTTATTTTTTTTTCAGAATCGAAGTCGCCGGGTGTTCATCAACTTCGATTCATATTACTTTCAGATTCATAACATTCCTCGAGTTAAATGGAGTTGTAATCCTTGAAAGTGAGTTTTTTGTTTAGTCTTTTATCCGTTTTCATCCCCGTAACTTCACATTTTGACCTCGGACCCCTGAAATAACAACGAATTCGAATTGAGTGACCCAAAAAATATCCAAAAAGTCAGTCTGATCTCAGGCGCATATTTTTTTAAAACTGGTTAAATTCGCGTAGTCACTATATTATCGGTCTGCATCTAGGTTTTTCCACGGATTTTGGCAGTTCAATGTAAAACTACCGGTATCATTTTCATATAACCATCTACCTCACACACCTACATACAATCTACGATACTAGTGTGGAGGTTTGTTCATTTAAGCTCACAGACATACGTTTTTCAGTTTTGCCTGGTCGCTGTCGCTTTGGAACTTTCTCAATTAGGTATCACTTGTCATGGGTGTGTGATTTGCGTTCACCTTTTGTCGTCCTTTGATATAAAATAGAGCAATGTTTGGAAAGGCAACTATTCGACAATACAGATGGTGTGTGCTAAATTCATTTCCAGTAAGTGAATGAAAACAACCGACCACTATTACTCTCAAGAGCGAGTAGCAATAAGTTATGAAAGTTAAGCTTCCCCCATGGTACAGTTAGTTTGTTAAATAATTATGATATAGATACCGCCTAAAACAGTGTAAAGACATATGCTTTGGTATAACTATACATAACCATACTTTTTACATTATATACGCAATAGCGTTATTCATGAAATCTATTCTTGTTTTCATTGGCTACATTCATTAGACAAAACTGTGAATTTTTACACACCTTTGCGTTTGCTGTATTCACGATTCAGTAAATAGTTCGATACGCTTGATTTTAACGTCGAGACACATTTGTTTTTGAAAATGACGCCTTGGTGTTATCTCCAGACATTGCTCGTTTACAATTGTGTCACTATTGAAATAGGTGTAGCTTCTAGCTGTTGACTACTGTTGGCCGATATTCCACGAACTGTAACTAATTTTTCTAAATCATGAATCATGGACCTAGGTGCTTTATGGCAGCGCCGAGTGGTATCACAGGATCACGGAGATAATGTTTGAATATGATTGAGATGTGCATATTCAGTAGCCGTTAATAAAGTCGAAAATCGTATACTACGGTTTGAGGATCACTATGAATACATTATTTCAAAAATTGGGCTTCTCATCGTCTTAGTACATTTTAAAAAAATGATTCTACCGCATTTACTTTATTGTGCTACTATCTTGTTCACTGCCAATAAAGCTGTATTCTGCAAATTACAATGTCTACAAAATAAAGCTATGATGATAATATCGAATAAAAATAAGTACACCAAAATAAAATCCATGTTACAAGAATTCCAGTGGTTGAATATAAAAAATAATATCATATTTGGTTATTTTTATATTTTAAACAAAAAATCATCTTATGCCACAACATTTAGAACATTACATAGAATTGAATTATCGTTACCACAATTATACAAGGGGGAATGTAGATTTCCATTTACAAAATTGGAATAGTAATATAAATAGCAAATCAATATTTCGTAAGGGAGTACTTGTATTTAATAAACTAAATAATTATATAAAGTCTATTTGTAATTTAAAGATGTTTAAAAGAAAATTAAAGGAATATTTCATTGACAGTGAACATTCTTACAGATGCTAGTCTTGTTTTTTTTTAAATATTAGTATGATATCTTATTGTTGTAGTTATTAAAAGAATGTAATTGTATTAATTATGTTAAATAAATCTTAAACAATCCGTCGGATAACCACATGGCCGGCAAGCGATATCGCGCCTTAAGGTTGTGCGAGCCATGCGATTTTATCGCGGTGTTTTGCTCATATCATTAAATTTGTATGATCGTAAGCTCTCTTCTTCGTCTTTTAGATCACTATGAGCTCGTGACGATTACGTTAATTGCCTAAATTACAAATTACTCTCATTAAGCACGTGACAGATCAGTTACGCATTGTAGTCAAGTTTTACTAAAAATATCAGTTTTAGTACGTCATTACACACAATACGATAATATAACATATAAAGGTTTTAGCAAATATAGAACGATCTTAGAAATAATTGAAGACACAAGTGGATAAGTATTGTAATTTTTTTTTAAATTGCTTTTTTTGCATTAAACTAACCTTAAGGAGTGTTCTTTCATTCTGTGATTACTTTGTTACAAAAAAAAGATAATAAACTAATTAAACTGAACATTCAAAATGTCAATAAAGTAAAAAGTCTCAATAAAAAATGTTTAAAGTCAATTTTCTCCAAGCAATGATTTTGTTACATGACACCTTTATTCACTTGTGTATACAATTATAGCTTCGCATCTCACTGCACCTGCACCGCACGGGTATTATGTAAAAACCTATAAAACGTCAAAAAAGCCTATAAAATGTCATCTTGCAGACTAGGTAGTTTTTACGGTGCAAACAGTCATTCTACGTTTGCTCACTAGGATCGTTTTGAGCGTCCATCTACGGAGGAATAGCTCAACTACACGCATTGTTAGTTGCATATTATGTTTTGTGAAGCCGAGCAGTCTATAGTTTTCATGTCTAAGAAGAAAGTTGGTTGAATATCGCATCTGGATGATTGTGTCTATGTGTATAAAATCAGTGATATTTGCTGTGTCAGAAAATCATTACTGAATATGCTGCCAATGAAGTATATTTATTAGCTGTGCACGACGGGTTATATATATATGTTGTTCTTTCTGAAGACAGGTTACGTTCAAAGTTGTAAATTACGATTTTTTACGTTTTTTTGTGTTTTCAAAAACTTCGACGAGAATTACGGGAAATTGCCACCGCTCCCGCGTTTTGTGTAATTACTGTTATTAGCATGTATATAACTTGTAATTCCACAGTGTACAGTGAATATAATTATTATCATCTCTCTCATATTTAAATTTAGCAAATTTGCATAGGTAATTTCCAGAACGGATAAGAAAAAGTGGATGCGCAACTAATTTCTAGCTTTGAATGTCAAGTAAGGCAAGCAGATTTTACATCACATCAGAGCCAAACATTGATAACTGAGCATTTAAGCACATCCTTAAAAGTAGTATAGTAACCCCAGGAAGACTATAGAGACAGGAGGTTAAACTGCGTAAGGGATACATTTATTCATATGAAGCCAATCCTGTCGCCAAGGATGGGGTGGTTCTCGGAAATCTGGAAATCTAGTGGGCGTATAACATGGTGCAGATCGTCTGCGCATTAAAAAATGTCAAGATAACCTGCCACAATCTTTATGTGTATTTCACGCACGTTTTGCCATGTTTTGTAGATTTGTTAATCAGTGGTTTATTAATATTATCCAATATATCTGCTTGCAACTCGTCCGAACTGCCAAAATTGAAGCTGTTCGGTCACGATGACAGCAACAGAGAGAGATCCCACATACGCAGAACCTGAAATTCATTTTCCACGCAGTGCACGCACGAGAGAGCTGCCCTTTGCACCGCACCTGAAATTTATTTACTACACAGTGTACCAACTCTCTTTATCGTCGACATTTTTGGCTTCACCACCAGTTTATGAGTTGAACCTCCTATCTCTAGTCTCCATGACCACCTGTAAAGTTGCACGCCCACTGAGGCGAGGGGAATAGCAGCAACATTTGTGATTTGGACGCGTCAAACATGACACGTCGTTTCGCTTCACATCGTTCCAATTTTCCGGCTTTCACTTGATTGTGAGTAAAGGAATCCAGCGGAAGATAATCGCTTCTCTTCTATTTGCTTCCCTTCTCCCCAATGGGCTTGCACCTTTCAGCAAGCTAAGATATAATACAAATCCTACCTACAGCTTGGTTTGGTGGTGATACTCATGTGCTATTTACTTCTATTGTAAAAGTATTTGATATACCTCCATCCATCTCTCTAAAAGTTCTATATACCTGTGTATCTATTGCACTCCAGTTTAGATAATAGGACACTAGTGCAAGTTTACGATAATGTGTTAAAGATTAAGCTATTTTTCATAATTGTAAATTTGTTACGATCTAAATCGATTATTTCTTATATTGTGTACTTGTTATGTGGTAAATCAAATATAGACGGTATTTTTTTATGTATGTTTATTGAATAACCCTACCTTGTTTAATACTTTTCTATATAATCTTCTGCGAGATCTACACACCTTTTTCACTAGTTTGAAAGTTTCTGTGTTCCCTGTTCATAAAAAGTTTGAGGGCGAGTTGTAAGGAAATTGCGCACGCGCTCCTCAACGTCTTAATTGCTCTCAAATCATTTTTCCCTCAGTGATTCCTTCATATGCACGAACAAAAAATGGTCACAGGGGAAGAAGTCGGGGCTATTACGAGGGTGCTCAAGGGTTTCCCGGTCTATTTCTCCCAGTGTATCACTTGTCATAGTCGCGGTATGAGGGTTAGTATTGTCATGGAGGAGTCATAACTGATGGCCTCCCTTTTGTTTCGATAGGCGGCTTCTGTCGACCGTAACAACTCCAAGTGGATGCATTCGCCGTACGTTGGTGGTGTAGAAAATCAATCAGTAAAATTCCCCTAGAGTAAAAAAAATCGTTGCAAGGACTTTCCAGCATAGTAACAAGTCTTGGCATTCACTGGGTCCCTTTCTCCGCTACTCCTTACTTGTCAGTTTTGATGAGGGGGTGTTGTGATGGACCCAAATCTCATTACATGTCACGATACGCTTTAAAAAGTCCTCGCCTTCTCGCTGAAGTCGATCCAGAAGCCTTCCAGCGATTTCCGACCTGACCTGTTTTTGGTTTTTAGTCAACAACCTCACAATCCATCTGGCTACTAATTTTTCTAAATTCGAGTTGATCAGTGACTACGGATTGAACAATTCCATTGCTGATACTCACTCCGGATGAAATTTCTTTACGGTTATCCGACGTTCACGTTCAATAAGCTCTTGATCGGCACGAATGTTGTCACCTGTAAGGTTTGTCCTTAGGCGTCGAGCAACTCGTTCTCGCCTGCCCTTAAATTCTATATGCGTGTGAAGGTAGCTCCAAAAGCTGGCTCCACAATCCTACCCGCCGCTAGATTACAGCGGACCGTATAAATGCTGTCCGCCTGCGATACGCCGTGGCGCTCACCAAGCCAGGCAAGGACCGGAAGTTGCCCCAGAACTACCGGCCCATCAGCCTGGTTTCCTCGGTGGGCAAAGTAGTCGAAAAGGCTATCGCCGTTCGACTAGAGAAGCAGGCAGAAGAACTGCAACTTCTCCCCCCAGAGCAATTCGGCTTCAGATCCTCCCACAACACGGAACTCCAAGCGCTACGACTGACGGAAAACATCACCAGCGGCTTCAATCTCCAGGAGGCAACCGGTCTCGTCCTGCTGGACGTGGAACGAGCCTTCGACCGAGTTTGGCACGATGGACTCATCGCCAAAATGGAAGCCGCCGGAATTGATGCGAACATGTGCCAACTAATCCAGAGCTATCTAACACAAAGATGGTTCACGGTGAAGATTGGTACATGCCATTCAACAAGACGTCAGCTGGAAGCAGGCGTGCCCCAGGGGTCAGCCTTAGCCCCCCTGCTCTACAACATCTATACTTACGATGTGCCGAAGACAGCTGACACAATGCTGGCCCTATATGCAGACGACACTGCTATAGCCGCCAAGCATAGACGACCCGAGATCATCCGTAGGAGACTACAGGGTGAACTGGACCAAATTCAGGACTGGTGCGTGAAATGGAAAATCCGTATCAACGTCCAGAAGACGCAGGCAATCTTCATTCAACGAAGAAGGATTGCAAGACCTCTCGAAGCATCCATCTTCGATGAAGATATCCAGTGGAGCGACAATGTCAAATATCTGGGGATCGTTTTTGACAAGTCCCTCACCTGGAAAGCGCACATAGAAGCTGTCATCGCAAAAACCAGAGCAGCCATGGCTCAACTCTATCCATTACTGGGTAGACACAGCCAGATGCCGCTAGCGACCAAGCTACGGCTGATCAAGGCCATCGCCAGACCTCAGCTCGCTTACGCCTCCGCGGTCTGGGGGTACGCTGCCCCCAGCTACCGCAAGCGACTTGCTGCTCTAGAGATGAAGCTACTCCGGATCGCCACCAATGCACCTTCCTACGTAAGGAACTCAACCTTGCGTAGAGACCTGCATTGGGATACCATCCACGAGTACATGAGGAAAAAAGCGGAGAAGACCTTCGAGAAAGCTCAGGACCACCCGAACGAGCAGCTACGATTCCTCATGGACTACGATCCGGACGAGAGGCCTCGCAACCGCAGAACCAGGTACACCAGACCAAGGTCCCAGTTGGCACCCGCTAACTGGAACCTTGACTAGGAGACTAGGAGAATTTGCGGCTGCTCCCCCCCCCCCCCCCCCCCACGGCGTGGATGCAGAGGACCAGGAACCACCGGGACCAGGACCAACCAGGACCAGGACCCGCCACGACCAGGACCCACCAGGACCAGGACCCTTCAGGACCAGGACCAGGAACAACATATTGGTAAGATGACTTGAAACTCTTGATTTTTCGAAAACAAGAGTTTCAAGAGAAACTAGCAGACCCTCTATCGATGATCGCTTAACGACATCGATAGAATGTGCGAGGTAAAGGGAACCAACCCGGCGTTCCCAGAGACTGAAACACATGAGGAGACGTTGTAGCAGACCGCAGGTCACGCACAACACATGGCCTACCGAGACGCTGATGAGTCGGGCCACGCGGAGGTTTAGGGTTTAGTGGGTATTAGGTGATCTCTTCAAGACCCTGGAGCCCCACACACGTCGTAGCTCGTATGGTGCGTAAATGCATTCCCCCCTCGTTAAAAAAAAAAAAAAAAAAAAAAAAAAAAAAACGCCGTGGCCATAACGTTACTCATAGAAGCCCTTGACGCGCATACGAAGTGAGCGCGGTAATTATATACTATCTGTGCCTACGAGTCGTATGCTATTGCGGTATTGCACTAAGTGGTTCTGCAGAGTTTGTAGGTTCGTATCTAAAGCTAGTCGTGCACCTCAACTCATAACAAACAGGCCTGTCGTGTATTTTTTTTTCGTGAAAACCTGCAGAAGTGGGTCGATGTGCTTTTTAGGGTTTAAAGTACACAACAAGAGATATTATAATCAGTTATCAAAATGTTGTTACAAACGGTCTTACACCCCAGCTCCAAAGAAAGAAGTCTGTCGTGTACGGTGCGCGATACTCCCTGCAATTTAGGAAACATTTTTTTTTCGTGAAAACCTGCAGAAGTGCGTCGATGTGCTTTTTAGGGTTTAAAGTACACAACAAGAGATATTATAACCAGTTATCAACATGTTTTTACAAACGGTCTGACACCCCAGCTCCAAAGAAAGAAGTCTGTCGGGTACAGTGCTGCAATTTAGGAAAAACATTTTTTCGTTAAAACCTGCAGAAGTGCGCCGATGTGCTTTTCAGGGTTTAAAATAGACAACAAGAGCTATTATAATTAGTTATCAACACGTTGTTACAAACGGTCTTACTTCCCAGCTCCAAAGAAAGAAGTCTGTCGGGTACGGTGCTGCAATTTAGGAAAAATTTTTGTTCGTGAAAACCTGCAGAAGTGCGTCGATGTGCTTTTCAGGGTTTAAAGTACACAACAAGACCTATTATAATTAGTTATTAAAACGTTGTTACAAACGGTCTTACACCCCAGCTCCAACGAAAGAAGTCTGTCGGGTACGGTGCTGCAATTTAGAAACATTTTTTTTTCGTGAAAACCTGCAGAAGTGTGTCGATGTGCTTTTCAGGGTTTAAAGTAGACAACAAGTGCTATTATAATCAGTTATCAAAATGTTGTGACAAACGGTCTTACACCCCAGCTCCAAAGAAAGAAGTCTGTTGGGTACAGTGCTGCAATTTAGGAATTTTTTTTTTTTCGTGAAAACCTGCAGAAGAGCGTCGATGTGCTTTTCAGGGTTTAAAGCACACAACAAGAGCTATTATAATTAGTTATCAAAACGTTGTTACAAACGGTCTTACACCCCAGCTCCAAAGAAAGAAGTCTGTCGGGTACGGTGCTGCAATTTAGGAATTTTTTTTTTCGTTAAAACCTGCAGAAGTGTGTCGATGTGCTTTTCAGGGTTTAAAGTACACAATAACAGCTATTATAATTAGGTATCAAAACGTTGTTACAAACGGTGTTGCACCCCAGCTCCAAAGAAAGAAGTCTGTCGGGTACAGTGCTGCAATTTAGGAATTTATTTTTTTTTTCGTGAAAACCTGCAGAAGTACGTCGATGTGCTTTTCAGGGTTTAAAATACACAACAAGAGCTATTATAATCAGTGATCAAAATGTTGTTACAAACGGTCTTACACCCCAGCTCTTGTATACTCCAAACCCTAAAAAGCACATCGACGCACTTCTGCAGGTTTTCACGAAACAAACTTTTTCCTAAATTGTAGCACCGTACCCGTCAGACTTCTTTCTTTGGAGCTGGGGTGTAGGGCCGTTTGTAACAACATTTTGATAACTAATTATAATATTTCTTGTTGTGTACTTTAAACACTAAAAAGCACATCGACGCACTTCTGCAGGTTTTCACGAAAACATTGTTTTCCTAAATTGCAGGGAGTATCGCGCACCGTACCCGACAGACTTCTTTCTTTGGAGCTGGGGTGTAAGACCGTTTGTAACAACAGTTTGATAACTGATTATAATAGCTCTTGTTATGTACTTTAAACCCTGAAAAGCACATCGACGCACTTCTGCAGGTTTTCATAAAAAAAAATTCTTAAATTGCAGCACCGTACCGACAAACTTCTTTCTTTGGAGCTGGGGTGTAAGACCATTTGTAACAACATTTTGATAACTGATTATAATAGCTCTGGTTGTGTATTTTAAACCCTGAAAAGCACATCGACGCACTTCTGCAGGTGTTCACGAAAAAAAAAATTCCTAAATTGCAGCACCGTACCCGACAGACTTCTTTCTTTGAAGCTGGGGTGTAAGACCATTTGTAACAACATTTTGATAACTGATTATAATAGCTCTGGTTGTGTATTTTAAACCCTGAAAAGCACATCGACGCACTTCTGCAGGTTTTCACGAAAAAAAAATTCCTAAATTGCAGCACCGTACCCGACAGACTTCTTTCTTTGGAGCTGGGGTGTAAGACCGTTTGTAACAACATTTTGATAACTAATTATAATAGCTTTTGTTGTGTATTTTAAACCCTGAAAAGCACATCGCCCACTACTGCCGGTTTTCATGAAAAAAAAAAATACACGACAGGCCTGTTTGAGTTGAGGTGTACGACTAGCTTTAGATACGAACCTACAAACTCTGCAGAACCAGTTAATGCAGTACCGCAATAGCATAATACTCGTATGACAGATAGAATATATAATTACCGCGCTCACCTCGTATGCGCGTCAAGGGCTTCTATGAGTAAAGCTACGGCCACGACGGCGACGTATCGCAGGCGGACAGCATTTATTCGGTCCGCTGTAATCTAGCGGCGGGTAGGATTGTGGAGCCAGCTTTTGGAGCTACCTTCACACGCATAAATTCTATCGCCCACGTAAACACTCGATTCTGAGATAGTGTATTACTGTGCCTGCGGACGAGTTGAAATTTCCGACGGTTTAACGCCATCATTAAAAACTTGGCGGGAATAACGAGCTTGCCCGCTAACCAGACGGGTCCCCCATTCCTGATAAACCAGGCATCTACTTTACATCAAATACCATTTTTATGCTTAATCTAAAACCATTCAATGTTTGAGCAAGATGGATATTAGAATATCGATTGCAGTCAGTAGGAGCCAAGCCTATACCTGTGTTTACATTGCAATGTTTGCCCCAAAATTGTGTAGTTTTAGTGCAAACTGTTGATAGTAATACATTGTTAACAAAAATGACAGCGTTGTATCAACAATAATATACTAAGTGACGTATAAATCCGAACACCCAGTTTAAATGGTTTTATTTTAATAAAAGTTGGTGAATGTATTTATCTTACTGTAAATAACAAGTGAAAAAATTTTCAGCCTTATCAGTTGGACATTCCTGTTTTTATACTGCTTTTTTTAATTCACTAACGCTCTAAAAATGAATATATCAGCCGCAGTAAAGAATCAACGTTGGCGGATTTTGGTTCTTGACATCCTTTACGATCGGTTACGATGCCTAGAGTACGGAGACCTGTACGATTTCGTCAACTTAGTGAGTTTGATAGGGGCCGTATAGTGGGACTTCGGGAAGCTGGACTTTCTTTTCGGGCAATTGCAGTTAGAGTGGAAAGAAGTGTGGACACTGTGGTTAGGTGTTGTCATTCTTGGCTTCGAGAAGGCCGTACGCAAAGAGCAAGGGGCACTGGACGCCGCCGTAGAAAACAGACCGTGAAGATCGCCGCCTAAGATTATTGGCTTTAAGGGACCGTTTCTCCACTACCAGGTCCATTGCAAATGAATGGTTTGCAGAACACGGAAGACCTATTGGCATGCGAAGTGTTTACCGACGAATGAGAAGTTTTGGCTTGTTTTCATACCGGCCACACTGGGTCCTCCCTTTAACTCGAGAACACCGACGTAATCGCCTTGAGTGGTGCAGACAACGGTCACTCTGGGATCAGTAATGGAACAGTATTGTCTTTAGTGACGAGTCTCGATTTTGTTTAGGCATGCACGATGGTCGTGCCAGGGTTAGAAGGCGACGTGGTGAAAGGAGGAATCCGCAGTTTTTTGTTGAAAGTCATGTTCATCACACTGTTGGAGTTATGGTTTGGGGTGCTATAGCTTATGGTTCCAGGTCACCTTTAATCTTCATCAGAGGTAACATGAACGCGCAGCGTTATATCCACGAAGTTCTGGAACCCCATCTTTTACCCTATCTTGACACCCTGGCAGATCCATCTTTCCAACAAGATAATGCCCGACCACATGTTGCAAGAGTCACAATAGACTTCTTTCAACATAATGATGTCACATTGTTACCATGGCCACCAAGATCTCCCGAGTTATCCCCAATTGAGCACGTGTGGGATATGATGGAATGGAAACATCTACCTTCTTCAGGCTTGTGCCGCTTTTTGCAAATCATATAAGAAGTTGATTATCCTCTAGCACCACAATTGTCCGTAAACACTCACACTTCCAAAAAATAACACTACATATACGAATTTTGATGACAGAACTGTATAAAAATTGATTTGTCAGGTACACTTTGATCCTCACTACAGACTATGAGAATTAAAAGACACAAATGAATTCGTTGGTACGGCTCAATTAGAATACTTTTTGTTTAGATTCATAATATACCAAAGGTATGAGTTGAGTTTGCTTTCCGAGTATACACTGGTTATTTCAAATTCGATTCTCACCATTGGAATATCAGAAACCTTAAGAGATACAAAGTCGATTAAATGAGGGCAAAGTTGCGCACTAAGGAGAAATTTCGCAATTCAGAGTATTTCCAGAGTCGGACGAAAAAACCGAATGTTCCCAAACATTTTTTTATTTGTTTCTGGCTTTATAAGAAGAATGAAACTCAAAACTCCAATATGGTGTCTAAACGTCGTGCCGATTTTTTATATATGCCAGTGTAGAAGAAAAAGTGGCAATATTATTGATCAATTTATTTTGAAATCCTACCTCAAATAAGGCCAAGAAAAAATAAAACCGATTTTTTTTTTGAAATCATGCGTTCCGCCTAACTTAGGAAATATTCTGAATTGTGGTGACTTTGATAATTACTCCTCGGCCTCGTGGGGTTGCACTTTCGTTTGCACTTCCCACGCAACACGGTCATTAGTTCATAAAGGGTTATGTTGAGCACAAGCAAGACTCTCTGAGGAAAAAGTTCGTTACGAAAATGTATAACGAAATTAAACGGATCGTCAGTCAAACAGGCCCACGCAATTAGTCCACAAACATTCTTTCCCTGCCCTACCGGTAGTCCATCTGGTAACGTTGCCTTTCCCCGATACCTGACGGCACAACGCGGCAGCGCGCCAGCAAGGACAAAACACTTACCAAGACCGGCACGCTCGCCGGTGATTCCAGACAACCGAAGCAGTGACGTTTGTCAACAGCATTTCTCTATCATTGCTTTAAAGGCAAATGTACTATGTATTATTTTGTGGATAATAACTATTTTAACAGTAAACTCCTTTATTAATATATAAAGTTTACACAAGATATATGTAAATACAACTCTTTTTACACCTACGAGTACATCTAGAAATATAAACTCACAGGTAAATACCACAGAAATGGATGGCATCCACCCAAAAACAACAGTTAATCAGAATATGACTCATACATTGGGAACAAGCAAAAACGAAAGTTACCATAAATACCTCCTTAATTTCGTTAACGGTTATGTGTTCATACACAAATTATCTCACCAATACACAAGAGTAATGAGTATGCACTTGAAAAAGACAATTTAGTTAACAGTACTGTCAAAAGCAACAGGACCGAAGATCTTGTAATTACCTACCGCTAACAAAACAAACAACAACCGAAAACGGAATAGAACTTAGAACATATTACAGTGAAAAAAAATCATACCACAAAATTGAACATGTATTGTTCGTCAAAGCCGAGATTTTTGCTGATGTCGAAGCATTATCAGTATACTGATACATTTTATTACGATGTTATTAAATATTCCCCAAAAAGCGGGATTTTCAATTATGCGTCAGTTTGTTTGAAATTTGAAGGCTTCAGTTAACGGGATACCTCCGTATAATCGCCTTTAAGTAATTTGACTGTATGGCCGGCTACAGGCGCGGCAAGGCGCATTGTCATGAGGACGCAAAATTCTTAATCAAGGGCGGATCTGGGGGAGTTACCCCACTCTCCTACCGCTCTTTTAGCTGAACGGAATTAGCTCTCCCTCGTAGACGAACATCTTCGTGAGCATTAATCCTGATACCATCACTGCGCCCTCTCCCTCTAGACAGCTTTCTAAATTCGCAACTGTGATCCCCCGAATCAAAAGCTGAATCCGCCATTGTTATCAATTAATACGGGGGTGGGCGCATATTTCATCCTTTTCCTCAAGGCGCACAAAACTCTGAAGCCGGACCTGCTTACAGTATTTTAGAATCTGTATATAGTATGAATTATCTAGAAAAATAATTGATCAAAAATTGAACCAAGATGTAAAGCACCACAAGATAAATATGTTTTCTTTACCAGATATTGAACATACTACAATATTTGGGGGTTTGCTATGTTTTAATTGGTGAATTTATTGCGAAACAAAAACGTACTTCAGAACAGTGGCGTATATATGAGGGGCAAGCATTTCATGAAATAGTCGCATTTAATTAAAAGTATTATTATCTATTGGCCAGATCGTGTTTACCAGATCAATGATGACAAATCGTTTAACGAATGCGCGGCTACTTCACGAAATAAGGTATATTCTTTAATTCACCGGTTAAGCAACCGGTTAGCCAATTTTGCGTCCTTTAATTTTCGCTGGAACGACCGGTTGTACATCAAACTTGTCTTTATATTGATCGTGGATATTCCACCGGTGCCAACAGCATCCACCGAAGTTCGGGCTTGGTTGATCCACGATATTCTAACCTCTACATTTTATCAGTTTTTGACAACTACAGTTTTGTGTGAAAAAATGGAGGAAGTTATTCTACAGCATAGGAGTCGCGTGAAATTTAATGTTTTTTTCAACACAATTCGAAATAAATAGAGCATCTGAAAGCAAGTGAATTTGTTTTGAATTATGCATATCGAAGATCTCAAATAAATACCTCGTAAGTCCGAAAATGTCGATTTTATGATTTTGTTCTGTTTTTATTCCTGTATGTATACAGGAATTCTCTCAGAAAATCCATATCGATGGTTCTTATTCGGGAAGCATCGACGATCTCAAATCAATGCCTCGTATTGATTTGAGATCGTCGATATCTGAAAATTGATTGTTTTTCTGATTTATAGTTCTTATATTGATTCTCGGAGCGCAAATTCTCTCCGCTGGATAACTTCTTCATCCGAATCATCACTCGAATCGCTTAACAAACGTTCCACGACAATACCAACTGCTGCGTACATTGCCATAACGATTTTAAATGATACGGTGTTCAAATTAACAAGTATCCAGTTACGATAAAACAAAGATTAGGTTTTCTCATATGACAGCAACCTGAAGGCTAAAAATGCGTCTCTTTATTAACGACCATTCAACGGAACCGGTTGCTGACGTCATCACATCAGCTGTCAATCGGTGAATTAAAGAATATACCTATAGTCGAGCATGTTTGACCAAATCATAAAATATTCACATTAATTACCGATAGAGGCGCTGGCAGCGTTTTGTTTACATTCCAACACTTCAGTCGTTGATAACAATGTTGTTTTTCGAAGTGAAAATTCTAATGACTCGTTACCAAATGAGGAAGAAAGTGTGATTGAAAGCCTTTACGACAAAAAGATGCTTGAATTCTCGAGTACTATGCGGGTCACGTCAAAAAGTTGTAAAGGCTTGCAGTATCCAGTGCTATAGTGAAAATCAATTTACCAAAATGGACACCATCCGATATAACACTGACACAAGTTTTCGTTACTAGTAGCATGTTGAATTAGGAGGTCGACCTGCTTCTCTACAGTCAAAGGTTCGTCCAGTTTGAAATCGTTACCAGTCAACTTGTCTCTGACTCTGTTTATGATGGCAACAGCTTTCTTGTTCACTGCTTCTGGTTGTGAACCCTCGGTGACCGTTTCTGTCGCTCTTAAGCTCTTCTTGTTCAATGTAATGCTTAGCGATTCGATAAGGTCGTGATCTTGAGAAGTTCCTGTAAATATATACTTTGTAAATTTCTAACATACAGGGTGAGTTTTTACTGTGTAATCGGTCGATAGTTCAATTTTAAAAAAAATATTTAAAAACTGCAAAACTGTTATGCTTGTTGAAAGTGCATACTTTTCGAATGCTGGTAGAAAAACACATTTTCCAAACATGCCAAAGGTATATAAACATGTCAAGGTATGGTTTCAATTTCAACTTAATATTGTAGCTACTGAATAACATACTGGAAAGAGTATAAATAGCTGTTGCAAAACTCCCGAATATTAAAAAAAAACTTGAAAATACCGTTAATACATTAACCTACCACCGTCGCGACGATGGTGCACCCTATTTCACGAGTATCCATCATGGAACAATGACTAGTTATCGAGTAATATTTCAAAATTCCCAATATAGGCACAGAACAAACAATTAATTCCGAGGGATCGGTGAACTCGAGGTAGACAGACCCGTATTTTGTTGTGGTTCTTTGTACGCTACAGATTCATTTTGTACTTGCTAACAACTTTTATTTAAAAAAGTTTCTTTGCATACGAAAGAAACGCTACAAGCACAATGGCTGCTAATGATCATGACCACATTTTAGTCAGGTAGGAATAAAATAAGATAAACTGTTTTTGACTATATTAATTATATCTACTTTTTTAAACTTGAAACACCATATGATCTTAAAGGGCAATGAAACAGCCATAGGTTTTGTTTAGAATGTGCGGCAATATATGACCGAGTTGATAGAGGTTCGGTTCCCTCAATTAGGTCTGACCATTACTCAGGTAATTCTAACAAGTAATAAAATAGAAAAAAATTGCAGGAAGTCATGAAATGTACGCAACTGGGACAATGCAGTGTTCGTGAATACAGGCTTGGGCCAACTCTGAAAAAATCCTAAGGAGAGTACGATATTCATAAGGATATGCCAAGTCAGCAAATTGATGTTATGCCATCATTACATATCGAGGAAATGGGAAATTCCAGGAAGTATTTTTTATTTTGCTATTTGAGTGGTATAATGCATTTGATGTATCACAATTATGTGGCATGGTGGTGGGTCGTTTTCGTAATTTTGGGTGAACGTATTAGTTTTGATGTGATTAGTTATGTGCTTTTGATGAATTACTTTACACAGATTGCGGACAATAAACCAGAAACGCGTGTCTATATTATGCTTACAGGTAAATTTACAGCTTCTGGAAAGGACTATGTAACCTGTTCTATTGACATTCTATGTAATCAATAAATCCCAGATGTAATATAATAATTTTCTAATAAACTTTTCTATATCTGTACTTGTACATTTTATTGTCACGTTTCCCAACCACTTAAAACAACATGAACAATAGCTCTTAATACGGTCCGGAAATTCATTATTGCCAACGTTACAAATTAACACAAAGATGTCGCTTTTGTGATCAGCTGTTCGCCTCAAAGCATGATGGATACTCATGAAATAAGGTTTACGACTAAGCTAAACGTTGGCAACGAACATGTAAAACAAAGTTGGTCATACAGGCCCATTCAATAAAATTTGCACATTTGTTTTTCTGTGCAATTTTGGGGCTCTTCAAAAAAATTGTGGGCAGGTAAGGTTTCATACAAAGTTATTGCCGATGGAACGCACTCCTCTGTCCCCTGAGACAAATTTCTTTCGGCGCACATGATCGAAACGATGTGTGTATCTGGCGTGGATTACGATCGTCGGCCCACATCCTGTTGAGCAGCAGAGACCGACTGCTACAAACATGCATCAGCAGGACCACGAAGCGTATGACCGACACGTGAGGATTAAAAATATTTCTCCACCATTTTCAAGGTCAAACACACGGGGAAATCTATAATGAGTGAAATATATCTAAAAGATGCGTAGAATTACTGCGGCTGGAGGCGTATACGTCCGCAACGTCAAAAAATTGAGATATACTCTTCCCCACCTCCAATTCCTAGAATTTAAAAAAAGGATAAGTTTTCTCTAAAACGTAAAAAACGATATTTGAGTATTTTTTTACTTTTTGCCCCTAGCTCCACCGCCATTGAATAAATTTTCGGAAACTATAAAGCTTTTTCGTCCTTAGTATAGTAGTAAGCTTGTGTGGGAAGGATTAGTAATAATAATATTTATTTACTCCCGAAACACAATACAAAGAATGAGTAAATAAATACGAAGTAATGGCCCATAGGAAGCATTGCCTGTACAAATTATGAATGTGCAAACGAACGACTTTTAAAAAAAGCGACTTTATTCAACAGAAGACGAATGAGTACTGGTCACATTGTTTTACATGCATCTCTTATAACCTAGGCTCGAACAAACGAATCGAAAAGTGCAAACCTAAGCAACTCTACATATGAGATCATCCTCATAGCAGTGCCGTTATTCACATGAACCATTGATGATACAATTGTACATATTATTGAAATATGAATAGAGATACAACTAATCCACGAATTTTATTTAATGTTCACATTCACTATTAATTTGTACACGTCTGGTCTTACCAGAGAAAAAATCTATTCTATTGACGTTTTCTTGAAATTATTCCCAAAGCGTAGAGCGTAGACGCTTTATCCAGTCAGGTAAATGTATGTATAATTTTGGACCTAAATAAAGATATGATCATTGTCATATAGATTTATTTGGTCTAGGTAACTGTTCATTGTGTGGTGATTGTGTTTAATTTTTAGGTCGTTATTGAAAAATATGTGTTAGTTCATAATAGCATGTAAGACATAAAGCTGTTTTAAGTCACATATTATACGTGTATCTTTGTATAAGACATCAGTTGGATACAATTTTGGTTTGTTAAACATTGTTTTTATAATCATTTTTTGAAAAATGTCCAAATCATAAAAACGAGTTGAGCATCTAACTTTTTTTAAAATATATGAAATATGTATGAACATCCAAACGCAAGTGTGGATCCAGGGATTTTCCAGGAAGAAATGCCCTGACAATGCTAGGTACAAACATAAAGCGAAATTTGCAGATAAAATCCTTGTGTGGTGCGCGATTTCTAACAGAGGTGTATTACAACCTTTGAATAGGAAATCATGCTAATGACGATAACATGTTTTGGCCAGACCAGACGGCGAATTTACGAAAAACTGAGAAATGGATCTGAATTCCATCCAGGACCTTTTGTCTGCGCCTGGTAGAGCAGAATGGGCCACTCCACATAATTCGATTAATATAAGTAAGACTTTTAGCAAAAATAATCATTACTTATCGTGATTATTTACGTAGGACGAACAAATCTACTTCTCAGTGGAGCATGTGTGTTGGCAGGGACCTCGGTTGGCAGCGTGGGTCCGAGTGTCGTGCTACTGATCAGCCGGCCGGCCGGGCCGCGAGTTCGAATCTCGCCTTTGCCATGGATGTTGTGTGTTTGTTTTAGGCAGCAGCGGTGGCCGCAGTAGTAGACTCTTCGGTCTCCTGATCAGTCGCCGTGCGCTGTGCGGGTTCGAGTCCCGTCCCAGGAGAAATCTTTCTCTTGGCTATGGATGTTGTGATTGTCCGTAGGTGGTAGATGGTCTCTGACTGTCGAACGCGGAGGTACCACCCGGCGGTTCTCGTTGGCGGAGCCAGAATGTGTGCATGTTGCATGCACACGTGTTCCCTCGCCAGAGTCCGTGTGGCGTCCCCCCTTTTCCCATGTATCCCCCTATAGCCCCAGGGTACCCAATGGGTGCTTAGGCCTTAGGCCTTCGTGGTAGTTGGAGTATAAAAAAAAAATGTGGTCAATAATAGTGGTTTCTCTGGTTAGTAGCGAAAATAGTAATTTCTATATTTTTTGGTGTTTAAATCATTAACAACCTTCAATACGGTACATAAATAACTAACCTGTAGAGAATGATCCAATATCTCCTGTATTGGATCTGTTCCTCATCGTAGTGTCCATCAGTCTCCAATGGAATAAAGGATCGTATACAAATGCTTCTAAAACAGCCATCAAGCTGTCCTTATTTCTGCGTAACACAGACATCACAGATTCGCAGGTTCGTCTAAAAGAAAAATGTGTTCTTATTAAATTTAATAACCATCACTACCAGCACTGTAATGATAAATTAGACCAGGTCTTGTCATCATATCATGCTACGGCCCAGAATCACATCACATAATAATAAAATAAACATAATAAAAAAACGATTGTACCTGTAGGTCCCGTCGATTCCGGTTACTTCCATAGCGTTTATCAACATCCTTGTCAACCTAAACGGAATCTTTTCTGGGAACTTTTCTCGCGTCATCGCCACTTCAAAACAGTCTCCAAAATCAATGTGCAGTATCTTCCCGCTCAATCTATCAAGCATCAAATTACTGGGATGTCTATCACCCAAGCCAAGGATGTAACCGACGATGGACATTACTGCCAATGAGCGAGTATAATTTGTTCTGGAATACGTTTAAAATTTTAGGGATCCACTGAGTACTCACTTTGTACTCGAGTACTTGGTTTCGCCGAGTATTAAATTACTATTTGACGTAGTTATATGGGGTTGTCCAAAACGGACGCAGGAAAGTAAACGCATATTAAAACAAGAAAGATTGATATTCAAATCAAGTTGGGTACTTTATTTTGAAGGTTTATTTATACCATTTATATATGAAAAATAATATCGCTCAAATGTTCACCACGACTGGATTTACAGACGTTCACGCGATGGTCGAAATTTTCAATGACATTTTGCAACATGGTCGGTTCTATGGCATTTATCTCGGCAATGATGTTGTTTTTGAGTTCTTGGAGGGTGGCTGGTTTGTTGACGTAGACTTTGCTTTTCAAATATCCCCATAAAAAGAAGTCCAAGGGAGTCAAATCGCACAATCTTGGTGGCCATGGCACATTTCCTCTGCGCGAAATCATGCGATCACCGAAGAAGAACTGCAATCGATGGATATTGACGTTGGTTGTGTGGCATGTTGCACCGTCTTGTTGGAAATAAACATCGTCCATATCCATTCCTTCAAGTTGCGGCAAAAAAATAGTCCTCTATCATCACGTGATATCGCTCAGAATTGACGGTAACGGCGTCCCCGGCCGCATTTTCGAAAAAGTAAGGTCCGATGATGCCTTTTGACCACAATGCACACCACACAGTCACTTTTTGAGGATGCATAGGCTGCTCTTGATACTCACGGGGATTTTCGTTCGCCCAGATGGGGCAGTTTTGCTTGTTTCCGTCCCATTCAAAGTGAAATGCGCTTCGTCGCTGAACATGATTTTTGATGAAAAATTGGCATCAATTTGGCGGTGTTCAAGGAGCCAATCTGAGAACGTTTGGCGCGAAAAATGGTCGGCCCAACGCAGCTCTTGCGTCAATTGGATCTTGTAGGCGTGTACATTCAAATCCTTGTGGAGAATGTGGAGCAAACCGGTTCTCGAAATGCCCAATTCTTGGGATCGACGCGTTGTTGCCTGTTTCGGATCGTCTCTCACACTCTCCTTCACAACAGCAATATTTTCCGGTGAGCGAACACTCCTTGGCCGGCCAGAGCCTGGCAGATTTGCCACAGAACCTGTTGCCTCGAATTTACGCACCAGACGACCGATGGTTGTTTCGTTTGGGCGGTTGTTGCGACCGAAATGTTCACGAAGCGCGCGAAACGTATTTTTTATTTTTCCGCTATTTTTGTAGTGCTCTTGAATAACTTTAATGCGGTCTTCAATCGATTACGACTCCATAGCGACGAATGGTAAACAGTCAACTAACAAAATGACATGTCGGTGACAGAAAACAAAGATGGCGTCTATGTCAAATTGACGCTTACTTTCCTGCATCCCTATTGGACAACCCTATATATATATATACATATGAAGGTGCTAACTGGGCATAACTAAAAATATTAATCGAAGATGATTTTAACTATTGTTGAGAATCATAACAGTAAATTTCTGACTGAATTCCGCAAAAGCCAACTTTGCTTCCTATAAAAATCTCTTGCCAGAGAATGATACGCGAAATATTAATTTAAGTACAGGGTGGACCAGAAATACGTACGAATTTCAAAACCGCATTGCTCGTGACACGCACGCGGGAGCGGGACACGGGTAGTGTGGATAAGTAGCTTGGTGCTCGAAAATTTAGTCGCCATGAAGCGTTTCACCGGTGAGCAGCGTGCGTTCTACATTTCAAAAATGGAGATTCGTACACTATTACGCGGAGTCTGTTTCGCTCTGAGTTTAGTTTACACGATCTAAATCAATGTTCCAGTGGAAACGTGAACTGAATCAGAAACCTACGGGGGCCCAAGGTCAATACGAACAGAGGAAACTGTAAGCGAAGTTGCGACGTCCGTACGGCGCGATTCACAGTTATCACCCCGAAAGAGATCAGATGAGTTCACCATATCAACAACATCTGTGAGTGAGATTTTAGTAAAAGACCTTAAATTGCACCGCGCTTCGAACGTGTGACCTTGCAAATCATATGTCGTCCAAAGCCGGCCATTTTCAGGCTTTGTGTACACCCGCACTTCCCGGTGTGCGCAACGAATCATTTTTGATTTTATGTATCAGGTCTATATTTTTTAATAGTCGGTGGTTACGACATATTAGTGTCAGTATCAAAAGCCTAATTTGGATGGTTTTTAGTAAATTTTTAGCCTTCTCCTGAAAGCTAGAGTGTTTACATGTGTCGCTTATTTTTCTATATATAAGGTTCTACATATTCTTTAGTAAAACATACGAAGTCCATAGAGCAGCTACTATAGCTAGTTGAACTGTAACACCATTATAGTATTTATTGCCTTTTCGCACTTTTTATTTGCTCTTTTAGCATTCATATGACCTCCTCAAGAAACAACAAAAACCACAAAACGAAATAATGCAGCTAAAGTCAAAAAGTAACTTGAAAAACGAGTATCGCACATTTCCGCGAAGAAAATCTTTATACATACAAAAGGATAATTTTCATTTGGTCCTTCCCAAATATGAATTCATCGCACCACGAAATCCAGCAGTTTTGATTTGTGTTTATTTTGTAACCTCCTCCCAAAAGCAGCTCAAAAACCTACAAGGTTTAGTTTCAGAACTGTATGTTTAAAACATCTTACAAATGTGCTTCCATTGTAATAGGAAGGATTGGAAAGTATATCAAAAACAAATGTTACAAAAATATAATGATAAAATATGGTTTCAATTTTTGCGACTCTCAGATATTTTAAAAAATCGGTAATATACCATAAATACACTAACCTGTAACGGTTTACTCACACAATTTATCTAAGCTGCATAAGGTTTTATTTGTGGTGCATTCACTTCTTGGAAAAATAAGCTAATCACGAGAGCAAAGGGAATTTTTAAAAACGCAAATATAATTTTGATATCACTAACAGCAACTGAAATAACCTAGGGCAAGTCACTCCAACGAGTTTCGGTATTCGAATATGACTAAGTAAACTGCTGTCTTGATTCGGGTCTAAAGGCCGTCGTCGGTTGGAATTTCTCTCTTCGACGGCCTTTAGATCCGAATGAAGACAGCAGTTTATCAACTGGCCGCGAAAGACTTAACCAATTTGTCATGACAGAGTACTCGGTAGTCGGAATTTTGGAAAAAGTCGCACTAGGTACATCCCTATCAAATTTAAAATAATATTTTACAATCTATATGATAGTGACATTAAACTGAAAACATATTATGTACCTTCTATCAAACCATACTTCGGATGAAGGACTCTTCAGCCACAGTAATTTGGCCAGATCGTCGCCATTCGTGTGTTCCAGAGCATGCTCAAAAACTTCAACTTTTTGCATCACAGTTAAATGATCGTAGTCTGGTGCCATCCTTAGCATTATTCTATGCTCGATATTCAGCAAAATCTTTTTCTTATCTCTATAATCTCTGATCAGTGTGTGGAGTGTATCACAGTGCGGCACCCAACCAATCAAACCAGAATTTGTACTTAACGGAATTACAGCATATCGCTAAAAATTATTACAGTTTATTTTAACTAATAGCCGCTTAACACAATCAAATATATTCACGAGAAAAAATGAAGAATGTCTTCAAGGTAACAGATAGCGAAAATTATGTTATCAAATTTATTCAAGTCAAGCATATCAATAATAATTAATAATAATAACAATGGCCAATCTACTCAACCAATATTTCGAAATATATAAAAAGTCTAAATTAAGTATATACTATAAACTAGTTATAATGTATTTTACTTGATACTTAATAAAGTCTCAAATGCTTCTAAAATTTCTGTGTTAATATGTGTTCAAAATATTTTGTTTTAATAGTGACTTAAATTTATTATGATTTGCTGTATTGCTAATATTGATGTCTAATGCATTATAACATTTGGCTGCGTTATCTGAGAAAAAACGCTGAGACATGGCTGTGCGATGTCTTGGTATGGATAATGTGTTCATATACCTTAAATTCAAATCATGAATGGTTGTTCTAAATGTTAGCTTGTTCCATAAACGTAGTGGTGAATGAGTTATTATAATAAATTTTATGTGATGAAAAATAAATGTATGAACGTATTATTAATTTTGAGCCACCGTAAATCTTTGATTGGGCCAGTTACATGACAATATTAGTCAAGTGTCAACAAGAATTTTGAATTTTTTGTAGTCTGTACGCAAACATTTGATCTAAACAAGAATAATTCGTTATGATTTAGTTTTAGCCTATAATAGCATGTTTTGATGACGCTGTTAAAATCATCAGGTGGTAAGCTTAAAAATAATTAAGTATCATCGGCATAACAAGTTACACTCGAGTTTTCAATTTGACGACCAAATCAAATATATATATTAAGAGCAAGATGGGCCCTAGGACTGAATCATGTGGTACCTTTGAAGGAACATTCCGTACATTTGAAATACTTATTCCCAGAATCACCTCTTGCTATCTGTCTTTAAGATACGACACTAGGAGACGTAGTGCCGGTTTATCAAATGCAAGTACACTTGGCTAGAAGTAGATCATGGCTTATGGTGTCGAATGCCTTACTAAAATCGAGAGAGACAAGATGACGGTATACTTACATACCGATTGTTTTAGTTGTTTTAAATTCTAAATTAAAACCAAAGCGACAAGCCAAACTGTAAGGATTATAATTTTAATCTCAAATCACAAAAAGTAAACGAATCAAATAACGAAGGTTGGTATCTAGGAAAAAGAACCAAAAGTAGCTATAATTCCACAAAAAATTTACGGTAAAGCGACTATAACAAGGAGACCTTTGCACCCTTCGGATCACCGATTTTTCTGCAGCTCTATGCGTTGTTAGATACACAACTTGAAAATAGGGAAGATATTTTTCTCGAAACAGTCAATTTTACCATATGCCCAATTTTCAAGAATGCTTGAATGCAATAATTGACAACGTGTACTGTAAAAATCAGTCCTCCGAAATGCACTTCAATTTGTCAACGATGCGATATTTACTTTCACCGGAAAATCATAAACTTTATTAAATAAATGGCAACAAGTATGTTTACACTGACCTTCCCACGAAACGCCGTCATCTGTTTAAAAAGGAGTGTGTTCAGCACAAGTTCAACACTCTAAGAAAATAGTTAGTTAAGAACATGTGAAACCGAGAAAGTGAACAGATCAAGTCAGTCCCAAACAATAAGTCCATAGACATTCTTTCCCTGCCCTACCGGTAGTCCATCTGGGAAGGTCGCCTTTCGCTGATGCCTGACGGCACAACCGGCACCGCGACATTAAGGCCAGGACCTACACGCTCGCCGTCGATCCTAGACAGGAAAAGTACGCACGCGTATCGAAAGCATTTCTCCATCATTTTGTTTTAAGGGCAAATGTAGAGGAAATCTATGATGTGTGAAATATGTCTAATAGGTGCAAGAAACTACCGAGGTTGGAAGCGTATAGACATGCTAAAATTAAGAAAAAATGAGATAACGCTCCCACAACCCCCACTCCCAATTTTTACCCCTAAAGGCGGGGGAAAGAAAAGGATTACCTAGTTACCGGACCTGCATTTTCACATTATCAGTAAAGTAAAAATCAAGAACTGTTCATATTTAGTTAGTTTAGCAGAAAAACACGAAATCTCATCTCGTGAAGATTTTCTTCATTTCTATAATGTTTCTCTGTAATTGGATTTTGTATATGCTGAGAAATATATGAATAAAATAAGTAAAGAATAAATTTCATAAGCTAGCATTTTTGAAACTTTGACAAATGCTGATATGACACTTTCGCGATATATTTCTCCCTTATTTTCGAGTTGTGTCAATACATAGAACTGCAGCCAAATTGGTGACCCGAAGGGTGTACGGTCTCGTACGTGCAACTAACGTTCTACAACTTATTATCTATCTCTCTCACTGACTATGATTGAAAACCCTCTTAAAGGTGTAAAATGTTTTAAAATAATTTTTAATGAAGTGGCAACCTATTTGAGTCATTTCAAGGATTGTTTTTTGAAAAAAATTAACTAAACATACTTGGATGGTTAGATTCCTACGAAAAGTGTCAGGGTCTTTCAGCAGTAATGTATTTACAAGTCCGAATAGCTGCATTACTCGTTCATCTTGTCGCAAGTCTTCATGACCTTTCAATAAAAACATGTAGTCTTTACCGTTACTTCCCCTTATAACTAGCTTTCGGGGTCGCTGTTTCGAGGTTATCACCTTAAAAAGAATCCCCAGTATTAGGAAGCTGTTTCAAAAAAAAAGAATTAATTCAGATGCGATGACATGTACTATGTAATGCTCCCTAAGAGCTAGTAGTCAAGTAAAAAGAAAACAAGTGCTGTTTTGCTTTAATTCAAAGTAGTAGTACCTACCTCCAAAGAGCGATGGAAATAAGCAATCCTAACAATCTTCTGCCCTGGTGCATAACTTCCTGGGACGGCTAGTTCAAGGTCTTGACAGACTAACAAATTAGGTGAAACATATTGCAACTCCAGTGAAGTTAGTTGCGGCAGCTGTCTTGATATCCTTCGAAATACATGATAATACAAGTCCCATGCTTGATTAAGATCCCGAATATTACCAGAAATCTACAATAACAATGATAGCAGTCGTGAAAGGTTTCATAGCATCAACTGAGTTTAGATCAGTTATTCTGAAAAATGGTCCAGGTGGACCCCAGGCGTCCATGGAAGGCTCAACGGGAGTCTACGCTGGAGTAAAACAAAAAATAGGGGTTCCCAAGATGTTAGTGGGGGTTCACGAAAATTTATCTCGTATGGATGGTAAGGAACAAAAATGTTTTCGGATAATATTCTAAAAAATTTTGGCAGCAGAAAAATATTCTGGGCTCTAGGATATTTCAAGAAATTTTTTCAGAAAAAAAGGAGCAAATTGAATATTGCAGACCGGGGAGATTTGCGTTTATTCCTTACAAAACTGACCAAATATTGATAATTTGCTGTCAATCCACTCACGCACTCTGATTTGTTGTCAGCAAAACTTTTGAATTGTCCCAGCAAAATTTTTGAAGAGGTATATGAGAAAAAAAACTTTGTGAACCACTAGTCCAGATAGATATAATTGTTATTTTAACGTACCCTATATCTTTGGCACCATTCATGGGCTTCATTCAAATCTCTACCATAAGCTTGATTGAAACTTGTTTCTTTCAGAGTTTCTGGACCTCTCTGCATCATTGTATGAAGAGGTTCCAGAATTCTCAACATTCCTTCCACGTTTCGTTCTCCAAAATACAGTCTACAATGAAAAATCAGGTATGCATACTTTGTGACTGCAAAAAATGACTCAAGTTTAATCTCTTCTAGAGTGCATGTAATTGTTATTTCAGCATATATGCTAGGGTTTGCAACTTTCAGCTGACTCAACATCTTGCCTACACAGCTATCATCCTGGGACATTACCGATCGGGTATTTTATTGTCTCAATTAAACTTATATGTGATTAATATTATAAGTGACAACCAATTTGGATTACAAAAACAAAAAAATACCTTGGATGTTGTTTTACACTTCCTCATGATTACTCCAACAGTTATACTCAAATTTAAACGATAAACAAATTTCAATAGCACTTTTTTGTGACCGAAGCTTTTGACTGTGTAAATCATGATGTACCATTGAAAAAATTAAACAAATATGGTTGTAGTGCAACGCCACTTAATTGGTTTAAAACATATTTGAATAATCGCTTCCAAGTTGTAAAAGTATCAAGATATTATATTTCAAATAAATTAAATATAAATACAGCGGTGCCTCAAGATCTGATCCTAGTTTTAGTTAGTTTAGTATTAAGGACTTAATAAATTTTAACACACATGGTAAATTCATAGTTTTTGCTGATAATACCACAATAATTTAGGAAATGCAATTGGGTGAAACATTGACAGTAACATACAATCAATCAAAAAATCGTGTGATAACAATTACCTATCTTCCAATGTTAATAAGACCATATTCATGACATTTAAATGCTCCTTTGATTTTATAAATTTAAACAATGAATTGATACACTAAATGACACCATCAAATTTGTAGGACTGAGCATTGCTTATAAATTGAATTTTATTTATCATGTCGACCAGTTGATCACTTAACCAGCAGATATTTCCTTTATTATAAGAACAAGCAGTTACTTTGCCTTATTTGAAAGTAGATTAAGATATAGCATTCCCTGTTACCTGTTCACAAATTTGTTTAAAAAAGGGCTAATCTTACAAAAACGAACTAATATATATATATATATATATATATATATAGTCGAGTCATTAATTTTCAGATAATAATTGTAGAAGGAAGATAAACCAAAATATGTGTGTAAAAATTAAAAAAAGTGTTACCTTGTTTTATAAAGTATTCTCCCGACAATTATTTCAGTGCGGACCTATGCGCCCAAAAGCATGTCACAAAAACTGTTCGAAATGATTTCCGTTTTGCTCGACGCAGAACTGGGCTTGTTGCCAAACATGAGCATATAATATTATTATTGAGACAGGGCGGTACTCAAACTTCTAAAGGGCTATAACTTTGTTACTTTAATTTTAACAGAAAAATGTTATAGGAAAAAAACATTTCTCCAGATCTACTCACTGTTAAAATAAATGACTCAACTTCGAAGTATATATAGAGATATAGATATATATGTTTTTTCCTTTACCATTTTTCTGGTAAAATTAAAGTAACAAAGTTATAGCCCTTTGGAAGTTTGAGTACCGCCCTGTCTCAATAATAATATTATGTGCTCGTGTTTGGCAACAACGGATATAATCCGCCTTATCGGTTCATCGCATCGGAAACAAAAAAGCGAAAGAATTTGGAACGATGTTTTTACAATTATTTTATTCAGTTGTATACAGTCCGTGTCAGTCGGTAACGCGTGAGTGAATAGTGGTGTCTGTTGCGTGGCTCAAATGAAATCAAAAATGGCACATGTTTACGAAAATGCTGAACTTGTGGACATGATTCTTATTTACGCGGCATCACGGATTTATGCGGATCGGTTTCCCAATCGAGTGCAACCAACCCCTCGTGCCTTTGTTAATGTAGTACAAAGGGCTCGTGAATCAGGTGACTTAAGACCTCACAGGGGAGGGCATGCCGGTGCTCCAAGACCGCACGATCAAATACAGGTCCGCACGATCAAATACAGGTCCGCACGATCAAATACAGGTCCGCACTGAAATACTTGTCGGGAGGATACTTTATAAAACAAGGTAACATTTTTTTTTATTTTTTTTTTATTTTTACACATATTTTGATTTATCTTCCTTCTACAATCATTATCTGAAAATTAATGACTCAACTTCAAAGTCACCCTGTATAACTAAAAACAATCCTAGAGCTACATACATGTCCTTATGTCTAAATATTAAGATAAAAACTGTCGTATCATTGTTCTAAATTTGAATATCAAATGATATAAGTTACTATATTATACGAAAACAAGACAATAAATTAGTAGTACCTAAATCAGCACTTGTGAAAAACTCAATAATTTATAATGGTATGTAAATTTACATGTACCTTCCTGATGATATCAATAGAATTAACATGTGTATACAATTCATTTACTTGAGTTTTTTCATTAATAATGACTGTATTCTTCAGAGAATAAAGCAAATTTACCTATCTAAATATAAAATACTTACCTTGATGCTTCCTCTAGGCCTTCATGCCAAATCTCGTGCCACAAAATCGCCACCCTGATCAGTTCTTCAGAAACCATCAAGGCTTGTTTGACAAGTGTAGGTGAATGATCACTCATACTCTTAAGAATCTTGTGCGCGGCATTTCTTCTTATAGTCGAGTTACTCTTGGTCGCCACCGTCAAGGGATACACCAAAGCCTGCGGGTGCGTCTTACCAATGTCAACCAGAAGATGGTGAATCAGTCTGGATACCAACACTCTATTTGTATCGATCCTGGCTATGAGTTGGGGAATGACTTGCAGCCATGTGTTTTTCTCGACAAGACGGATGCCTTCTTGAATGGCTTCGGACACTTGAGGGATGTGTCCATAGTCGAACCATAGGGTGAGCAAACGTAGGGTGTCTTGTAAGGAACTACCTTTTGAGAGGTTTATAGATCTGAAAAATGTTTCAAGTTACGATGCAAAGATAATCACCATCGACCTTTTCTTACTTGAAAAATCCTTGAACTGCCAAAACTGTGTGTTTATTCAAGTCAAGGCTCTTATCAGCTTCTTGGGGATCTTTTTCCAATTTTGATTTATCGCCTTCTTCTTTATTCTTGTAAAATAATACAGTCTCAAAGTTCATGTACGCCCAACAATGCCAGGCTTTATACCAGTCTTTATCGTACTCTGTAGCTCGTTGATAACAGTTCAATATATAGTTAATTGAGCTGTCAGAAACTCCTTCCAGTGACTCTTGCCATCCACCTAGTTTCAAATAACAACTGAAAAAAGATAAGATAGATGAACCATTGCAAAATCATCAAGAACCATACAAGACGTTTAAGCTTTAGGCGACATGCGACCTCTAGCAGATAAACTTTACAAATTGTCATTAGGTTATCTTCAATATAACTTCATAATCGATTTTTCAGCTTTTGGCCTCTACTGAAGTAAACAGCAAGTGACATCTTTATGTCGAGTGTGTCCTGTTGGCAGTCACGAATTTGGTGAAACTCAGGAGCGTTGTCATTTATACCAAACATCGATCAAAATGTATCTGATACTCATACATACAACATATAATGACTGAGGATTTTTGCAATTAAATATATAGATCTCATTAGAGCGTTGATAGAAAGTATGAATCAGTTAATATGACTCTGCTTAAGCACATAAGCAGCGCTTCTAATGCCCTTGTGACAATTGAAGAGCGGGGGTGATATAAGTCAAGGGGCGCCCGTCTCATGATTCAGGTTTAGCAAAGTAATATTTACTCCAAGATACAGCAATATATACCATTTTCTTGGAAAAAAAAAATAACGTCTCTGCATATCTCACGTATCGGCATCATCAGTTTATAAAGGATTGTTTTCAATACAAGTTAGACCCTCTGAGAAAAAAGCTAGTTACGAACTTGTGTAACAGAGAAACTGAACGTATCAAGACAGTCAAACAGGTCCACGCAATTAGCCATTATACATTCTTTCCCGTCCTACCGGTATTCCATCTGGGAACGTCGTCTTTCCCCGATACCTGACGACATAACGCGGCAAGACCGGTATGCTCGCCAGTGACTACAGACATCAGAAGCTGTGTCGCGTATCGAAAGCATTTCGTTATACTCTATTATAAGGAAAATGGAGAAATCTATGATATGTAAAATATGTCTAGTAGGTGTGCAGAACTACCAAGGTTGAGAGCGTACATATTAGAATTGAAAAATATGAGATAACCTTCCCTCACCCCCAATTTTTTATCCATCAATTGTTTTTCATGAATGATCAAGATTATCTGAAACGTGAACGACGACGAGGATTAGCGGACATACAGAGCTACAGAACCGACGGACATGAGTGACATGGTTATTCGGCACGGGTATTATGTAAAAACGCTATAAAACGTCAAAAAAACCTATAAAATGTCATCTTGCAGACTAGGTAGTTTTTAGGGTGCAAACAGTCATTCCACGTTTGCTCACTAGGATCGTTGTGAGTGTCCATCTATGGAGGAATGGCTCAACTACACTACACGCATTGTTGGTTGCATATGTTTTTTGAAGCCGAGTAGTCTATAGTTTTCATCTCTGAGAAGAAAGTTGGTTGAATAGCAAGATCGCATCTGGATGTTTGTGTATAAAATCAGTGATATTTGCTGAGAAAATCATTACTGAATATGCTGCCAATTACGTATATCTATTAGCTGTGCCCGACGAGTTGTTCTTTTTGAAGACAGGTTATGTTAAAAGTTATAAATTAAATTTTTTACGTTTTCAAAAACTGAGGAGAATTAAGGGAAATCACCACTGCGTCCGCGTTGTGTGTAATTACTGTTAGCACGTATATGATTTGTAATTCGTCAGTGTACAGTTAATATAATTATTTCTTATCTCCCTCAGTTATGAAAATCAGCAAATTTATATATTGTGTTATTCCCAGACTGGATAATAAAAAGTGGATGCGTAACTAATTTCTAGCTTTGAATCTCAAGTAATTGAGTCAAGCATCCAATGGAATTATCATCAACACTTATTATTAGCACACAAATCTTCACTATGCACCCATGCAATGCCGTTACCTGCAGTAATGCCATCTGTGAAACAGATTTTACATCACATCAAAGCTAAGCATTGATAACTGAAGCCTCATGACGTTTAGGCAAGACGTACAACTACAAAACGAGTTCACAACTAGCTACTGCTACGTTAACATCTTGTAGAAAAGCCTACATAATGTCACAAAAAAAACAATATAATGTCAAAAAAATTGACATATTGTCACTTTTCAAGATACGTAATACCCGTGCATGTCATACATCCAAAAAACATATGTCATTATCGAAATTTTTCGTGATCAGGCGTCGGAAGTAAAAATGCCAGACTTGGGCCTCTAAGAGGGAGCGCGCGCCCCCATCCCTCTCTAAATCCGCCCTTGCTTGGTGTTTTTAATGTCACTAGATAATCAGCTGTTATTTATCGACACGAGTTGCTGTGATGAAGTATCCATAAAAATAGTTGTGTTTGCTCATGTTACTCCAAATGATCTATTGTTATCACATAACTGCAAACAAAAGAAAATGATCTAAGAGAAATCCTTACCGTGCTAACAGTCTATTCCTCTCCTCAGCGCTTAAGCCACTCTCAACAGGTTGACGATTATAGTCATTCATGAATTGTTCTAACTGGTGGAATGCACTAAATTTTTTACCGGTAGCCCAAAGGTGCTTGGTATAGGCAAACGTTACATGAGGCATGATACGTGGCAGTGACAGTAGAGGGTTATCCTCTGGATCGTATCCCAGCAACATGACTAAAGTTTTATGCGAGAGTCTCTGAAGGGAAATAGGCAGGAATATAAATATTTAATTTTGTATAAGAGTTGGAGTATTAGACTACGGTTATTAAGGATGCGAATTTTGACGAAATTTTGTTGACGGGTTCTGACTAATCCGTCAAAATAAACAAATACCTGTTTACTAATTATCGTGCTTACCCTGGCAACGACCATCACGTCAGAGCATGCACGACGTTGTCAGCGTCATTTGAGCGTTCAAACAGATTTGATTTGCTCGTACGATCTGCGTCTTTTATGCGTACTTACTTGGTTATTTCACAATTAATAAAGATAAATAAATGATAACTACTATGTACGAGAACAGTTTACTATAAGACATGAGAGAGAAAAATTACCAATAACAACATTTCAACCCTTCAAATCTTTCAAGAAAAATAAAATTCATCAACTACATCCGTGTTTGTTGGGCTTCAGAATCGTACTGACTACCAACATTTGAGACAACGCGCACAGTGTAACCGCCTTGTTCTGACGAGGGTTTCGGACGTACGCGTCAGAACAAAACAATTCGCAACCATAGTAACCGTCGCCTTTGATGTATGGATGCTGGCTGTATCTGGTGAATCACTAGAGACAGGCCTGATCAAGTCAATAGTTGTCTACTATGTGGATGCACTTTATAATCCCAAATAAAATTTATTTCCTTCTTACACCATAATCAATACATAACAAAGTTACTCCTATGACTATACACTTATAGACTACTCGTCAAAGTGCACTTCACTCAATTCTCACATTATCATTATTCTAGAATTACAGTTACACACAGTTAACGTTGCCAAAAAAATATTGGATGGTATCTCCAAGTTACTAAATATATTTTTGTTCAAATTTTTACTCAGGATTTGGAAGGTTCCAATGTAATTTTGAAAAATTATCGTATTTGCTAGACAATATTCTTATGTGATTGATGTATGAACTATAGCTCACCACAGATCCGCTCTTTCTGCATAAAGCAGCATATTTCAACCACGTGTGGATATCTTCATGGGGTTCCAAGACCAAAGAATGCACTTGTATAATTTTTTGCCAATCTTCAACTAATCTTTGTCCTGCCTGAAGTCTCTGCCACCACATTTCTTTCAATGTCGGCCTTCTTTCTGGTACTAATTTGTACTGCATCACCTGATAAAAAAAAATAAAGCAGTCTTAACCGCGCTGTATAAATCGACGAATCTTACACATTTAATTAACGCTGCTTACCTCTTCCAGTTCACTAAGCATTTGTACTTGAACCATTGCACCGTAAGCTCTTTGGTAACTTTCTCCCGCCATTGCGGTTAGTTCTGTATCCAGCATATCCCTTGTCATACATATATAATCTTGTGCAACTTTATACTGTTCCTTGTGAATAGCTAAAACGGCTCTGAAAAATATTCAATGTGTATTCGTTATCACGGCAAAAGCTGAAGCTTTATAATATTTTCATAACGAAATAGTGTGAATATCTGTAATCATTTATTTTAGACGTGCAATATATTCATGAGCAAAATATACATATAAATAATACCTATAAAAAGATCCTTCTTGAGTATCCTTAGGTATAATATTGACGTATCGTTCCATAGACTCCCAGTTATGTAATCCAAAAGCAGATGCTGCTGCTAAGTGACATGCTTTTTGTTGATTCTCCTCCGTGAGCGTTTGGAACTTATTTTCAACAATATCATGCAATGATTGCCATTCTCCAAGCGCCTCTAAACATCTAAACCATATTACGGAAGCATTAAACCATATCGTCATAGATTAATATATATACACGCACGCATCATTTTCTTTATATATCGCATAATTTTCTTTGTATATATATATATATAAATATATGTGCGGAGATAGGTATAGAACAAAAAGTAGGAAAATAATGGGCAAAATCCGGGTGGTTGTGGTTAGATGTCTCCTTGAAAATTCGAGGTCTTCTAGCCATTTTATACTACCATGTGTAGGTTGGCTCTTGTTTTGGACTTCGTGTGCTGTTTTTTTCCTCTCCATCTTCGTTTCCTCAGGTTACACCTGTATCCGGATGTGTGGGCATGTGTACCTACTTTTGTGGTTGCATACGTGCATTCATTTCGGGCCTGATGAAGCCAAAAAACAGAAATACGTATCGCTCGGGTTACCTATCCTATTTTCTGCTCGAATCCACTTTCCTTCTTTTTGAAGATTTTGCCCATTATTTTCCTACTTTTTATATATATATATATATATATGTGTGTGTGTGTGTGTGTTTCAAACACATTTCACAAGAAGCATGAAACATTTTTGGAAATATTTTTTTAATATGTATAATAGATAAACACTAGGAAATAAATCTACCTTGGCATGAAAAAAAAAAAACAATTGAAACGCACAAGCATATTATGTCAAATATTGGCATGTATTCTAACCTTAGTTGCAAAATTTTTAGATAATTTTGATAACTAGTTTTCTATTTACACGGTAAACTATGATGGAAAATTAGACTATCGCAGTGTCATACAATTTCTGACATCAGGGCCATTTGCCGAAAACAATTCTCGAGAGAATTGGTGCCGTCTATGGGGCTGACCCACCATCATATTACACAAAAAATATCGATCATAATAATTTCGATGGTGGCGTGAATCTATAGCAATTGATCCCAGAAGTGGAAGACCCAAAGGAGCAACAAATGATAAAATGACTCAAAAAGTTAAAGCTAAGGATCTCTAAGAACGAAGTGTGAAGGTATCTACATTAGTATGGCATTAAATATATCGGAGCCCAGCGTAATAACCATCTTGCACGATAATTTTTACACAAGTAAGGTGTCAGCCACGTGGTTTCCACGACTGTTGACACCCGAACAAAAATTGCGCAAGCTGGAAATTTCAGAAAGTCATTTGTAGACTTTAACCAACATTGCTACCTTTTTGGCACAACTGGATTTGGGTGTATCATTGGGATCCTGAGACAAAAAAGGACCCAAGCAGAGGGTCCTAAAAAGTCACGTGACCTTCTGCTGAAAAATTGTTGACAACGGTTTTCTGGGACATCAGGGGCATCCTTCTCACTGAATACCGGATGCATAAGCGAACACACTAAAAAATTTACGTAAGGCAATCAACCAGAAAAGATATGATTTTTCCAATCGAGAAGTGTTTCTGCTGCATGACAATGCGACCGTGCATAGACTGCCAAAATTAGACCAATTGTGCAGGAATGTAGTTTTGTTAAGATAGACCATCCTCCCTATAATCCGAACTGGGCTCCGCTTGACTATCTCTTTAGATTACAAAAGAAAAACATTTCTTAAGAGTCAAGAGGAAACATTTTTCATAAGGAGGAGGACATATGAAAAATGGCAAGTGCATTGTTGTAGCGGAGATAATATAGGAAAATAAACTTATCAAAAAAATCGTACGTCTTTTGTTTCATGGCTAGGAAGATTTCTTTTCTAGTATCCGTCGTTACATCTCTTCAAGATTGAAGTTTATTAAGGTTCTGACCGCTTTCTATAAGGAAAACTCACCTCATTTGGCCTAAACATGCTTCTTGATCTAACTCTCCACCTGATTCTAACTTTTCTTTATATAGACCTAGCGCCTTATCCCAATTATGCAGCTTCTCATACCAACGAACCTTCACCTGCGCAAATTATGGAAATCGCTTCAATATTGTGGATCAAGTACTTTTTATACAACAAACTTACTTGTACTTCGCCACCCCGACGCATTACGTACTGTAGTAAACCATCAGCGGCCTCTTTAGCTTGCAACTTATTATTGATCGAAATCAACGACTCCACAACGTGATCATTATAAGCTCCACCACGTTGGAACTCCTCTTCCTTGTAATGTAATGCTTTGGCATATGCCCTGCAATGAATTCAAATGGCTAAAAAGGATATACCGAGATACACACGTGATGCTAACTCCCGAACAAGTTGGTGTATAACCCAGATCTACTCCCAATACAATAAAGAATACGAGTACTTCATGCGTATATCAAAGAGTAGTTATACCAGGGAAGACAGACAAGGCGAATAAATAAGAGATAGACTGGATAAAACAACGAAATCAGTCTAGATAGAAGTCTATAGTCACCTTGCATACTACAAGTCTGTACCTCAGAGCCAGACTAGGTTAAGTCCAAATCCCCCTACAAAATCCAACTCGTACGTCCTCGTTCTGCGGGCGGCCTTGGGCGCTGAACCGTGAGCGACCGTGTAGGGGCACCGCGGATGTCGACGACCACCATTTCCCCTTTACTCGTGGGAACAATATGAAACCCGAAGACAATAATAAAAACTCCGAGGTCCCCCCTACGGAGGACCCTGAACATCCAGGTGGCCCCTCACCAGGGGACCCTGAACATCCGAGCGGCCCCTCACCAGCGGACCCCGATCGTACTCTGACAGAAGAATCTGTCTGTCTGAAACTTAGCAGAGAGCTTGCTGAAAGGGTGGGCTCTCTAAAAATCAAAAAGAAGTATCGGCCAGGTTCCGAAAGGAAAAGGGCTCTGAAGCGGAGGGAGCCGCGGATGACAGAGGGCTCGGAAAGTCGGGGCACCACTTCTGGGGCCCCTTCCGGACGGACCCAACTGCCATCTGGGCAAGACGGTGCGCAATCCAGTGTGTCAGGGGAGGCCCTAAAGCGGCCTGGCGACGGGAAGCGGCAGAGGACTGCCGGTGGGACACCGGAGGGCGCATCTTCGCGGAAGAGGGTGGTTATCGTGTCCGATGGTTATCCTGGGACTCACTTGACTGAGGCACAGGTGCAGCAGGTGCAAGAGGCGGTCAGTGGGCTGATAGATGGACTCCCAGATGAGGGGGCCCTTCCTTGGTACATTGACTGCTACCACGAGGAGCAGCCATTTTTGTCTGCGAGGACGAGTCCTCTAGGGCATGGTTCGTGGCTCACGTGGGTGATCTGCGGCCGTGGGAAAGTGCAAGGCTCATTACGATGAGCTTTAGTTTACTACCGCGTGATGGCCTGGTTCCCGGTTCCCAACCTGGGAAATGACGTCATCACGAGAAGACTCAGGAGGCAAAATCCTGGAACCTTTCCCAGCGCGTGGAGGCTACTGGAGAGGAAGGAGAAACTCAAAGGAGTCCGTCTTGTTCTCTCAGTGGATTCCATTAGCTGGAAGGTTATTGAGGGTAACATCGGCTGTGCTGCGGAGGAAGCTCGGGGGTGTTCACACTCCTGAGCAAAAAGAAAAAGCCAGTTACCGAGGCGACGTCTGCCGGAACAGGCCTGGCTCCTAACCAGGGGTCGGACCAACCCAGACCGACGGAAGCTGTGGCGGTAGACCAGGCTCCTCCACAGAGGACGGGTCAGCCGGGGCAGCTCATGCTGGATCCTCCGGAGGCTACGGTGGGTCTTAACGGAGTAGCCGCAGGAAACATCGTGGCGGGCCCGGCGATTTAAGGCGCCCCAGAGGGCGATGACAGCCATTCGGACGAGGAAGGAATCTTCAATCGAGTCCGAGAACTCCTCTGCGGAAGCAGAGACGAGGGCGGCTGCGACATGGAAGACTGTGACGGCGACGGCCGTACGCCCGAATAGGGCATCTACACCTCTCAACATCCATGGTGAGTCTCAATTTTATACAGATTAACTTACTGCACTGCATAGCGGCTTCGAGGGCCCTCACTCAGGAGATCTGTCGAGGCCGCCATGACGTGGCTCTCATCCAGGAACCCTGGTTGAGAAACGGTTCAGTAAACGGGCTCAGTTTACCGGGATATACGCTTTTTAGTGATACTCCAGACACTGAGCTCAGAGCTTGCGTAATGACTAGAATTAATATATGGCAACTTAAAGACTTTACCTCCAGAGACTTAGTTGCAGTTAGAATTAGATATAAGAAGGAAAGGAGCTGACAAAGACCTGGTCGTATGTTCGGCATGCCTTCCTTACGATTCAAGGGAACCTCCTCCGTCTAAGGAACTGGGGGACCTTGTTGCATATTGCAGGGATTCTGGACTCGACCTCGTGATTGGTTGCGACAGCAATGCTCACCACGTCATGTGGGGCAGCTCGAACACCAAAAGACGGGGCGAAGACCTCATAGAGTTCCTAGGGTCATCGCACATTGAGGTTATGAATGTCGGTAACACGCTTACTTTCAGTAACAATGTCAGAGAAGAGGTTATCGACGTAACACGGAGTACGCTCAATTTAGCTCAGGAGATTAGGGACTGGAAAGTGTCTCTAACACTCTCTCTATCGGATCACAGATATATACTGTTTAAGACTGATGGAGAGATTCCAGATAAACATGCTCGGAATCCTAGGCATACTAACTGGGCGTCCTTTAGGGCAGACCTTGATAGTAAGCTTAGAGGGGGAGCAAGAGTACACAAAACGAGCGATGCTCAAACTTCTTCGAAGAGTTAAGCGCAGGAAAAGGTCTCCCCAATGAGGAGACTACAAGAAGGCGTTGCAGGAATACAAAAGGAGATTAGAAGAGCTTCCAGGGAATCCTAAAGGAACTTCTGTCAGTGCATAAAGGACATTCCTGCTACAGCTAGAATATACAGAATCCTATGCAAAGAGCAAGATTAGGACCTTTGTCTGATCCCTCGGGAGGTAGTACTACTTCCGAGGAAGGTACTCTGAGGCTTCTGATGGATACGCACTTTCCCGGTTCCACAGTAGCGCGGTCAATCACAGAGTGCATACAGTTGCGCAGGCCCCTCAAGGGAGGACTGTCGCACTGCAAGGGAGAATGTTACTTTCGAAAGGATGGTATGGGCGATCGATTCGTTTGCTCCATACAAAATCCCGGGTCTGGACAGGGTATTTCGGGCCATGTTACAGCATGGGCGGGATTCGGTTATTCCTTACCTGTTGAAGGTGGCGTCAGGCTAAAGTAGTATTTATTCCTAAACCGGGTAGAGCTAGATATACCGGCCCGAAGGATTTTCGTCCGATTACCCTTTCATCTTTTGTGCTTAAGACTTTGGAAAGGATAGTTGACAGATTTTTGAGGGATGGCCCGCTGGTGAGGTGTGGCATTCATTCCAATCAGTTTGCATACCAAGCTGGGAAATCGACTGATCTGGCCTTACACAATCTCGTCGGAAGGCTGGAGAAGACTCTAGATCAGCGAGAAGTGGCATTTGTGGCCTTTCTGGATATTGAAGGTGCATTTAATTGCACTACAACCGACTCCATCAGACATGCCTTGTTTAGGTACGGGGTTGGATCAATCCTAGTAGATTGGGTCCTATCCACTCTAGAGGGTCAGGTAGCAACAGCTATGCTGAATGAAGTAAGCTGCAGCGTCAGCGTAGCTCGAGGCTGCCCACAGGGCGGAGTTATGTCACCCTTACTGTAGTGCCTCGTGGTGAATGAACTCCTCGTTAGGTGAAGCAGTGCGGGTGTCTACGTGCAAGCATATGCTGATGACGTAAGCATAGTAGTTACAGGTCGTTTTTGTGGAACATTCTCTAAGATTATGCAAGGCGCTTTGCGCGCTGTTGAATTATGGTGTAGGGCAGTGGATCTTTCTGTCAACGCTGGAAAGACCGAGCTGATCCTATTCACTAGGAGAAGAAGGCTTGACGGGCTTGTTTTGCCGACCTTCTTTGGGACTAGATTAGTTCTATCCCAGTCAGTAAAATATCTAGGAATTATCCTGGACTGTAAACTGAACTGGAGAGAGCACGTTGAAGTTAAGGTTAACAATGCTCGCCATTCAATGTGGGCTTGTAGACGCGTTGTTGGTGTTAAGTGGGGGATCAAACCCAACGTGGTTCACTGGCTCTACACGACAATAGTGCGCCCATCTCTCTTGTACGGTTCCTTGGTTTGGTGGCCTTGCATTGGAACTGAGACGAATAAGGCCAAATTCAATAAAATTCAGCGATTGGCCTGTATCAGCATTACGAGACGGCGGACGCTCTGGCGGAGACAGGATCAGCCAGCAAGCTCGTTGGTCCTGAGCCAGCTTTAGGGGTGCCCGCGCTAAGAGTTAGGAGGAAAATGGAGAAGTGGATTGCAAGGCAACACTCACAGAAATGAAGAAACATCTCCAGACATCTACGTCAGGCACGGGAACTTATTGCAGGGCCCAACGCTAAGAATGGACGTTTCTGCTTATCGTTGGATAGAGCCAACCTAAGGTTTCTGGTGGGACTGTTGTCTCGCCATAACACGTTAAGGCGCCACCTGCACGTGATGAGGGTGGGTGAGGATCCCTTGTGTGAGCGCTGCGGGGTAGAAGAAGAGACCTGGGCGCACGTCGCTGCGAGGCTCTGGGGAGGAGTATACTGGGGACCATCACTTTGGACCCCCAGGACATTAACGGCGCTCTCACAGTCAAGCAGAGTTTCTGAGGGGTATCGGGGGGGTGATAGGGAAACGCTAGTAGGACGGCGTTGTGACAAGGCAAGCGCTCTACGTTAGAAAAGGATAGTAATACGCAGAGGTGTGCTGTTCGCGTGCCTGGTTGAATTTGCATATTGCACAGAGTCGGATTTGATTTGGATATACGATCTAGCGTACGACTGTTTCCCCTATTTTGGCTCATAGTATACCCAGCCCTTATTAATCTTATTACAGTTATTGTATTGTTGTATTGTCGTGTTGTTATTGTTGTGTTGTTATTGTTGAGTGTATTTCTTATCAAGGTATCAAAAATGAACAATAAGAGAAATAAACGTGACGTCTCGAAGAAGCCGCAGTTAAATACGCACAGGAAAAAAAACGTTTTCCAGATAGAAAGGTAGGTACCAAAACAATTATGAATTTTAGCATTCATTTTGCCAATAAATTAGACTATACGTAGTTACTATTATAACTATATTTTATATGTTATTTTAGCTTAAAAATGACAGCAAGGTTTCGCATATGCATTCTCTAACAGAGACAGATGGCATGGATCTTCAAATTCAGGTGTGTATACCCTTTTTTTTTTAGATTTGCACCAGAGGCTGATATCATTTCTGGCAATTCTGATTAAAAATGCAGTAAGTTTACTTCGTGACGTCGATAATAATATTGTAGAGCAGTTTAACTCAATCATAGCTAAATTCATTGGGGGTAAACGGATTAATTATTGCAAGAAGACATCCTACCAAGGAAGATGTGCTGCAGCCGTAGTGAGCGACAATACACAGCGGCCTGTTTGTGTGATCCAAAAGCGGCTACTCCCTAGTTTCATTGCAACCTCTTTGATTGCTAAAGTTGAAGAAAGGAGAGCGCACAAAAATCTGAAAAGGAAGCTGAAACCAAGGAAAATTAAAATCAGGGATAGTGATACTAAAGAGAACGCATCCTATGGGGAATTCTGTGAGAAGCCTGACATGAGCAACGAAGATATAGAGGCTGCCAAGGTACAATTCTTGAAAAAACTTGCAAAAACCGACTCCGAAATTTCCTAGATCGAGCAAGCCACAAAATCTCAGGATTGCAATTTGTGGCGTCTTCATCGAAGAATGAGGTTGACTGCGTCTCGGTTTGGTGAGGTTTGTAGAAGAAGAGATACAAAAAGTTGCAGAGCTCTAGTAAACGCCATAATATACCCAACCGAATTCTTTAGCAATGCATGTGACTATGGAAAAAAGCATGAAAGCGTGGCAAAAGCAGAAATAGAGAAATCATATTCGCAATCAGAAGTACAATCTTGCGGGTTGTTTATTGATAGGAACCATCCATTTCTGGCAGCATCGCCAGATGGTTTGATAGGCGAAAAAGGTCTGCTAGAAATTAAATGTCCATGGTCGGCTAGAGAAATGACCCCTGAAGAGGGCATTCTGAACAAAAAAATTACGTTTTGGATAAACGATGAAATAAATAAAAAACATAAGTGGTATTACCAAATTCAAGGGCAGCTACACGTTGCACAAAGAGAGTACTGTGTGCTTGGTGTTTGGACCCCGTATGGTTTGAAAATAGATGTCATTTAAAAGGATGACGTTTTCTGGAAAAATGAAATGGAAGAGAAATTGAAATTCTTCTACATGAACTACTTGCTCAGAGAACTGGTCGATCCCAGAAAAAGCAGAAATATGCCAATCCGCGATCCCGATGTGATCTTGAAGGCACAAGAGAACCGTTTGAACAAGAAAAAGATTTCTTGAGAATTGGCAATTTTTGCTGTTCTCGGGTACCAAAATGGAAGAGATTAGCATATTACATTGTACGCCGTTACTAACCCCTTCGTGTCGGCAAATGCGGTGTGCAGATCTCGCTTTAGCAGCGATGTGCGAGATGTTATGCTAATCTCTTCCATTTTGGTACTAGTACCAGATGTTCACTATTTATTGTATGTTATGTATATATTGTTTATTTAAATAAAAGTCAATCGTCAGGCTCAATAGCACGTAGCATCGGCTAGCTTTATCTAGTCTGTTAGATGGCGAATATTGAAATGTCACATTGACACGTTAAGTGCCACAGTAGAATCTGAAAATCCAGTCCACTGGGCCAAACTGTTATTATTGTCAAATTAGCTTGTTTTAAGTTTCGGTTTAATATTTTGACTTGACTTTTTTCTCAAATCCTATGATTTTTCCCCTTTTTTGATTTTTTTTTCTGAGGTACTAGTTGTATGTCGCGTGGCCCACAGACCAGTCGGGTCGCGTGTTTTGCAAGTCAAGACTTGCATCATGTCGCGCGTTGAGCACTGTTTCGTGTCATTTATTATTGAAGGGTTGTTGGTATTGTACGTCATCTTGTCCAAATTGCTTTACTGTTTATAAACTATTGAATACCAAATTTAGTGATGTCGCATCACGAAGCGGAGCAAAAAAGGCTTGAACAATTGTGTAATGAAATACTATCGGATGAAGAGAGTGGCAGTACTGAGTTATGTGGGGATGTATACTTATCTGATGCGTATTCTCCAAGTGGTAGTGAATCAGATAGTAGTTGTAGTAAGTCCATATTTATCTGTATTACTGTTTATTTATACCGGTATTTTGTTTATTCCTGAATAAGACTTTGTCAATCTGTTTAGTTTATAAGAGTTCCTCCATATTTGTGTTCGTTAGAATATCGACATTTACCATAACTTACTGATTTACTGTGAAATTACTTTGTTCATTTTTGAATGAGAATGTCTGATTATTTTATAAGATTTGCTTTTTGTTTTAGATTTGTAGAATATCCTCTTTTTGTAAAACTCTATAAACAACGTGTTTTTTAATGTTTTCATTTCCAATTCAGTATAATTTGGTCCCTCAGGCCACGGACTCTTGGTTCCCGTAAGAAAATCACATCAGCATGGCACACGTCTTACGTTACGCGGCCAAATATAACTGCCAACAGTGAGACATATCATGTGTGTCACGAGGCCCAAAGCGCCAAATGAGGTGCGACACACGCATTATATATTATCTCATGACGCTTATCGTGTTAAGTTTATTTTACGATACTTCATAAGGTTAAAGCTAAACAGCAAGTGACATTTTATTTGTGTTAAATGCGTTCACCATAATTATTATTTTCAACTAAAAAGATTACCGCCTCCAATGACCCTGGAACCACCTGGAAACTTTTGGTCACAAAGTTCTGTATTTTACCACACATGTCAAGTCGTTTCATTTGATATGTAAATTGGGGGTTTTGTACAAAAATATGTAACTCGCAATTTCGAAACGGCGGCAATCTTGGAATCAAATTTTTAGTGAAGTACTGTATTCTACAAGGCGACGACTCTTTTTTGAGATATTAGCAAGTATGTTATCCGCCATTTTGTGACGGCCGCCATCTTGATTTGAAACTGTTTTCGTATTACTGTTTTGTACAAGTGCTTCCATTTGATATCCATATTGGGGTGATTGAACAAAAATGATTTTTTGTGGTATCACCTCTGAAGCATGGCCTATTGTATAAAAAGAAATGATCAAAATCGATTAAACATTTCCCCTCTTTCATTGAAGTAAATTAAAAATGTCACTTACTGGTCCGATGTTTATCTCGAACGACCGACGTCAAAACTGCTACTGTTTAACTTGGGACAACAAATTATCTGAATACGTCCTTTCTTAGTCCGTACACACCGCCGCGTTGCTTCGACTGGCAGCACGATATAGTGGATAAAATTCGTGTAAAAGCCTATTTGCAGAGGTTTTCGCGCTTCAAAATTGACGCTTCATTTTTGAATATTTTTCAATGAAATTTTCACAGTGCACTAAAAACAAGACTCCACAGGGTGCTATAGAGCCACTTTTTCGTTTTTTCCTCTGGGTTATTTTTAAAAAAATCGAGAAGTCGAACAACAATTATATGCACTTCCACCCACCATAACTCCTGAAAAAATTTTTTTTTTAGAAAAGTGGCTCTATAGCACCCTGGACAATTGTCTTCTGAACATACTGTATAAATTTTATTCAAATATATGGAAAAATGGAGCGTCAATTCCGAAGCAGCTAAACCCTTGTAAATGGCCTGAAACTCACTGCGTCGGAGCCGCCTTAAGGAGCTTGGACTCAAGGCTATACTCAACTTCGCTAGAATGGCGAGACTTGAGGTCTAAGAAATGTGGAGGTGCACAAGGGTCCGTCTGAGTGGCCTATGCGCTGGCTCCTTATGGTGGCCGGTATGCCTCTAATTTCGTGTTTTCATTCAAGTCCAAATAACTGTGTTTGAAATATTTTTCTTCTTCTTGTATTGCATTGTGTGTAACTGAACATGGTTTACAAAGTCATTATTTGTTTATTATTACAGTTAGATGGATGCTGCAAGTAGCAAATGAAAATTCACAATATTGTCATAAGCGTAAGTTAACTCGTTTTTGACAAAAATTGACTTAACCTAGTCTGGCTTTCGGGTACAGAAGTGGATATGACATAAGTTAATTTTTTGACAGTCCTGTCATTAAATTTTCATTTTTGATGTCAGTTTTTAAAAGTGCGAGTGTTTGCAGATAATTTTAGTGTTAGACGATCTCAATACATGGTACTTCTTACATAATTTGCAAACAGACACACAAGCCTAATGAAGGTACTACATAAAACAATATTCTCACCTGCAGTTCATCGCATGCTCTCCAAGAAGATGCGGCTCCAACGGCAAAGGTCCTTTATCACAGTGCTCCATGAATTCCGCCAGATTCAAAATAGTTTGTGTGATTTCCGGCACGTCAGGAACTTCCAATGCCATCATCAAACAATTCATCAAGTTCTTCTGCTTCTCATCCGTCAACTCTGTCCAACAGCTTACGAAAGCGGCATTGAAAAGGTCCTTCGACAGTTGGGAGTATGTTTGGGCTAGCGGCAAGCAGGAGCGCAAAGCAGGAATTGGTGATTGCTTGAGCAGCTCCAAACTGAGGCAGCGCAACCATTCGAGCCAGTCGTCTTTCGAGACCCGTCTGTAAGAATGTTCTTTTAAGATACTTCAACATACACATATGCGTGTGCACTGTTATAATCCACTCATATTGGGGGTTTCACCTCGGAATAAGAGATAGTAAGCTGTAAACTGGTATAATGCTATTTGCACTCATTATAAATGTATAGAATAGAATTCCCTACAATACTTGTTTCCTACATTTTTTTTATACAATTAACCGTTTTTGAGATAGAGGGCAGAGAGCGTGCAGCGCTTAGCTATTTACAACATAATGCCACCGTTAGTTCCGATATATAATGCGCCGAATTAAATCATCAATCATTAAAAAATATATAGTTATGCAAAATGATGATTTTTTATTGATTAATGCATTAAATTTTTTATTTTTCATTAGTCAAATATACGTTTATATAAAATCTATGCTTATAATGGGTGATTTTTTTGCTAGTATCTTTTTGGCAACACTGTTTTTGACAGATGACGCGTGAATCGTGTCTTGTGTCATTGTCAAACTTGTTCAGTTTGCTCGGTTAAGAGAGTGCATCGAGCACTGCTTCCAATTTATGGGCAATTTGGTCGGCCTACTGAAGGAGCTATTCGGAAGCTTGTGACTAAATTTCGAACCCAGTTTACATTATTGGACATTAAACCACCAACACGCAGACGTAGAGTGAGGACTGAAGAAAATATTGTGGCTGTATCCGCCAGTGTTATTGATGACCGTGAAATGTCGATTCGTCACCGTTAGCAGCAATTGGGCCTCTGTTACTCCACTACGTGGAAAATTTTGCGACAGGATTTGGGTGTAAAACCTTATAAGATACAGCTGGTGCAAGAATTGAAGCCACACGACCTCCCACAACGTTTCGAATTTGGTGAATGGACGCTGGCAAAGTTGGAGGAAGATCCACATTTTTATCGAAAAATTGTGTTCAGCGACGAAGCTCATTTCTGGTTGAATGGGTTCGTTAACAAACAAAATTGCCGCATCTGGAATGAAGACCAGTCAGAAGCATTGCAAGAGCTACCAATGCATCCCGAAAAAATCACTCTTTGGTGTGGATTATGGGCCGGTGGCATCATCGGGCCGTACTTGTTCAAAGACGACAATGGCCGGAACGTAACTGTGAATGGCGAGCGCTACCGTGCGATGATAACAAACTTTTTTTTGCCCAAAATGGAAGAGCTGGACTTGGCTGACATGTGGTTTCAACAAGACGGTGCCACATGCCACACCGCACACGAAACAATGGCCCTATTGAGAGGCGAATTCGGTGAACAGTTTATCTCACGTTTGGGGCCCGTCAATTGGCCGCCTAGATCGTGTGATTTAACACCGTTGGACTATTTCTTGTGGAGCCATGTTAAGGCTAATGTCTACAGGAATAAACCAGCAACGATTGACGCACTGGAAGCCAATATTGAAGCATTTATTCGTGAGATACCGGCCGATATGTTGGAGAGAGTGTGCCTTGCGCATGGGCCATCTAAAGCGGAGCCGCGACCAACATTTACATGAAATAATCTTTAAACATTAAATTATATCGACCGTTCTATCGACTCAAATAAAGATTTAATCGGTTTTACAAATTTTTTTTTTTTTAAATCAAATCCTATACCTCTTAAAAAATCACCCGTTACAAGATTTCACAGAACCCAAATGAGGAATTGATGTGCCGTCAACAAACTCTATATGTTGTAGAGACCCCTTCGTAGTAAATATCTAGGGTATAGCTTTGCTTTGCTGGGACTACAGGAACCACAGGATGATTTTGTGCCTATAAAGGTTGACTGCTCAAAACTGAAAAAAAGTCGTAAAACCCAAACGAATAATTATGCCAGCTTAAAAGTAATATATGTTGTAGTATTACGTGTCTACCATGTAATCCCCTGACCTTTTTGCAAAGCTATACCTTAGATATGTGCTTCTTTGGTGTTTCTACCATACATATGAGTTTGTTGGTATCACCCTTCTGCATTTGGGTACTGCAATTTTTTTCAATGTTGCGTAGTCAAAACCTTATACGCACAGAATCACCCCGTAGTCCCCTGATTTTTTACAAAACTATACCCTAGATATGTAGTACTATACAGGCTCTACAGCATGTATGACTTTGCCGGTAGCATAATGTTTGAAGCAAAATTTATAGAGAATTTTATTCTCTACAATATTCTCAATAAATGCAAATAGCATTAAACCCATAGGAAGCGATATCTTTGGACAACTCACCTGTTAGGAGTCCATGCCTCCTGCAAATTTTTATCCGAAACCTTGAGTCTCTGACTCATAGAGGAATCGCTACTCACTCCCGGATCTTCTCTGTTCTTCGACCTTGATTTGCTTCTAGGTAACGCCAGATCACTTTCATCCGCCATTGTCGTCTCCGTCTCAATCCGCGACACAAGAATATCCCATCGTCTATTTTGTATCTTGTGCTTATTCAGAACTTTCTGTACCAAAGGCACGAATATACAAAACTTCCGACCCATCTGCAACACTAACGAACACAAACAATCCATTGCAGCTAGTCGAAGTTCTGGTGAATTATCGATCGTCCTGACTAGAGGATGGATTATTCTGGAAATGTAATCGGAGAAGTCTAATATCTCAGCCAGTTGATCTATTGTTTCCAGAGCTTGTTTGGATATGGATACTGGACAATCTTGGGCATCGAATAATCTCACTATAGGAGGGAGAATGAGATGCATGTAGTCCTCCAGATTGTTGCCAAACTTGTGCATGGCACACAGTAACTTTCCTGTATGTTGCTTATCTTTTGAAGTGTCATGATTTAATACCCTTAAGATTTGAGGGATCAGTCGTGGAAGGTACACTTTAAACTCAGCACCAAGTGCCATCGCTATGTATTCCAACAAGAGTATGATTGTTCCTTGAATGGGACTGTTAGGTACCCAAAACTCTTTTACCAGATCACAGATATCATCTAGATAATTCCTTATGTGCTGCTTCACTATAGATATCAAGTGAGCCAGTTGTTGAAACAGAAATTCTCTAAAGTTCACATCGGCCGTTCGAACTACGTTGAGTAAGCTAGGCAGTACTTGGGGAATATAAGAGACGCACTTGATGCCTAAACTTTGAAAAGTGAATGTGACAGCTTGGACCACCATCGTGTGATGTTGGGAAAGAGTAGGGTCACGAATTATTTTCATTAAGGTAGCTATTGCCATGGCAAGATAGTATTCTTCTAAAGTGCAGGAGCTCATATTAACAAGCATCTCACTGGAACTTAAACCGAATTCTCCGTCTCCATCTGCTGCATCTGAAAAAAAAAATAATAATAAATAAACAAGACATTCCAGTAAATCAGAAAAAAATGCTCACTTTAGAATTCCTTCAGCTCCAGGCTCATTGTAAAAGATTGTTAACTAGCACTTAGAAGTATATAGGATATAAATAAATGACACGGTTTTTGCAATATCAAAGTATATTTTCATTATTTATTCATTTAGCGTATCGGGCAATTGTACTTCTAGACATTAGGCAAATATAAAAGCTAAATCTCAAAATTACAACCAACTATAAACAGATAATATGGTGTAGGGTTTGGTTACTAGCCCCAAAATCACACTGTGGGAATGGAATTACACCCCATTTATAGAGGAAGTCGGCAAAACGATCATGTTAAGTTCTTATTCTGTTAAGACTTGGCCATACATTTCGAGGGAGGTCAAAATCAGGTGGACTTTCCAAAACACAAGGCATTGAATAACATTGTTCATGAGAATTTTCTAGCCACTCCTGATCCAAGGTATTTAATAAATCAAAACCATTGTCGTATAGGTGTTTGGCACTTATGATAGGAGGTTTCCTAGAACGTAGTCTGTTGATGTCTATATTTGCAATGTCTTCATGTATTGGGAGCCTCTGATGTATAACTTTAATGTGTTCTCTTTGGAACTATACCGTTCCTCGTTTTAAGTTTCGCCGCAGTATTCGACAGGTGTTGCTTGAAGGATAGGTTTATATCATATGTAACCCCCAAATATGTAGGATTGTGTTGTATGTGAGGAAGGTATTATCAAATTGTACCTTCAGCTCCTTGTTTGCAAGTCTGTTCTTCAGGTGGAAACATGAGACATTGGTGCCATTGGGTTCACTTACGAAAATATTCACAAAGTTTAGTTAGATCACTTGTTAATATGTCTTCAGTATCAGTTATATCATTGACCTGTGTCATGTAGCGTATCCAAACTTTCTACATTGTGTTTCAGGCATATCAGAGATATACAAACTAAATAGTAGAGGGGTCAGTACTAAGGGTCGTATCGTCAGTCGCTCCTATAGTTGTAGCGCTCTATTTTGAGGTTATATCACAAATATCTCTTTGCATCAAATTGTTCATGCGTTTGATTTATATCATCTGTTTTAATAGCATGAAATTTCCTAAAATTCAAGAAGCAAACATAACTTCACAATAGGGGAGCGCTGACACTGAACAGTAGAAATCTAAAAATACCCCAGCGTTTCTGAAGGAGATAAATGACCATGAAAATCTAGGAGTCCATAAAGGCGTACTACAATTGTAGGAACGAGAGACGATACGGCCCTTAGCCCAAGCTTTTTCGTGCCACTCATCAAATTTTGCATGACAACGTGGAAACTTCTGTTACTCAGGGCATATTATATATTAGCCGAGAGGTGGCACTGTACGGTATTGCATGGAGAAACTTATACGTCTTATATACGTAGTCGTGCCATAAGTTCTGTCCCATGATAATCTCATGATAAAAATGAAACAAGATAAGATATATTTATATGAAAGATATTATTTATTCGACAACATTTTTAGAATTCATAATCAAACAGTTTTATTCAAAATGTCCCCCCTTGGCCTTCACACACTGCTTCAATCTCGCGGGCCACTCATCTATCACTGCACGCACAGCTTCCAAAGGAATAGCTGCCGCTGATCGGATCAAATCCGCTTTCAGGGACTCGATATTACGGTGGGCTTTGGAGCAGGCCAACTGCTCTAGCAGGTCCCACAACTTGTAGTCTAAAGGATTGAGGTCCGGACTCCCTGAAGGCCAATCTTCCGCAGCAATGAACTCTGGCACATTGCTTTCCAGCCAGCGCTGCGTACTCTTAGCCTTGTGAGCGGGGGCGGAATCCTGCTGGTAGACCCAGTGTTGGTTGGCAAACAATGTACCACTTAAAGGCTTGACGATAGGATCCAGTATGTCGCTCTGATAGTTTGCCGCTTTTGTTTTCACGCCCTGTTTACAGAAATGGAGCTGAGTGACCCCTTCGTAGGACACCCCCCACCAAACCATGACTGACGCAGGGTGGTGGCCTCTCTCAACTCTCGGAATGATCTCCGAAGCTTCCTGTGAACTCCTTGCATACACTTTGTCATTTTGTCGGTTGAATTTTTCTTCTATGGTGAAGATTTTCTCATCCGTGAACAAAATCTTTCGGAATCCCCCAGCTGCGTACCTCTCCAAGAGCTTCTTGGATCTTGTCGCCCTGATGTGTCGCAAGGTGGCCGTAAGTCGCTGGCCCGTACGTCTCCGGTAAGCCGCTAGCCCTAGGTCTTGTTTAATGATGCGCGACATCGTCCGGACAGGAATCTTCATTTCCCTGGATAGGATCTTCTGCTTCCGGAGTGGATTCCTTTGAATCCTGGCTTTTACGGCTTTGATGGCTGCTGGAGTCCTTACTTGACGAGGTCTTCCGCTTCTTGGCCTGTCATCAACAGAGGACGTCTCATTGTACCGCTGAATGGTCCTAGACACAAATTTACGCGATATTTGAAGGCCGCGTAAGAGTTCAAAAATCTGACTAGCACTGTGATTACACTTATGTAAAGCTATCACTGCAATACGGTTCTCTGCCTTGCCCCACTCCATCGTTATGCTTCGAGAGATCAATACAAACTGAGGTATATGTAATTACCCGAAAAGCGCTTAATCAACTGACACCACAATGTAAACAATCGGACAAGTATTAACAGGTCTACACTTGTTTGAAAACGAGGGACAGAAATTATGGCATGACTACGTATATGCAGTTGATATGTCGACACATGCAGCAGATATTTTAAGCTTTTTTTGAAAGCCTGCTTCTATACAGGTTGTCAAAGAGAGGACTTGGTCACCACAGCTCTGATTTGGTCGAAAACCGCACTGACCTGTTCGATAGCAATCTGTTCCCGGATCTTTGTGGATCTTCTGATACAAAGTTCCCTTTCTAGTATTCTATAGATAATTGAAAGCAAAGGTATGGGACGGTCGTTTTTGGAGAATTAGGAGTTTTACCTTTCATAAACCTTTTTGACATGGAATTAGAATTTGTTACGTTCTGTTATTGTGATCATGCAAAAAAATCCATATCCAAGGATAGTCCCACTCTGGTACTCATAAAACTATACTAACTAAAGCCGTTGATCAACATATTATACCTGAATATAGCCAAACATGTCCTGTATTTAGGCGTCCAAAAAATTATCCGAGACAAAATAAGATATTCGGGCGTCATCTATGAGAATTTGTCACAGCTACTTGTATGTTTCTCGTTTCCGCTGTCATTAGAAATCTACTTTGAAAATGTAAGTGTCTGATAGATGAAGCCGTGCCAACTATATGCTCAAATATACTCATATAGTTTGCTTCATCGCTATCTAGCTGTGAAAAATTTTCATAGATGACACCCGGATATCTCATTTCATGTCTGATAACTTTTTGAGCAGTACCATGGTTTACTACTCAATGCCAAAGCAAAGCTATCAGGTAAGTGTTGTGGGATATCTGGTTACTAACTTTTGTCTGGCAAGGGGATCAAAACAGGAGCTTCTGGCTGATAATCTACTTGTCCTCTGTGCATCTTATGTTTGTAAGGATCCAAAGCTCCCAAGAGTCCCAGCACTCTGATCGTTTCTCTCCTGATATTGGGTTGTTGCTCGGTCTTCAGGAAATTCATCAACACGTCTAAAAGCATGGGATATTGATTGTATGGTCTAACCACATGGCCAGTAGCCCCAACAAGTTGTCCTAGAAAAGAGAGAAAAATACATTGAAGGGTGGAATCTTATCTTGAAGTGATATATTAAGGCCAGACTGTCTAATAAGTTGTCCCAGGTTTTGTGTTGTTAAACTATACACCTTGGGAAAAACCATTATTATACATTATGATGAGGAAGAGAGATGGAAATATACAAAAGTATGTAGGTGCGTGAAAGACACTCGATTGTAGGATCCTATGTGGCAGCGTCGGAGTGTGACGGACAACGGGGTAAAGTAGAAGAGTGATAAAAGAGAGAGATGGCAGAACGGGCGCTGGCGCCTACCGACATATGCGCTCAACAAATGCGATTTGTTTCTCCCATTCGCAGAGTTGCCGATACCAATATGTCATATTTCTAAGAAATCTAAGTCTACCCAAATTTCGGGAAAAATAGCTGCGGATTTCACATAAGAGTATTCCAAAAATGAAAAAAGTTCAAACTATTAAAATTGTATTAATGCTTCATGGTTCAAATCATATTTTTCATGTTTGTATATTGTTGTATAAATGATTTTGTAATCCCTATTCTTGTCGCCAGTAGAGATACAACATTATTGAGAGAAATCATGGACCGCTAGATAGGGCTACAACTACCATATGACTATCAAATAGTAGTGATAAACAGGGTTTGTTTATAGCACAGTTGCCTGGTGTGGCGAATTTGCGCCATAGGGGCGATTTGACAACTTTGAAGGACAACTATAACGGTTACTATGGTGCCCGGTATTCGGGAATCTGGCAATACCTGATGATTCCTAACGTTTATTACGCCAGATTGTTTGCTGACTTGCGCAGTACAACATGACAATCAACGTGACTGAGCACCTGGTAACCCTGGTTTAAGGTGTTATATTTAAAGAGCTTGGGGCAGTTAGGTATCTAGGTCACATTTTTTTATGTATTTCGAGAAATCCGTAATGTTGAGTAAATACTAGATCACGTTTCTTGCTTAGTTTGCTGAAAATTCTACAATAGACGTACATTTTGAGAAACAGAGATTTGGTGACGACAAAATCGTAAAAATATAACGCATTTTCGTAAAATAATTTCTTTGTTGAAAAGACTGTGGCTTGATGACCCATTGAACGAGTATAGTGTCCCGCTCCGCTTTGAATATTCGAAACACTATACTCCAGCAGCATTCAGCTTCAATGTTATCTTTATGAAGTTCTAACGTCTAGGCCATGCTGATTAAAAGCTTGAATGAATCAACACTTAACTCTAAATTCCCCACAATTCGGGAAGCTCTACTCAAATTGGCAACACAGCGTATCTGCCTATTATTCTCATTCGTGATACAGGTCTGCGGTTAACGGTAGGAAATATGTACGAATAGCGATGAAAGTAGACGAGCCGATGCGCTGTTGCCAAGAAATGATTTCCCATGTATAAAAATGGTTTTTCCTAAGGTGTATATCATTTTTCGTTTTTAGTGAACTAAAACATAAGTAAAGCATTCATGACATTCAAAATGGCCAATTCATCTTGTATTGTCACGCAGACCAAACGTGTGTACAAAATTTCAGCTCAACTGGATCAAAATTCAGTTCCAAGATTTGTCCCACATATACTGAGTGACAAAAACAGGTAAACACCTACGCATGTTTATCCGATTTTAATAATTTTTGGCATATATGTTCAGTGTCCCTTACTAGTGAAATGATTAAATTTTCAGCTTGATTTGTCAACTGACTACAGAAGTTGGTTCAATAATGTGTTGAGGATCCACGATTTCTTATACACTTATTGACACGCCTGGACATCGTGCTGATAAGGTGGTCGATATCCTGTTGGGGTATCTCATTCCAGGCTACTGCAACTTCGTGAGTAAGAGCTGCTAAAGTCTGTGGAGGGTGTTTCAAATTGAAGAGCCTGTGACCTAGCATGTCCCAGACATGTGCAATTGGAGGTAGCTCAGGCGATCGAGGTGGCCAAGGTAAACGGTTGATGCGATGTTGATCCATGAAGGCTAACGATGATCTGGCAACATGCGGTCTGGCATTGCCTTCTGGGTTTTGGATGCTGTTTAGGTATGGAATACGATGAGGCTCCACTACTTCCTCAATATAACGTCAGGGTGTCATATTGACTCTGATGACAATTAGTGGAGATCTGGTACCATAAGCAATAGCACCCCATACCATAACTCCCACGGTGTGGTGAACGTCACGCTCTCTGTCAAATTGTGGGTCACGTCTTTCACCATGTCGCCTTCTCACTCTTGCCCGACCATCGTGCATACCCAGACAGAGGCGGGATCCATCACTAATGACCACCTGATTCCATTCCAGGTCCCATTGAATCATTTCTCTACACCAGAGCAAACGGTTACGCCGCTGATCAGCTGTGAGAGGTAGCACCCAATGTGGGCAATAAGAAAGAAGGCCAAACTGTCGTATTCGGCTATATACAGTACGCATACCAACACTCCTTCCATGCTCTTCAAACCACTGATTAGCGATGGCTCGAGAACTACTGAATCTGTCTCTCAGAGCCAGAAGTCTTAACCGGCGCCGGCGGTCTTGTCACTCTGTGGTCCCACTGACGTCCAGAACCCCTCGCTCGCTGTCCTCGGCCTTCATGAGTCCACGCTCGTTTACACTGCAGTATACGGCATAAGGATCTGTTGATCCTCCTAGAAAATTCTCTTATCGATAGACCGGCGTCACGCAACCCGACAATTGGACCTTTCTCAAAGTCAATTAGCTGGGACACCCGATGAATTCTACGCACTCTAGGCATTTTGAGGAATCACAAATTCTTCTCAATAAACTACACGAAATTTAACGTTTAACTGAAACAGTAAATGTACAAAAACTGAATGCTTCTTTATCACCAAATAATACACGCAGCCACCACAAAAAGTTAACAGAAAAACCTGACCATTTTATCACTTATGGTTCATGGCAATATAAATAGATACGTAAAAATTCTTGAATTGTAATAAACATACGCAGGTGTTTACCTTTTTTTGTCACTCAGTGTATTTCATTAATTATTACAGAATATGATATTACCCAGAGTGCACAAGGCGGCAGCCCGTTTCTCGGGAGCTGATGCATCACCCAAGATATCTAACAAAATCTGCATGAGTTCGTGCATCCACTCTTGAAGCTCTGAGTCACCACCTGTCACTTCAGCTAGATCTCCAATAGTAAATAAGACAGACAAAACGACGCCTGGGTTAGGCTCAGGTTCTTTCAACTTCGGAACTAAGACCAATAAGATCGATTCCATGTAAGGCCTGATGAACCTCGGAGCGCTTATAACCAAATGATCTAGCATTCTAGCACCTTGTTCTTTGTTTCTTCCGGTGCCTGAATGCTCCAGTTCTGTGAGCAACTGCAAATAATATGATTTTCAAGTTATGACGCTGCGAAAAACTGTGTTGCCAAAGTACAGAGTCAAAAAGCTTTTCTCAAAGATGAAACTCACCCGAGGATCAAGCGTCAATAGGCTAACTTTGCCATTAAAGTTTTTTGACGAATAAGACAAAATATGAACTAATATACAGGGTGTTCCACGTAGAAGTGCGATCGAGTGATCGAAAAGTTGACGTCAGACAATTATGAAAAGTCGAGGTTTATGATATAACTGATGTGAGGAATTCGGCTAATTTTCATAATGGTGGCATTTCCGGTTGTACCAGAAGTAGATGTCAACTTGCTTATTTTAAATGGAACACCCGGTATGTTACTAATTTGTTGAAATCTAGGCAACATTTTAAATACATCTCATGTATAACTTCCTGCACCTACAAACTCTAACCGTTTTTAAAAAATATCAAATTTTATGTAAAAAATCACTAATGCAGGTCGATAGGATCCTTTGAATTTTTCGTATATTTTTGCCTTTTTCGAACGATTTGTAAATGCTATTTTGATAATTAATAATACTGGGTGCTTAAAAAAATATGACTAGGATTAAATTGAAAAAAATGCCAAAAGCCAATTTTTTCGAAGTCCCTTTATTTTTATAATCTCAAAATCTTAAGCAATAAAAATAAGGATAGTTTTGTATGAGGTTATCTTCTGGGCAAATTAGTAGTTTAGGAAATATTTGCAAATACTCGATTTATATAGCTCAACATCTAATAATTAGTAACGCATGTTTGGAAACAAATTCAGCAGATCTGCGATAGCTTAGCGGACAGAGCGACGATTTGGCAGTGTATACCGCGCGGAAGAGACGACGAAATGGTACATTTTTTCTTTTTTATATGCAATACATAATAAAAAGTTATATGAGTGACTTTTTTAATTATTCAGTGCGCCATATCCAACCTTGTAGATAACTTTTCACAAAACTATTCTTATTTTTATTGCTTAAGATGATTAGATTTTCATCCGATTTTTAGTAGATCCTCTTCTATAAAGGAGCAGTTACAAATTATTCGAAAAAGACAAAAATATACTGAAAATTCATAGGCTTTAATGGACCCGCATATGTGATTTCTTACACAAAATTTGATATATCTCAAAAAGGGTTAGAGTCGTAGGACGTTATATGAATTTGAAATGTATTTTTTTAGTATAGTGACAATTATTATTATTATGATTTAAAATAAGCCAGTTGGTATCTACATCCGATACAACCGGAAGTGCCGCGATTTTGAAAATACTTTAACCGAATTCCTCACCTGAGGTATGCCATAACCTCGACTTTTCATAATTATCTAACGTCAACTTTTCGAGCAATCGATCGCTGTAGTTCTACGTGGACCCTGTATATTGTCTCTGCTCCAAATTTAGATCTGAGTATCTACAAATTCGTATTACCTGAACCAAAACTTTCCTCAAACTGGGCATCACATACGCCGGGTTCATACAACTCAGTCTACCAATGGTAAAAAGAGCCACCTCCCTAATCTCGAATACTTCATCCTGCAGCGCAATGAATAATGCCCCTAAAGACTCGGCTTGAGCGAGGTGTCGGTCGAAAGTAGGATCTAAAGAAACCAGTACGCCTAACCTCACGCTAGATTCCGTATCGGTCAATCCAACGCCCAGTAGGCGGTTCAAAACGGATGTCACCGTTTTTGTGACAGTTTCTGATGGGTTCCTTGCGGTACTTCTGATTGCGTGTCTCAATAAGCGGCAGGTCGTCTTCACTGCTTCTAATCTATAAGTGTCTTTTTTGTAAAATGTAAAAGTTACTGTGGCATAATTTGTAGAAAATTGTCAAAACTGATTTGAAATCATCCTTCTTTCGAGAAGGTCTGACTTTCAATCTTCGACTTTCTATAAAGATACAAGGTTTTTATGATTGCGTTTTCTGAGGATGATATTACTTTTCATGCTTGATTTTTTAAATTCCGTGAATACTTCCAGTATATGATGCAAGTATGACTCAACTATACTCGTAACAACATTCATTGTAAGCTATTACAATTTTATTTGCCTGCAGTTACAAAATGTCTGTCACTGTCTCTCAAGTCAAATACGTGAGTGCGACTTGAGGGACATTCACCACGACAATAAGCACTCGAGTGGCGACTAAATATGGGTCCTAAATAGTGTCCACAAGCTCGAGCCCGGAAAAAATGAGAAAAACGAGTATTTTGGGACTCCACGAGAAGTTTGTAAGGAAAAAGTGAAAATGAGTTTTTTGTTGCTTTTTTCTGTAGTTAGGCCAATAAACATTATTATTATTATTATTATTATTATTATTATTATTACCACAAATTGCCTTACTGACGTTAAATCTTTTTCAAAGTTCGGAAACAAAAAATATGTAAAATAAAATGACTAGCTGAAACGACAGTAAAGCAATGTATATCAAGTTTTTTTGCTATTGCGATCCAATTCAAAATTATTTGTAACTACAATACTTTCCTTGCCTAATATTGACTACTTATTTTCTCACCAGATAGATTTTTACATCAACTCTGTTTATTGATGTTTGCATTTAGTTTAGTTTTTAGTTTAGTATGTTTATGTGACTTACCGCTTTGTGAGACATCCCAAAATAATTAGAAAAATTAGCAAAACGAGTAGCCGAAAAAATTAATGAGGAGAATAATGTTTTGTTTTTCTGAAGCTATTGTGTTAGATTACTACTAACCTGATCTCAGTTTGATCGTGGACAAGAAAATAATTGGCACAGCGCTGAACAAATGGCAACAAGCGCTGCCCCTCAAAGTCAAAAGTACCCAAGGTGTGCAATGCCAAAACAATTATCTGCGTGTCATAACTGTCAGAAGATGCAGTAAGTGGGATGTTACTTGTTAAATGACGAGGCATGCCAGGATGTACCAAAGGTTTGTTAAGTAATATCTGTGACAGCATTTTCAACAGTCCCAGGCTAATTTTATCCTTGTGAGCCGGTACTCTTTTGGCTAGTTCTCTAAGACAAATGGTAAGTGAGGTACTTAAGCCAGTGGCGAGCATTTGTTCTAGGATATTCGGAACATCCATCTTTTCATGAGACTTTAGCGCTAATCCTAGGAATGTAATGCATTTAAAAACGCAACAATCTACGATGGAGCGCTTCTTTAGATTAACTTCACTTCTGGCAAGCGCCATTTTTACTAACTCCATCAATCTATCGACATAAGTTTCAATGTCTTCTTCAACTGCTACTGCTATCAAACCTGTAATACAAAATTTTAGGTCAAGACCCTTGCATTATTCTACCACTCACCAAACAGATTTTTTAAACATAATTTCCGCTATACTGGCATCTACTTCCATGACTGATTTGTTTTTTGAGATGCATGAAATTAAGAGGCTTAATTAAGTACACCTTTTGATTAAAATTACATTTCTCAAACCGGTTACGTGGTTAAGAAACCAATTTTGAGATATCAAACAAACGGAAAAGAATGTTATAGAACACCCAACCGTCTTGGTTCGGGCCAACATCCGTATTTTGGAGCCTGGAGGGAAACTCTTAATTTTCAATTAGTGATAATACTTTGAGGTGTCTGTAGAAATTTTTAATCTACAACTGTGGCTAACTTACCAATTGTGACAAACGCCATGTGTCTATCTTTTTCTTTGCCCCTCAGAATACCGAAGAGATAATTCATAGCTCCAGCCAGATGCTTTTTAACAAAACATTTTCTATCAAAAGCCGCTAGTCTCGGAAGGATGGTCAACAAAGTCTGTTGTACGTAATGACACCTTGAGTTTTTCTGCTGCATGACTTCTATACAAATGTACTCGAATTTTTCCGCTACCAATTGACGACACGTAGAAGACTCGATGATGATAGGTTTATCTGGATGTAAAGCAGACGTTACGTCGTGATTGGCTACTTTTTTGTTTCGATTAGGATACATGAATGGAGGGCGGTTGAAGCTAAAATGCTCAACTTCTGTTGATCTTTTAGGGTCGGTGCTTTCAAACAGTGCATTGTATTTTCGCTCCCATGACGCGTTGGCTAGGTGCAGAAGTTCGTTTTGAATCAAAAGAAATGCGTGGATTCTTTCGTCCTTCAACTTCTCGCCTTTTTCTGCTAATAATAGCTTGCCAGAATCGTCGTAACACTGCTTGTACCTGTAATGGGGAAAGATTTAGTTGAAACTATTTTCCAGCATCCTTCATAAGAGGTTACAAAGTTTCGTGGGAACAACGAGACGTCCGTGACGTCAGTTCACTCTTGTTAGGTAATTTTATTCTAAATGAATTCTCAGAGCAGAAAATTATCTAGACGTACCAAGTTTCGATCACTTCTAGTGCACCGGGTACTCGGTTTTTACCCAGTACTCTGCCTATTTTATTGAGTACCCGGTTTTGCCGAAATACTCGGTTTTAATCCAAGACACACAACTTGTAAGTCAAAGAATTGCAGATGCGATGTGAAGCCACGTTATAGTATTTTCTTTTTGAAAAAAAAATGCAGCAAATGTCTGAAAGTAGCATAAATAAGAAGTTTTCCGCCTTTCTGCATAAAAATCTTTATTCATGTCAGGATAATCTAGTTTCCCAAATCTGAATTGCTCCCGCGACATTTTAAACTGTGTTTCGTTTGTAAACTGCCCCAAAAGGCATCCGAGAAACATACAAATTTTAAATTCAAAGTTCATGATGGTATGTCATTTTTATAAATTTAAACCTCACGACCTCTAACAAGATGTAGGTCCAACTTCCGGTTTGCTGACCAGAATTGATCGCCACGCTCTTGCGATTTAACACCTTTGGACTTTTGGCTTTGGCGTTATCTGAAGTCACAAGTTTATGCCAACAAGCCTGCAACCCCCGAAGCATTGAAAGGTGGAAGCAGACGCTGTATCAACGAGGTACCACGACATGTGTTCAAAAATGTTATCATAAATTTTATTGAAAAAGTGCGCATGTACCAGCGGAGCCTTGGCAGCCATTTACCTGATGTGTTGTTTCATACATAATTCCAAATTGTATACACCATAATCCAATAAATATTTCAGTTTTTTGTTACGAAATAACATGTTTTATAGAACCTTGAAATATTGCGTCTTTATTGAAATTATTATTAGTATTAGTTTATTTGATCCACAGAAATTGTCAAAACTTGTGGCAAACTTGTTTGTTTTTTAATTTGCATGCATTGCAAAATCGCTAAAATCTCAAGTGATACTTTGTAGGTAAGTTCTGTTTTTGTTTTAATTTTGACTCAAGTAAAGACAATTGATTAAAATAGGCAAAATGGAAGGAAAAAAGTCAATAGGTTAAATTTTTTGCAAAATAAATGAGGATTTCAAAATTTTTTATTTTCAGAAAAAGCAATGACGTATCATATTTTTTTTTTAAATCTCCAGTATACGTCCGGACGCCACTGGTAGAAATATTAAAAAATATTCTAAATCAAAAAACACCTATTGATGCTTAGTAGATGCATGTCAAATTTCATGAAAATATCTAGAACAGTACTAAAGTTATGTTACGAAAAATTATACTGTACATGTAAAATGGTCAATTAAGCTGTCTATCGATCTATAAGAACGATTATTCCGGTAAGCTAAAAGCAGATGGCGCTACACTACGAGATACCAAAACGTGGGAATGGTTTACCTTTCTACGAAATCTGTATTATTCCATCATTTGTCTATCAAATGTTTTTTGCCCATTTATGTTTGTCAGCTTTTACCTCCAACCACACAAGCGCCGCCTAGTAAGCGTAAAATCTGACATGGCTGCCACTGACTCATAGCTACTGAAAATGCATGAATCACGCAGCCGAAAAATGAATCAAGTATGGCCCAGCCTGTACAATATCCTGAATCTTGATATTTGTATATTTTTCTAACAAATTCTACATTAAAATTCCATGTTTTTTTCTCTCAGGCAGAAATTGGAAAATACGCCAAAGTCTAAATATCATCAAGGTTTGTTCCTCATTTTAATTGAATAAGCAAATAATTATCTTCTATTCCTTAAAATATCCGTAAATATCTATGTTCAATATAGAAACATTATTAACCTCATAGTACTATCTAGTTATACACCTTAGGAAAAACCATTGTTATACATGGGAAATCATTTCTTGGCAACAGCGCATCGGCTCGTCTACTTTCATCGCTATTCGTACATATTTCCTACCGTCAACTGCAGACCTGTATCACGAATGAGAATAATAGGCAGATACGCTGTGTTGCCAATTTGAGTAGAGCTTCCCGAATTGTGGGGAATTTAGAGTTAAGTGTTGATTCATTCAAGCTTTTAATCAGCATGGCCTAGACGTTAGAACTTCATAAAGATAACATTGAAGCTGAATGCTGCTGGAGTATAGTGTTTCGAATATTCAAAGCGGAGCGGGACACTATACTTGTTCAATGGGTCATCAAGCCACAGTTTTCAACAAAGAAATTATTTTACGAAAATGCGTTATATTTTTACGATTTTGTCGTCACCAAATCTCTGTTTCTCAAAATGTACGTCTATTGTAGAATTTTCAGCAAACTAAGCAAGAAACGTGATCTAGTATTTACTCAACATTACGGATTTCTCGAAATACATTAAAAAATGTGACCTAGATACCTAACTGCCCCAAGCTCTTTAAATATAACACCTTAAACCAGGGTTACCAGGTGCTCAGTCACGTTGATTGTCATGTTGTACTGCGCAAGTCAGCAAACAATCTGGCGTAATAAACGTTAGGAATCATCAGGTATTGCCAGATTCCCGAATACCGGGCACCATAGTAACCGTTATAGTTATCCTTCAAAGTTGTCAAATCGCCCCTATGGCGCAAATTCGCCACACCAGGCAACTGTGCTATAAACAAACCCTGTTTATCACAACTATTTGATAGTCATATGGTAGTTGTAGCCCTATCTAGCGGTCCATGATTTCTCTCAATACTGTTGTATCTCTACTGGCAACAAGAATAGGGATTACAAAATCATTTATACAACAATATACAAACATGAAAAATATGATTTGAACCATGAAACATTAATACAATTTTAATAGTTTGAACTTTTTTTATTTTTGGAATACTCTTATGTGGAATCCGCAGCTATTTTTCCCGAAATTTGGGTAGACTTAGATTTCTTAGAAATATGACATATTGGTATCGGCAACTCTGCGAATGGGAGAAACAAATCGCATTTGTTGAGCGCATCCGTCTAAGCGGTAGGCGCCAGCGCCCGTTCTGCCATCTCTCTCTTTTATCACTCTTCAACTTTACCCCGTTGTCCGTCACACTCCGACGCTGCCACATAGGATCCTACAATCGAATGTCTTTCACGCACCTACATACTTTTGTATATTTCCATCTCTCTTCCTCATCATAATGTACATAGTTTGCGATTGATTGGACCAAACTTTGTCGCTAAAATAACTTGTAACGCTTTATAACCGTCGTTGGGTTACATATAAGTGAACGTGTTTATTTCGTCTCTGCTCGCTTCATGTTCCTGTAGAAAAACTAGAGGTATATTTGAGGTGCTGATTATACCTGCCCTTTCTGCAGTGCTGCAGGTAAAATCCGTGTTTGTTTAAAGTAATTTCGTAATACGTAGCTTCAGTAATGCTGCACGTTTGAGATGGTGAATTGCATTTATTGTAACACTACTGTGTCTCGCACAAAACCTGCTGTTTTTTGCGAGGCATGTAAAAAAAAATGCTCATGCCAGCTGTATTTCCAATTCCATTGATATACTGAGTGTCTTAAAAAATGTCCCTGGTCTATCATGGAAATGTGATGAATGTAGAGGCAACTGCCTGTTTATTAACGAAAAGAGCGTCAATACAGTGCTGTCGAAAAAAATTGATGCTTCACTTGGGCAAATCAAAAATGAATTTCTTGCCATAAAGGATGAGCTGCTGAACCATGCTGTCAAGGAGACTAACCCTCCAGCTGATCCTCCTCGTTATTCTGATGTACTGCGCAACAGAACTCAACCAGCCATTGTTATTCGTCCGAAATATACTAATCAGTCAGTAACTCAAACCAAGACGGACATTCTAAAGTCAGTTGATCCTGTTGAAGCCAACATCCATCTGGGTAAAGTTTGTGATATCAAGGAAGGTGGGATAGTGCTTGGTTGTAAGAGCAAAGCGGATAACTTAAAACTGCTTTCCATTGCAAAAGAGAAGTTAGGTGATTCATACGTGATCAAAGAAGTTGCTGTCATTAATCCTAGGGTATGAATAGTTGGATTGTCTGGCGAATACTCCGATGAGCAGATACGTAGCTACCTTCTGAAGGGTAATCCTGACGTGTTTTGTGGTGATGTTGAGTGTAAAGTTTTGAAAACATATGCTGTTAAAAAAAATAATAGAATCTTCCAATCTGTCTTACAAATAGATATAGTTTCCTATGTTAGGGTCATGAAGGCAGGGTACTTATTAGTCGGTTATGACTGCTGTAAGGTTTTTGATGCCGTGGAGGTATTTCGTTGCTTTAAATGCAATGAGTTCCATCACGGCTCAGCTTCTTGTCAGAATGAGGCTTCTTGTCCAATCTGCAGTGGAAAACATGAGATTAAACAGTGTACATCAATAATTAAGCAGTGTTCTAATTGTGTCAAATTAAATTCTAAGTCGAATCTGAATGTTCCAATAAATCATGCAGCTTGGGACAAAGATCAGTGCACTGCCTTCACGAATGCTACAGAAAAAATGAGAAGAGACTTACTCGCTGTCAAATAGCAACTAGCTACTGCTTCAGGCCTAGACAGTCATGATCATGATGCTGATAGAGATAAAGACTTTATTATTTATTATCAAAACACTCGTGGTTTGCGTTCTAAAACTAATGAAATATTCAACTCTATTTCTCAACAAGACTATTACTCTTTGATAACACTGACAGAAACGTGGCTTGATACTGATATCAATGATTGTGAGGTTTTTCCGGATAATTATTCAGTTTACAGATCTGATCGTGTTTTCAGCAGTGAATTTGAGGAAAGGTGGAGGAGTGGCTGTTGCTGTTAGGAGTGAATATAAGTCATCTGCGATTGATATATATGTGTACCCACCTTTCAACCAGGTCAGTCCAAAGATAGATATTTTAGTAATTAAAGTCAGTGTCCATTACTCCAAAATATATGTGATTAATCTGTACATACCTCCTCAGGTAACCGTTACCGACTATGGAATCTTGTTGGAAGCGATACATAGTCTAGCGTTTTTACATACTGGCAGTATTTTCATTGTTGGGGACTTTAATATAACATCATATGCTGATTATCTTGAAAATAGTATCTCAAATAGTTACATAAACACTTTAAATGTTTTAGCAAGATTTTTAATGTCATTCAGTATAATTACATACACAATGACAGTGGAAATTTGCTAGATTTAATTTGGAGCAATGCCATTTGCTATGTTGAACATGCTGATGATGCGTTAGTGTGTGAGGATCCCCATCATCCTGCACTGATTGTCACTGTGAGTCATTTTCCTTCCACCAAACATAATAACGTGTTGCATAGCGACTTTAAAGGTTCATATAATTTAGCTTGTGAATATTTCTATTTTGAGATCTATAGAATTCTTGATTGTTGTGTTCCTAAGGTTAGAATATCTTATAATAATAGGTATCCTCCTTGGTACAACAGCCATATCATTAGAACCCTCAAACAAAAAATGGTGGCATTCAAGACTTTCAGACTTACTGGAGATACTTATTATATAGAAAAATTTATAATACTTCGCTCAGAGATAAAGCAACATGTAGCTGTTTCATATCGTCGCTACATTCACTCTTTAGAGTGTGAAATATCCAAAAGCTCCGGCAAATTCTGGTCTTTTGTTAATAGAAAAAGAACCTGCACTGGTATTCCGAAGGAGTTTGCTGTACAATGGACTGGGATTGAATACACCTAATGATGTTGTAGGCGCATTTGCGAAACACTTTAGTGGGAACTATAATACTCCAACAGCTCAATCTAATTTTTCTAATTGTTCTACTGACTACCATTTCACTACTACACTAGATGTGCCTAGTGTACAGGAAATCGATGTGCTACAGGCGCTCAAGAAAATTAAGCCAAAAATGACTGCAGGGCCTGATCAAATACCTGCATTTTTTGTGAGAGATTGTGCGTCCATTTTAGCATATCCACTCATGATCATTTTCAATCTCTCTCTGCAAAAAAAACACTTTCCATCTATTTGGAAGTTGTCTAGGGTAACTCCAGTTTTTAAAAAAGGTGAGAGAAATTATGTAGAAAACTATCGGGCTATCACAATTATCAGTAATTTCGCTAAAACATTCGAAATAGTGATACAAACTGTGCTATATTTTCATGTAAGCAGGTCTATCTCCGTCAGTCAACACGGTTTCATGAAGGGCAGGTCCACAGTTACTAACTTGCTGCATCTTACTCAATATGTTTGTGAATCAATCGATAGACAACTTCAAACGGATGTAATATATACTGATTTCTCTAAAGCGTTTGATAGTTTAGACCATAACATTCTACTCAATAAGTTATCTAGATTTGGTCTTTCAGATGCATTGTTGCTATTTTTCAGATCTTATTTATGTCATAGGAAACAATATGTTATGTGCAATGGATATAATTCAAGCGAATACCCTGTAATGTCCGGTGTTCCTCAAGGATCTAATTTGGGACCTCTGTTATTTATTATGTTCATAAATGATATTTCTGAAGTTATCGATGTCGATTTGACAGAAAACTTTCCTTCTCCTATCACATTGAAAATGCTGTTGTGGCTGCATCAAAGGCGTATGGTTTTATTGTAAGAAATACAGGCGATTTCCACAACTCCTTTACACTGAAAATACTGTACTATGCTTATGTAAGATCTAAGCTTGAGTATGCGTCCCTGGTATGGTATCCTCATCATCAAATATATATTGACCACTTAGAGTCTGTTCAAAGAAAGTTTTTAAAATACCTCTCATACAAAGCTGACGGGATATATCCCGCTATTGGCTTTCCTCATAGTGAGTTGATGGCGAGGCACAAAATCTATAATTTAGAGAGCAGACGCAAAATGAATTCACTTAAGTTCATTCACAAGCTCCTCCACGGCATTATTGACTCCAGTGTCATCTTAGAACAACTTAACTTCTTAATTCCTAGATTAGCGTCACGAACTAGTTTAACTTTTTACTTGGCCAGGCCTAGGACTGACATACTTAAGTTTTCCCCTATATATATATATAATGTGCCGTAATTATAATTCAGTTAATAGCGTTTTAGATATATTTTCGCTTTGTGCGACTTTGGGAGACATTAATGCTTATTTTCGTTAATGCTTGCCGGTGTGATTGTTGAGTGCTGGGTAGGTAAAGCTAGAACACTTTTTTTTTCCTCCCAGTTCTGTTTGGAGGTTCTTTTTTGCAGCGTTTTAGCTTTCTCTACATACATCCACAACATGCATTTGTTTATATTTTCATGTTTATCCATCCTGTAATTGGCTATGGCTGTTGGATGTTGCTAAATAAATAAATAAATAATAATGGTTTTTCCCAAGGTGTATATCTCTCCATTCTCCCGGTTCTCTCCTCTTACCAATTGACTCGCTGCTTGCCTATTTCCCTTTGTGCTGTGACAACAAGTGCAGCCCTTAAAGCTTCCACAGCTCCTTCGCGAATAGCAATCTTTGGATCTGCCACTGCATTCACGATAAGCTCAAAAAACTGAGACACATGCTGGTAAAAATATGTTGGCATAGTATTAGCTAGTTCTCTTAGGACTAGAACTGCAGCATGCCGTTTGCCCTAAAATAATCAAAATGGCATAAATGATGATTGTGCTGAAATAGAAAATACATCTTCATGTATTTGTCATTGTCTGTCAGAGCAGTCTATAGGACCTTTGCTCTAGGTTAAAGTATTTTAATTCAGTAGGTTGCTGAGATACCAGAAAAAGTCAGGGAGAAAGGGAAGAGCAGGAAGTGAGTCAGTTTGGCATCTTGGTATTGTTTATTAGTATTAAGGAATTTAAGTTTATCCCAAAATTAATTTAGAGATTGGTTGTTAAAGTCACATGATTTAATTTTGTTCACATTGTTTGCTTGCAAACTTGCTCAACTGTGTAGTCTACTAACTCACACAACAAAGGGTTGCTATGCGATTCCTCTTGACCATGATGTAGCTGCGCCTGTTTGATGTAAAATGCAATGTTTGAAGACTAAATTATATTAGTTTTATATGGTAAAAACTACACATTGTATGTTATGTGGTTGGAATAGTAGGAAAACAAATTTCTCAACCTAAGTGTTCTGATTGTTTATGCTCGTGGATGATGATTTTTCATTGTCCTACAAAACTTAGGACCAGAATGTATGCAGTCCCATAACAGTAACTATGCATTATTAGACTTGCAAATTGTTATTCAGCTAAATTAGCAGTTTTTGTTGAGATGAAATAAATTGGAACCATAAATTGAATACTAACATCAGCTTTATCATCCTGTAGCCATTCAAATGCTCTTTTAACTTCAAATTGTACATATTCTGAAGCTTTGGATCCATATACCATAGCTAAATATCCCATAGCTTTTGCCACTAATTCCATCACTCCAACATCATTACATGGAAGAAGTTTTCTGAGATAGTTTGCAAAACGACCAAATCTTGATGTTGTATCACCTACATCAGCTCCAATAAGGCACACTGAAAGTCACATTATAATGTTTTTGATGCAAGATGATATAAAGGGCCATCCATCTGTTGGTTAATTTTTAAATCGATGGTTAAAAAGTTATTTTTCCAAACGGGTTTCTTTATTTGAGATTACTATCCTTCCAGTTAATGATGAAACACAATCGCATTCGTATAACAATAACATAAACTTAAGATACATAACGTATATATGACCAAACATATATAACATTCTGCCAGAATACTTGAAAAAGATTAAAACATTAATCACCAGCTGCAGAGAATATATTTTTGAGAATGCTGCAAAATTTGAAAGGTTTTTCTAATGATGTTTTTGTATCATAGTATGATTGATTTATTTTTCGGGATATTGAGGTTGATTATTGTTTTGTATTTTATAATCCAATAAATAGGATTTTCTTTTCATTTGTAAGTCTGGATGATGAAAGCACATACAGGTGGTTTGAACCATCTAGGTGCATCTTTATGTGATCAGGATGTCCTTGATGAAGAGGAATTATATTGTTGTGTTATATATTTATGTGTGTTTATATTTTCTGTATATAATCTTTATTAAATATTATTATTAAATAAATAAATAAAAAATAAATATGCGCGCCACAGCTGAACTTGATGTAGCCGATTCTGTCGACCCAATTTTTCAGTACATTTTCCAAAGTCTGCTGCATTATCTCACTAATGGCTGCGTGAATGTTGGTCTTCAAGTGCTCAATCATCCCTGCGGCATCCGCATAGCATTTATCTTTTAGGTTTCTTGTGAGTGCCTCAATAACGATCCTCTACTGTGACTCTTTGGTCTATTATGCTTCCCCACAAAAAATAATTCTTCGCGGTGACCAAGTCACATCACCAAAATGGCTGATAACGCGATTTTCGAACTGTTAGAAGAGCACACCAATGACCGTGACAGCACGTCCTTTGTCATCTTTGAAAATAAAAGGGCCCATAATTCCACCAGACCACAAACCACACTAAACAGTCACGCGTGGCGGATGCATTGGCTATTAGGTAATTTCATTGAGCACCAAATATGGCAATTTTGCTTATTGATGTAGCCACCAAGATGAAAATGAGCCTCATCTGAAATTTTTTTTTCTGTAAAAATGGGGGTCCTCAACCTAGCATCCAATTTTGAGTGCTTCCCAATGTTGTTCAAGCATATAGCGATTCAAATTTGTTCGCTGCCGACTCTTTACTAAATTCCTGTCAAAACAGAACTGCTGTAAGTGTTGCAAACCTAGTTCAAAAATTAACCAACTGATGGATCACCCTTTATAACAAACATTTAAAATGTATGATATTTGGTGTAAAAGCATGTGTGTATGTTGTAATATGTACATCAGCTATGATAAAGACATTCTGATACCCAAATTATATTATAGTTTTTCGTTATATCCACACTGTTTTCTAGAAACTTGATTTAATGCTATCATAAAATCCCCCAGAAGATCTTTATGATGGTAATAACTTTTAATATTCATTGGTAATGCTGAACCTGATTCTAATTTAACTATAAATACACATAATTTAAATTTGTTTTGAAAAAATTGTATACATTACTCTTACAAGTAGCCCTGACCAAACCAATATAGCAAGCTAGGCAACTGGAATTCACTTTTACAGCTTTGAAGGATGTACTTGAGTAACGTTTAAGGCACTAAATTTGATGCTTGTTAGTATAGACAAAGCAAACATGTTTATATATTATCAAAGGCAGTGGTATGACAGAAAAATGTAACAGAGCTGATCTGCCATACTAATGTATTAACTGCCTCCAAAAGTATTAAAAGCCAGGAATACAAGCTAAAATTATAACTAATGTATCAGTCACCTTCTCAATAGGTTTACAAAATCTAAGGTACAGATTTATCCGCAACACAAACATAACTAGATTTTACTTGACATTTTTTCCAGTACATATACAAAGTTCCTTTTTGACATATATTTTCTTGTCTATGTTAATACATAATATATGTTTTTATTTTATCTGTATTGATCAAAGAAGTTCCTCATACACACAATACTACTACTATATTCACAGTAAATCAACGATTACATACTGATAGCAAGAATTCCTCCTTTCTTTTCATTCACATCATTATTGAATTTGACCATTTCGAATATGTGGTGGTAAAATTCATCCAGAAAGCTATTAATTTCATCTGGTGTAGCTTCTCTCAGTTCATTCTTCACGTAAAGGGATAATTCCTTAACAGTTTTGAGTCTCACAGATTCGTGACGAGATTTTAAATTCGTTACGAAATGTAGCAAAGCTGCTGTAGACATGTTGATTTGATTTTAGCAGTCAAATTGAAGCTTATATCATCGTAAACCAGCTTCAAGCTACCGGCTCTTTTTATTGATAACTTACAAAAAAATACACTCACATTCATCTAAAAAAAAATTATTTATAGGTTATGTTATGTACAGCACAAAACATATACACTGAAGAAGGTTTAAATGTACAGTGTCACAATTGACAGTTGTACAGTGTCGCCTTAAACCGCTCCAACACGATGCGGCGAATGCCTTACAACGCTGGACACATGGCCATTCGCCAAATCGTGTGGGAGAACGCTGACGGATTATATGTGTCCAACGTTCGCCACATGGCACGTTCGGGCGTTTGACCCGCACGGGTATCATGCAAAAAACCTACAAAACGTCAAAAAACACCTATAAGATGTCAACTTGCAGACTAGGTAGTTTTTTAGGGCGCAAGCAGTCATGCCACGTTTGCTCACTAGGATCGTTGTGAACGTCCATCTATGGAGGAATCACTCAAGTAAGCTACACGCATTATTGGTTGCATAGTTTTGTGAGGCCAAATGGTTCTTGTCTGTAGATCTTATCTGTGAGAAGAAAGTTGGTTGAATAACAAGATCGCATCTGGATGATTATGTGTATTGGTCTGCATGTGTATAAAATTAGTGGTATTTGTTGTGTGAGAAAATCATTACTGAATATGCTGCCAATGAAGTATGTCTATTGGCTGTGCCCGACGGGTTAGTTTTATGTTGTGCTTTCTAGAGAGAAGATATGTTCAAAGTTATAAATTACGACACTACTACACTAAAATATGTATTCCATACATTTATCCGGATGCTTTACAAAAAAATGCAGACCTACGACGTGTTCCGCTATGATTCTTAAAACATCATCAGGCATCAATTGGATAGTCTGACAATGCTTCTGAAAATAAAGGCAAAATGGTTTACATTTTCATTGTTTGGCAGTGTGATACAAATTCTCAACGTCAAAGCAAAACATCAAAAAACAGGTTGGGTTTTTATCGTCGCGTTCCCGTGCACATTTGCAAGAGCAGTTCAGGGGCGTCACACTCCGGGTGCATGCAACTCTCAATTTAAATGCACTGGAAAGCGGCTGTGTAGAGAGCTCACAGGCGTGGAAGAAAATACGGTAAAGCCTAAGCCTCATCTGAATTTCAGAAAAAAAAACAGTCGGCCGGCTCGCCTCCATTTTTATACTTTAGGCTGGCTTGTGATATTGGTAGAGGCTGTGGTGTGTTGGAATGTAAATAAAGCAGATATACAGTATGTTTTCTAATTTAAATGGTAATGCGTTCCTCCATTGGAAAGTATCCTGGGAGGGTGTGCGTTATCGATCCTAAAGCCACAGCACAGGACACTTTGCATTGGTAGAGTTGTCCATCTAATGACAGCGCCATCCGTGATTGCAGAATCACTGTAGTGATCACAGGTGACTTTGCCATAAGTCATAAGAAATTAGTCATTAGTCATTGTTGTTTTTGTCAATGAACCATAACCTGAGAAAAATAAAAAGTGTAATCTTGCCGATGTTGAATACAAGTATATGAGATGAAGGAGATGCAACTATCGATAAATCCCTGGTTTCAGGAGAATTTCTGTTCTTGGCATTAAAAACTAAGGCACAATTAATTTTTATTATAATGACACCTTCAGACAAAGAAGACATGCATCAAATTCTAAGCAATATCGACTCCGCTAAAGACAAGTATCCTTGCTGCATAGTTTGGACACCCATACCACTATTAACATGGCTTTTTCCATTTATTGGGCATATGGGAATCACAATGTCAAATGGTGTTATAAGAGATTTTGCAGGCCCATATTTTGTATCTGAAGACAATATGGCATTTGGTAGACCTACAAAGTATTGGCAGTTGCAGCCACCTCGAGCTAGGGGTGGAGTAGTGTATGTAATTTTTGGAATTATTATTAAGGCTTTATTAGAAGTAGTGAGTAGATATTTGACTCATCTAAACCATCAGTAACTCAACTGGGATTTGGTTTGAGAGGGAAAATATTCCAAGTAAAATTATAGACAAGCTCAAAAATGACCTTACTGATTTTTGGGAGAAAAAGTGAGCAAGTCTCTCAATCATCCAACAATTTGGCCCTCCAGACCACAGATGCAAAAGCTACTATAGTCCCTTTGATCGTGGTGTCACTCCCTATTTAATAATGATCCTATCCTATCCATAGGTGCCTACAATTTTTGTCTTTAAGGGTAAGAAAATCATTTACTGGCAAATTTTCTGTATAAGGAAATGTTAATATGTGGCTAATAATTCTGTTTTCCAAAGATAACAGATTCTACAAAATAATTGTATGAGAATACTAAATTAAAAATAAGCCAATCAACCAAATGCTCAGTGCAATCAAATATCTTGACATTGAATTTTTTTATTTAAATCCTAGTCATAGTTTTTATGTATAAGATAATTAATAAGTTATTGCCATTATGTCTATCTGCACTAACTTCCATAAATGTATGATACTACAGTATATTCAGATAAGAGATAGACCAGATGTAAACAAAAGGTTCGGGTGATTTTCACGCTAACGCCGCCGTCTCGACGTAAAACAGGAGCCCTCATTGGTCAATTCGCAATTAAATGCCTATGCCGAGCGGCAGAGCAGTCGTATCAAGGCAGAGTCACATTCAGGTTCAGACGTGTTACGTATGTCGTGTGCATCATTGCAATTTGATATTTCTTTGGACGTTTTCGTTTGTTATCTTATTAAGTTGTTGAGCTTGTCGTTGTTATTGTTATACCTTGTTATTGTTATCAACTGCTTGCGCAAAATGCCCAGTAGTACAGATACTGCCGATGAAGTTGTAAACTCCTGTAGTCCACCTAGGAAACGCTCTAAAAAAAGACACCTGAGTGCAGAAATGGAAGAGGTCATTTTGAATATATATAAGATCGAGCGCGAGGAGAACAAGGCATCAACCATCAAAGAAATTGTTGTGAAGGTTTCTCACAAAGTTGGGGTGTGTCGCGCATCAGTGTTTAATGTGTTAAGACAATACAAAAAAAATCACACCTTTTCTGAGCCAATGACCAGTAAACATCGCAAAAGTATTGTTAAATCATTGGATGAAGCTGATAAGCATGCGATTAGGAGGAAAGTGCATGAATTCTTCTTTAGGAATGAAATACCTACTATAGATAAAGTAGTGCAGGAGGTAAATGGAGATACAATTAACAAAAATTGGGAAATATAGAAATCAAAACAGGAAGATTTATTACCTTGATGAAACGTGGGTAAACGCAGGACACACTACAAGTAAAGTATGGGTTGATGATTCTGTAACTTCATCCAGGAGGGCCTTTCTAGATGGACTGTCCACCGGATTAAAAAATCTAGCAGGTAAATACGAGTAATAGACAACAATCGGATGTTTTTCAAACCTTGGGAACAAGGTTCTAAACATTAATTCCAGGGGGCAGATAAAACATATTACAAGTAACAAAACTTTTATAACTTTCGATAAAATGCGTGGATGTTTTATTGTCATTTTCATTTGTTAGAATTTTTTTAAGCCATGTTTTTATGTGTTTTCGATATTTCAATAATTTTTTAATATAATCTTAAAATATGTCGAATATTATAAACTTAAAAAAAGTTACTAAGTTTTATATTGTGTACCGTTCCTAATATTTCTAATCATTTTAATTCATACTTTAAGCTTTATAAAGTTATAATTTGTTAATATTAATATTTGCGCGTATTTCAGGTTCCTGATCATTCATTTTTTAAAGGTTTATAACTTTAAATTGAATTGTGAAGCACTGAGTAATCATACAACGTTCAATATTCTTTCTTTCAATATGACTAAATAATCCCAATTATAGCAATCTGATACTCATGTCTCAATGTTTTTTCGCTGAATGTGATGAAAACATTTGAAAAAGGTTCGCTTATTGAAATAAATCTACACCAGTTAGTACTTCGATTTCCAGGTAAAGGGAAAAGGCTCATTATCTGCCATATTGGCAGTGAGGATGGATTTGTTGTTGACGGTCTGTGGTGCTTTGAGTCTAAGAAAACTGGAGATTACCACGAGGAAATGAATGGCGAATCGTTTGAACAGTGGTTTTAAAAAATTTTACCGAACTTAGAGGAAAACGCAGTAATTGTGTTGGATAATGCGCCTTATCATTCTCGAAGAATGGAGAACGTCCCAACAACGGCTTCAAGGACAGTTGATGTTCAAAATTGGCTCCGCTCAAAAAATATCAACTTTGAAGGAGCAATGCTGAAAGTACAATTATTAAGAATTGTCAAGGATCACAAGACGGAATATCAAAAATACGCCATTGACGAAATGGCAGCAAGTCAAAATAAAACTGTGCTCCGTTTACCTCCATACCATTGCGAGCTCAATCCCATTGAGCTCATATGGGCAGAGGTTAAAAATTATATAGCTAAGCACAATACAACTTTGTGACCTCAAAGGACTTTTCAAAGAAGCACTAGAATTAATAACAGCGCAAAAATGGGAAAACTGTATTAAGCACGTGAAAGACAAAGTTGAAAAGAGAATGTGGGAACTGGACAATATTTTAGAGGAACAAGTCGAGCCATTCATTATTGACGTTGATGCTTCAGGCAGTAGCGATGATGAAAGCTCATCAAGCTCATCTTTCCAATAAAAGATGTCGTTCATCAAATTCGGTAAGTTATAAGTAATTATAAAGCTACTGTATTTTTTAATTAATTATTGACATTTTTGAACCCATTTTGGCAAAACCTATTCAAGAATCTACTTTCTGACAATGTTCAACCATGCACATTTTTTTACGTTTTGAACGTTTTAATTTGGTTACATATTTACCTAGAAATCAAAAAATATACTAATCAATATTCTAAAAGCAATTTTAAGAGATATACGATTATTTTTGTTTTAGGCTAATTTAAACGCCATTTTGAGATTATATTCGACTGTATTTCACCAAACATCAGGCGGCATCCGAAGCTGGAAATCGAAGCGAAAATTTTGAAACCCTTATGTATATTTACATCATTATATATTTCTTACCCCACCCCCACATGATCCTATATCCATCACCAATCTTATATACATCGAATTGTGCTAATTTACTACAAAGTTACGCAAAGCAGCATCTACTATCTAAAATATGTACTGCGTGACTCTTAATACGTCCCTGCCGAATGTTACAGCGTTCGATGATCACGTGGTCTTGTTTATGTCCGGTCTATCTCTTATCTGAATATACTGTAGACACAAGCATGATTTCCATTTAAACACATAAAATGACAAAATAGCCTTAAAGAATTTAAATCAAATGTGAGAATCTGTTAGAATTGTAAATATGAGGATGCAGCATATGGTTTGAATTATTATTATTGTTATTACTTTCAATTGTTTTTGTGCCAAATAAATATTTCTATTACTACTACTACTACTACATTAATTATGATACATACTAAATAAACTTACCTAGAAAAAAAAACAGCCCCTAAATTCACCACTCACGTTTCTATTGTGCGACCTATCCATTCAAAATAATGACTTGAATGTGTCACAGTGACAGAGATCTGACCGACGCAATGTACCTGACTGTCAACAGGCCGTCACCTCTGGTAGTATTGTGTCCCCAACATACTTGACCTCACCTTAATCCTTAGTACATTCTTCTATTATCACACCACATATGCAATCCTACATATTCAATCTTACCCACACCACTGCCCCTTCGAATCCTGCCAGCGCCCATTTTTCCTATCTCTTAAGTTGTTGCCTACTAATCATACTCGCTGTTGCGGATGCACTCATTCGAAAAATCATATACAGGTGGTACACCTACAATGATGGTACTGTGGTGTGTGCCCACGAGGCGGCGTGGTCCAACTAGAAAGCGATCTGAGATACCTTACCTATCCGGTTGTTCCACAAAGGAGCAGTGGCGTAGGTAGGATTGACTTTGCCTCAAACAGTCAATCCTGAGTTGGTTAGCAGTTGGTGCTGTAGACTAATATGGTCCACGGAATGGAGGAGATGTGGGTACGAATCCCGCCAGCGCCCATCTTTCCTATCACTCGAGTTGTTGTTTTCTAAATGGTTTTCATTTTTCAGAGGATGGGATGCTGCTGTCACTGAAGCCTCAGACATTTACAAAGGTCGCATGCACAACTTATGTTGTGATAATTGTCATTCACATGTTGCAACAGCATTGAATTTAATGAATTACAACAACTCGTCCAACTGGAACATGGTCAAGCTTGCAATACTAATGATGGTCCATGGAAAATATGTTTCACTGGCTAGATTCCTTAAAACATGGTTACCATTTACCATTATTGTCACAGCTATTGTTCTTATTTCAGTATTTGTTATATAATTTTATTTTTTGTGCCAGTGTCTTATGTGTAATTAATATCTGAAAAGAAAAATAGTAACTTTATATAGTCTTTCATTTCAAATTTTTATGCAGTGTATGTGGTATGTCATAATGCCATTTTCAGAAACTTACCATACACATTAGGAATTGTGTTAAAAGTGGTGAGGTGCAAATAATGGAGAAAACAGTAGTTTGCATAATGTTATTATTGTGGAATGAAACATACAGTGAAAAAACTTTCAAATATAAATACATCCAAGAATGGAAGTAACATTGCAAGCAAAATGTGTGAAACATGGAATACATGTACATCAAGGTCAATAAAAAATAAACTAGAAACCTTGCTGGTACTGTTTTGACTCCAGCCTATTCAGGATGATCTCTAACTGCCGCTTTGCCTCGCACTGTGGAAAGTTATTCAAATCATAATACTGTGGAGCAATTCTCAGTAACCAATCGGCTGGAAAAAACGTAAATAATTACTTACAATTCTCATATTTTTTATTATGACATTTTAAACTTTTTATAGTTTTGCAATATTTGCCTGTAGATTGAATAGATAAGAGCCCCTGGTAGCTGAAATACTTGTGAATGATTCATAACATCATCTGTATAGTTGATAGTAGCAGAACACAAAAACGAATTTATAAATTTACTTTGAAAGGAGTTAGTGTTTGTTTCTGCTACTGTGTCTTAGATGGCGATAGCATCTTTCAGGTCCTTTGGATGGCGGAATACAGGAAGACTATGTTAATCAATGGTATTTGTCAGTCAAATTTAATACCTATTGCAACCAACCACCATTTCCAAGTGGTAACACAGTTCCATCTGCTGCATATGGCCAATGGAAAAAATGGTGTCATCGGAACAGCTTTAAATGTTTAATTTTGAAACAGCATATGTTTAAGCATTGAAACCTACATCTTTGCCGATCTGGGACAAAATTATAAAATATCTTTTTTAGTTGGGTCACGTAATGACACTTGATGATAGCCGACTAATTGTTAACTAAGGTTTTTGGCGACCTTGGATCCATTATAAGCAACGCTACGGATACCGAGGTAGCCCATTTATCGTGAAAAATATATATTCTGCCAATTTTGAGCACTTTTTGGTAACCAAATAAAGTAAACTACCAATGAACATAATAATAAATGACAAGTCTGATTCCAAACGTGTTGAGCGCCGGAAGAAAAGCGCATTGTTGACGTTTCAGTGTGATACAAAGTACAGTGTAATTATTACAATGTAGTACAAAGTACACTCTGTAATTGTTACAGAGTAATACCAAGTACACTGTGCAACAATATATGAACGTAGCCCTGATATAACTTACGCTTGACATCTGTCACGGTTCTAATGTAGTTTTTAGTCGTCAGCACGAATTCATTATAAATCACCCATTCTGGCTTGTGGTCTAGACACGTAGAAGGATGCAGCTGAACAATTTGATTATCCTTTATCGTTAGGTAATGTCCAGTTCTTTCAAGATGTGCAACCTATAAATAGAAAAGGTTACCAATAGTTTATTTATTTATTGTAATACACAAAGATCAAAGTGGAAGTTAAAGTACAAAAGTGAAAAATCACAAAATAACAAAAACTGTTGGAAAGAACAAGATTAACCCTTTCAGTACGGGACCTTTTTTAACTGTACTGTCACCACCGCCGACACATTTTGCATTGTCTGGGCGCCTGATGACAGGGAACAATGCAGCTTGAAAACTTTATTACCCAATAAAAATCAAACATTTAAATGCTGAAAATATAATAAAAAAAACTCCGGACTTAACAAAAAAAAAACATTGAGCAAGTTAATTTTTAAAAGTGGGCTACTTGATGATAACTCCGAAGTCAGGGCAGTACACATAGTCCAACGTGGCATTCTCTACACATGTAGCTGCTCTCCTTTCTTTTCTTTGTTCCTGCTTTCGTCTGGGAGCAGACTCTGCATCTCCTAGTGGCAGTTTTCTTTCCCTCTTTTCTTGGAACCAATTCCGGAAAATGCCGTTCTGTCAGCATTGCACTTCCCTGATCAAAATGAAGTAGTTTTGCTGTTGTTGCTTACGCTTTTGGCCACGTGTAGGCCTTTCAGAGGGAAGAGCGCGCTCTTCCTCCGCCATTTTATGTAAGACTAATCACAGTCTAATATCGATGTCGGATATACAGAGTGTCCCGAAAAAAGTGTGCAATATTCTACCAGCGGTTTCTAGAGCTTAAAATAGCAAGAAAAGTTTATATAAACATAGGTCGACAAACGTCCCCTAAGGGCGCTACTGTCTTTTAAAGGGGCTCCCCTGAAGATGGTTTTTCCTTAATATTTCCGAAACGTGTTGAGATAAAGACATAAAATTTGGTATTCTAGCCTAGTTTTTTATGCTGGATTTAAAAATATTAACAATTTTAGACAGTCTTGTTCATAAGCGTATGTAACAGGGACGGACGCAGGTTATTTGAGCCCCAAAATTTTTGTGATTCTATTTTTGAAATTCAATTTTAGAATTTGAAAATTTAGGATTTTCTACATAAAAAAGGTACTCTTATTGAATATCGATAAATTGTGCCATTTTTGAATAAAATCAAACTAAAAAATTTGCCACATGATAGGAAATGTACTGCGAATTTAAATGAATTGTTAATGTTTGTGAATAATTGGTTAATATTACATAAATACGTATTTATATTGCAACATAGCTAACATTTAGGCAAAAACAAAAGAAATAAATTTTTTCTACGAACGAAATTAAAATTTATTTAAAATATTATAATAATAAAAAACAAAACAAAACTTTCTAAAATTGTTAATATTTTTAAAACCAGCATAAAAAATTAGGCTAGAATACCAAATTTTATGTCTTTATCTCAACACGTTTCGGAAATATTAGGGAAAAACCATCTCCAGGGGAGCCCCTTTAAAAGACCTTAGAGCCGTTAGGGGACGTTTGTCGACCTATGTTTATATAAACTTTTCTTCCTATTTTAAGCTCTAGAAACCGCTGGTAGAATATTGCACACTTTTTTCGGGACACCCTGTATACGTCAGCCGACCGGTGGCTATATTCTATAACTGACGTATAAATATGTCAGCCGTACTGAAAGGGTTTTAAAGGAAAACTAAAAAAAAAACAACATTCACAGTAAAACTGTAAAATGATTATTATGATTTTTAAAAAACACTAAACTATAGAACTATAAAAATCAGAACTGTTAGATTTTTTCATGTAAATCGTGTGAATGAAATAAAGGATTTGGACTACCAAAAGTGGAATACGCATGAATTCTTAAGCTTCTTGTCATTTAATAGTTTGATGTTAACTTTGGAATCTTTAATATTCAAGAGCACCTACCTGCATGAAAAATCCATTAACCAACGCCTTGCGTATGTTAATATAGTAGTCTTTACTGGTAAAATCAGTAGACGTTCTCTTCAAGTTAAATCGATCCATGATTCTTGATAGTTGTTGCCTCACGTTATCAGCGGATTTCAATGATCGGTAGTTGACAAAATTGTCATAGCACCATTGTGGGTCTTCCATGCCTATGGATACATATTTCATTAATAGCAGTTCATGGGATAACTATTTTAATATTTAAACATTTAATGTATGAAATGGTGCTCATCAGTAGGTATAAGGAAGGTATGAACGTATTTTTTAATATGTGAGAGTCTTGTAACAGCTAGTTGTACTTTTTTCACTATGAAATTCAATAACTATAATAGGTTGAAATTGAAACCATATCTTGATATTACATGTTTTGAACATTTGTTCTTGATTTAGTTTTCAATCCTTCCTGTTACAAATGAAGTACATTTGTAAGACCTTAAAAAGGTTGAGTCATTTATTTTAACAGTGAGTAGATCTGATCAAAAGAAATGTTTCTTTCCTTTAACATTTTTATGGTAAAATTAAAGTAACAAAGTTATAGCCCTTTAGAAGTTTGAGTACCGCCCTGTCTCAATAATAATATTATGTGCTCGTGTTTGGCAACAACGGATATAATCCGCCTTATCGGTTCATCGCATCGGAAACAAAAAAGCGAAAGAATTTGAAACGATTATCACGATGTTTTTACTACAATTTTATTCAGTTGTATTCAGTCAATGTGTCAGTCGGTAACGCGTGAGTGAATAGTGGTGTTTGTTGCGTGGCTCAAACGAAATAAAAAATGGCACATGTTTACAAAAATGCTGAACTTGTGGACATGATTCTTAATTACGGGGGGGGGAGTCTTTCCAAAATGCTACCGCGGCATTTATGCGGATCAGTTTCCCAATCGAGTGCAAACAACCCCTCGTGCCTTTGTTAATGTAGTACAAAGGGCTCGCGAATCAGGTGACTTAAGACCTCACAGGGGAGGGCATGCCGGTGCTCCAAGACCGCACGATCAAATACAGGTCCGCACTGAAATATTTGTCGGGAGGATTTATCTTCCTTCTACAATCATTAACTGAAAATTAATGACTCTACTTCAAAGTCACCCTGTATATATATATACGTATATATATATATAAGTTATGTACCAGTCTACAGAGAAGAATATGCTGAACAAGGACTTTTGCCTCCACGTTCCTTTCTTATCAGTTACAGTATTGTATTTCATTTGTTCTTTACTTTGGTTTGTATAATGAACTTTGCAGTCAGTCTCGATTCAGAACTCATTCAATTAACATCATTGTATTTGGTCTTTCTCAAAAATAAATCTTTTTAAAAACGTTTTCGTTGAAGAAAGATATTTGAGTGGCGCAGTCAATCCAGTAGGATAGCCAGACGAAAAAAGGACATTTTCGGTTCGTTTCAACGGTTTACTGGCTATAACGAAACCAACCGCGATTGGTCGCGAACGATCCGACGGAATATCGATATCGTTACCGTGATCACCGGAACCAGATTTGGGATAGAACCCTACCCAAATCGAGAAACCAAGACGACAGCAGCCCAGAGGACAGAAGGAACATCTGCTCCAGGACAGGCAACCCAGCAGTGGCCCAGGCATACGGACACATGGGACGGATTGGATTACTACTGTAAGTACGAATGTCTTACAGGGGTGAAAACAACCAAAAGCTGTTTGATGATACATTGAGTGACACTGATTCGGACTCACAGTCGGATACGGAACATATCCAACATAGCTTAAGTAAATTGCAATTAAGACCTAGTATACTAAATAGTACAGTCAATATGAACAACAGTCAAGTAAATCAATCAAGCATGTCATTACGCCCAGAGTATCTTAACATGATACCCGAATTTTATGGTCAACAAGAATTATTACCAAGATTCATAGATATTTGCGAAAAGTTAGTGAATAAATTTTATAGATTAGAGGATGAAA